CTTCTGAAATCAGAATTGGTTTCAGATTTTCGGAATTTGTTTTTTACAAAACGTTGATTTTTCAATTTTTTATAAAATTTGCCGATTTACACTAATTGAACCTTTTAAAGTCTCCAACCCCTTATATGGACCATGATGTTTGGAGAGGTCTTTTGAAGTGGCTGGTCGCAGTTTTTACATTATTCATGCGATTTTTGGCACACTTTAAGATTTAAATTTGAATATTCGTACATAGTAACAGGTTGTTCAAAAATAATGGCCATTACACTGCAACTGCGCTAACAGACGAAAAATAGTTAAAAAATAGTTGAAAAATAGTGCAGACTTTGGATGAAAGAGGGATCTGTAACAGATCTATTTTCAAGTCTATTTTTCATCAGCGCTTCATCTATTTCTCAGCCATTCTCTATCTATTTAGCATCTTGGATTCATCTATTTTTCATCCATTTTATGTCTTGTCTCTGTCCCTCGTTCTTGCATTTTTCATCAGTTTTCTATCTATTTCTCATCCATGATTCATCCTTTTTTTAACCCATTTTTGTCTACTTCTTGTCTCTTATTCATCTATTTTGCGTCTATTTTTCTTCTGGATGGTTTTTATGAAAAAACAACAGTAAACGGAAAACAACAAAATAAAAAAAGAAAAATACAATAAATTGTTTAACATTAGAAATATCAAATTTCAATTAAATAGAAAAATGCTGATTGAAATATTCAGCGGCATCGGGCTTCAGTTTTTTGAGTTGGTGCTCTTTTCCAATTTTGATAGCCAAACTATGCGCCATAACTTTGCTAGCGTGGTGAGATCCTTTCTGATCGTTATAATTTGAACGAAGGCGATCGCTAAAAGTACATGGTGTTATTTAGTGAAACATTCGCATAACTACATGAAAGTAATCGCAGACTCTTTGATTTGCACAGCAACTGAAGTAGCTTGATCCGTCGTTGGAGCAATATCTAATCCAATGAACAATGCTTCTTAATTTTTTTTTAACATTGTTCACATATGTATGTATTAAACTTGAATTGCAGATAGCAAACAAGAAAATTTGAAGTCTGAATAACTATAAGAAAAATCTAAAACATTATATCTGAAACATACATCTAGTTTTTGCCTTCCGTTAGTGAGCAATCGAGTCAAATCGGCTCCTTCAATTGGCAATTGTAGATGTTTGTCGAAGTTTTCGAGCATGGTTTCATCGCATTCGAACATTGCAGATTTTTTCTTTGAACATCTAAACTTTTTAGGCATGAGCTCTGGAATTTCTGCCGTTTTTTTGGTCACACTTAATTTTGATACCTTTTAGTATCAACATTACAATTCCATCTGAACAAGTGTGAAGAACATCCAAGATTGTATTGTACGGCTTGACATATTGCACCATTTTCGCCGCAACAGGACCAAATCCATTAACACCGCGAATACTATCTTCTAGAGTCTTATCCCCAAATCTGTCCAATCGTCGATCTTAAATCAATATAAGCGATGAATAAGAGGGTTTAAAATTATTATTGATTATTACCGTTTCCAAGTAGTGGTTTGTGCAGAGTTCCGTGAGAGTCGCAATAAAAACAAGCTTGTGGACTTGAAAAACCGCTCATTCCAAGAATTTTTCTTTTTGCCTTAAACTGAAATCTATAGAAATTTTTATCACTTAATCCTTACTGGTTGGTCAGAAACGAGTGACACGAGGTATGGAGAAAATAAAATATTGTTTACAACAAATGTTGACCCTTCGCCTTCCAATCGATTCATTATAATTTCCGTGACGGTATTCAAAACAAGGGTTGTTGGATTATTAGCTTTTAATTGCAGCATTCCACAGACTACAAGATTAATTGAAAGTTGCGACTTCATTGTAGGCAAATCCACTAACTGTAAAGTAATTGGCCACAAACTTCCTCTAAATGGCACATCTTTAATAAACAAATAATAATAATACCTGAAATGTCCTCGGGGATTGACGCCGTCCAGACTTAGCACCATGCTCAGATCACAATGATTTTCATCCTCGTATTTCCATGAACTGGAAAAAGAACTTCCTTGAAGATTGTGTGTGAAGTTTGGTGCTTTTTCCTTCAATTTCTTTCGAATTTCCATTATATCGTCAAAGGACGACTCCACAATCCCGCGAATTTGTTCGGTGAGAGGCAGCATAAGAAAAGTCGCCAATTCGCCGCAACTGAAATTGATCATAATAATGTTTGAAATGTGGTATATGTGTTTACCATTCTTTCTCTCTTCGACATCCACACTTTTCGCATATTGAACGCTTCATAATATTCTTCTTGAAATCATACCACAATGAGCGGGCTCTTTCAATCGGGATGAAGTTTTTAATTGTTGCCAGTCGTCTCAAAAAGCCTGCAACCATTTTTTGTCTTTGGAAAAGTATTAGTTTTACCATTTTCTGTATCTTTTCCGAGTACCGAACTATACATGCACAATAATAGTTCATCGGCCAATTCCGATACACGATCATGTGCGGGGTAATTCGGTACGCATGACGGCCCGACTACTTCGGAGAATTCTTCAATTTCGCTTTCAGATCGTTCTCTCATGAGAAAGGATGTTGTTGATGCATCATTTTCATTATTTTCGTTGTTCGACGATTTGTTTCGAAGTGAAAGCCGGGCGTTTTTTCGAGCAAAGACCACACGTTTGGTCGGCATGCATCGCGAACCAGCAATTTGATCTTAAAATAATAAACAATCAGCAATATTAATATACGAAACAAACCTACCTTTCCTCAATTTGAGACCTTCTTTGGGTAATCGATGGCGAAGAGTTTTAGGCATTTCCAAAATTGATTTTTAAAAAAATTGTGATTAACATGGCGCCATCTGCATTCACATTACGATCAACTGCACAATTCCATCTATTTTTCACCCTTTCAGTGTCTATTTCTTATCATTATCTTCTATCTATTTTTTCCCAATTTTTCATCTATTTGTCATCCATTTATCGTATATTTTTCACCAATTTTTGAGATAATCTATTTTTCGCCCATTTTTCTCCTAGTTTTTATCTACTTTTCCGAGTAATCTATTTTTCATCCACCTTTTCACCATTTTTCGTCTGTAGCACAGTTGCAGTGTTAGCGAATTCTAGGTATAAAATTGGCTGGTCAATTGTCGAACTCGATATTTGCAAATAAGATTTTTGTAACTAATCTTCAAAAGTTTGCTATTTTTGATCTCCTCTTAGCAACAACAAAAAATTTGGTGGACGTTCTTTGGAATTGTCGTTGAATTTATCAAGGCAAAATCCATGATGAGCCCCAGATTTCTTTTTGAACTTTTCTGAGATATCAAATGGATTTTCCCTTTCGTGTCCCACGATTTCTCAACTATTATCAATAATCTTGTTCTATGAATTGCCAGTATCTCGAACTGCTTTTCTCTGCGGCGTTGTTCAAACCACTAGAACAATATTTATTTTGTTGATGGTTTGCTTCTCTTCTACCCCAACCCCCCCCCTCTCCCGGTGTGCATTTGATTTTAGAAGTTTTCGATGCATGTATGCACATATGATTGTTTGTTTGAAACTCTTTCCGACCACGTGATCATCAATGCCTATCAATAGATCATTCCGGAAACCCCCCCCCCATCATCATCATGAATTCTGTCTGATGGGGGTGGCTCAATTTCAAGTCCTCGATTTTTCTTGTTTCTCATCCTCGTTTCCAAATATCACTTTACAATTATACGGTAGCAATTGTTCGACGTGTGCGTGTTTTGGTTTTGACTCCAATTTTTGTTTCCAAACATTTGCGTTTGCGTTTCCGCGAAAATTGGGATTATGTCGATGACGTCGCGTTTATCTCAATTCACAATTCATTTTTCATATATATTTTTTCTCACATGCACACCAAATTATATTCTTCCGCTTGGATTTTAGCATACGTTTTTTTTTTCAATTTTTTTTTTGAAAAAAAAATCGCGGCTGCTTAAGCATTTCATGACCGAGCTCCTCCGAATCGCTTTTTGCCTACTCGACATCGCCCCCCATCCCCTTCCCAAGAATTGTCCAAATCGATTCCAAAAAACCCGCGTTTTGGTTTCGTTCGATGAATCGCGACACAAACAAAACGAGAAATGTCGCATGACGATATTTTAGTGTCTTTTAAAGATTGCCTCATGGTATCATTTATCATTTGGTTGAATTTCGCCCAATCCGTCGTCGTGTCGTTCACATGGCCCCCGTCGGACGACAACGTAGCAGAAAAAAAATTTCTATAAGCGCTAGTTTGATAATCGGGGGAGGCGTGGTGAATGTGTTGCATTGCGTTTTGATGTTGTTGATGGCGACAACACAGTTCATCTCATTCTCATCTCTTTCGACATGCGTCTGTGTTGCCCAATTCCAACGTGACAAACAATTTTTCGTTGATTCTAGAAAATTGAAACCCCCCCCCCCGCTGGATCAACAAATTTCACATTGAGTTTGATTTCAGGGCAAGCCCTTTTGGGCGCTCGTGTTCATCTCGAACCAAAACGGGAAACGAAACCGAACAGCTAGCAGCCGCCGCCGGGAGCTACCCTCATCTCGACAAAACAAAACAAAAATCGAGTCGTCAACTAGCACAAAATGAGGTTTGTGTTTCAGAAAATTTGGCTGAAAATATGTACATTGTTGCGAGATTTTGCACGATGAGATTTTCGTAGTAAACACATACAATGAAGGGTTTCCCGGTTTATTTGTGGAATTGAATTTAAAGGCGCATATGAATTTGATCGCCAGCTGGCCCTATTTGACACAAAATATCCTATCCAATTAACTCGTCGTTCGGTTTTGTGTTTCACAATTTCCACGTAGAACTTTTATAAATCATCATGGGCGTGTCGGCATCGAATTTTTTTTTTGTCGCAACCATAAACATATGAACTCGTGGTTGCAATTCTTGATAATATGCCAATCACATGTTACTGTAGAAACCAGAATCAAAGCACATTCATTCTTTTTTTTGTTGTTCTTGTTGTCCCTGTCGAGCTGAAAAATGTCTAGTGATGGTAGATTCGGATCTAGCCGCCCGATCACGCCCATCGTAAGCGATCCAATAAATATCGTTCATTTTGAATCGAGATCCGTCGATTCGACAACCACACCAAAGTACTAATTCTGAGCGGGGGGATTTTGTGTGTTCGCCAGGAAAGACAATCCGTTTTGGCGTCAAAGTCCAAATTCATTGAACGGCAAACTCGCTTCTTCTCCTCCTCGATGGCACAAATCGTTTATCAATTTTTTGCAGCGAGATTGTGGCAACACTTCCTCAAGGTACCCAAGTGGTCGTCGAGGCCAAGCTTCTGACATCAGACGTCGATCACACCATTGAAGAAGTCCGCCAAGAGGTCCAGCAGCAGCAGAATGGATTGCCTGGGGTGAAGCGGACAATAAACAATGGTCCATTGAATATTATTTTTTTTTATTCAGGGTGGCGTGTCGCGAACATCAAATCGCACATTGTTTTGCCGTAAGTGCGAAGGACATGGCCAACAGGTTGTTCTCAAAGGGCACGCCAGTCGGTGCCCCTTCAACAATTGCCAATGCAAAACGGTACATCCTTTTTTCGTGATTATAAATTCAAGGGTGACAATTAGCGTTATTATCTATATATATTTTTTACCTATATTATTTATAAGAATCAAACATTCACAAGGCTCGTGCAGGGTCACAATATATTTTTCAGTTTTCCTTTTTCTCTCATCCCTTAATCATTTTGGGACCGATTCTTTTTTGGGATTTCTCTTTTCTTTGTAATTCCAATCAATAGAGCTGATACGATTTCCACAATGAATTCTTATTAGTGTGAGATGCGAAGATCTTTGAACTACCAACCGCACTACCGTAATCATTTATCAGAGATCATTGAATTCTCTCTTGCAATATGTGATTCCTTTAGTGCACGAATGTGATGTCGATGAGAGCGAACGCGATTATTCGACGTTACCGCACACGAACGCTCGAAGGCGGTTTGGTTTTGAAGCCGGTGCATTTCAAGAACGGCAACACACGTCTCCGCGTGTTCCCCAAATATGTCGACGGTGAGAATTGATTGGTGTGTCGTTTTTCGACGCTTCAACAATTGTCGTATTCCAGAAACTGATGCGCTTCCGATTCCGAGTTCGCAACAGAATCAGATTGCCAAAGGATTACAATTAGGCGATCAGATCATCATTGAGAAACCGCGTCCGACGACACAAGACCAACAGACGCCGCCGCAATCGGCGACGATCGCCGCCCAGCCGCCGTTTCAAGTCAAACGGAGCTATTCGGACGAGTTCGACGTGAGCCGCGGCTCGAATTCGCCGAAAGCCAACGAGCAATCGCCGCCCGTCGAGCAGCCGCCGACGACGATGGCGAGCATGTCGCTGCCGCTCATTGAGCTCCTTCTCCGCCAACAGGGCCTCAATCCCGACCTGATCGCGAATCTACTGCCAATTGGCAATCAGAATGGTGTGTCGGCGATTCCGGCGACGGCGTACGACAACAGCGCGACGTTGTTCAATGGTTTGTCGTTTCCCAACACCCAGGTCACCTATTCGTCGCCGAACAACTTCGTACCGACTTATGTGACATCAGCGCAGAATGGATTCAGCGACAATGATCGAAAGGTAAAATCGATCAACGTCGAACGTCCCAATTTTAGCCAACGTTGATTTTTTTTGTTTCAGCTATCTGATGCTGCTCTCATTGCGCCGGCTGCTGTTCAGCTCAGCGAGTTGAACATCGGCGTCACCGCTGGAAGCCCAATTCATTCGAGTTGCGATCTCGCACCGAAGTTAACCCCAAACATGTTTGAAAGTGAGAAAATGTTGATCGAAATAATGCATTATTCAATTTTAATATTCAGGCAACAACTCATCGAACCATCATAATCCGAAGCCAGAACCAGAAGAATTCACGTCGAATCTCATGATCGCGCCAACCGCGGACCGCTCTCATCCGTTGTTCCGCAAATTCCTCAACGTTGTGCGCGAGCTCGAAAAACAAATGCTCACAGCCGACTCATAATACTCACGGGTTCCACCAACATCGCAACCTACCTACCTTTTTGCTTCCATTTATTTTCTTTTTATTTTTGCGATCCGCAGATCATAGTTGTTTAATTTATTGCTCATAATTATAATACACCTTGTCAGAATGTTTAGTGGCTTGAATCGAACCAATAACCTACATGCTGAATGCTATCTACAATACACATCATCCATATCTGTAGAATTCCTTGCGCTTTAAAATCGAGTGACTTCAATATGATCCATTAAATTCGTTTGTTCGCGATATTGCCCATTCATAGGATATGTTCTTCATCGTTCCAAAAACGCCCAAACATTTTTTTCTTCGTTTTTTTTTGATAGGATCTCCACAAGCCCACTTTGTTCGATTATACTATATATATTTTTGAATTGTGTTAAACATGTTTATTATTTTTTATTATTACTCACATATTTCTTATACACTTTGTGATTGTCACTGAATTCGTCGGGTCACCTAATGAAAGTTTCAATCAGGAATTTATAATCAATATTCGATTTTTAATGTTGATGAATTTGAAAAGAAGGAATACATACACTTAAGAAAGCGATCACTAACAAGAATTCTTTAAAAACATTTCTTGAATCTAAAAATGATTTCTGTTATGTATAACTGAAGGAAACTATTCCACAACTATAATTATAAGACAAATCATACTGAAATAAATAGTCGATGTCTAAGAAGAGGTATTGGCATGCTATTTATATGTAATTTTCATGAAATAAAAAATATAAAATGCATATTTTTTGCAAAAATTGCATTTCATAGAAGGACGGTTTCCTTACGGGACTTGAATTTTTCTAAAACTGAATTACGTGAAGCTCTGGTTTATTAGTTTTTCACAAAGGCTGCTGTCATAGTTTAATTGGCAATTAACCAATTTTCCAAGACGAAATGATGATCCACAAATTATAAAAAAATGGCTAGCGCAATATTATCACATCGGACCCCAAAAAATGTGTTCTTTCGAAAAGTTCCCAATATGGTTTTGTGCAGATTTGGAAGTAAAAAGGAACTCTTTTATAAACCATAGAATCCACTTTTGGATTACAGAAAAAAACGTCCGATAGTAGATCAAAAATTTGAGGCAGTTATTTGCTCATGCAAAAAAATCTAAAATTGCAATTTTTCCTTTAAAGGTTTGTAAAAAACGCAAATTTACTTTAAAATATATATTTGTTGTGAAAAAAAAAAAGAATTCGGCCATTTTTTTGCTATTTAAATTTTCTGGTCGAATTGAATACTCCTGAAAATGTTCGCAAATAAATAATCTCTACAATCTACAGTATCCCCATGTCGATTGCGCTGATCGAAAAGCTAAATTACTGTAGCTTTTTGACCTACAATCATTTTTTTCGGTTATCTGATCGTCTACCAAATTCCGATTCGTTCTTTGCAATTGACTCAGAATTCGTCGTTTTAGATTGTAAAGATTAGAATGCTGGGGGTCTGATCGAATCGAAGTTTAAAAACTTCTGCGAGGTCATTTGTCTAGGAAAAACAAAAATTGAAGTGGTATATCGAATTTTTCTGAAAATAAAATTAAGAGAAAATGATTTTTTTATTTTTCTTTTATTCCATGAAATCCATTATGGGATAATGCAGAATTTTTTTAATTAGGAAAACGCGATTCGGAAAAAAAAACAAAGATACGCGTGTTTTCGTTGGATTCGCATCGGGACCCATCGGGGCATGCGTCTTAAACTACCGTATCTCTGAGTATGCGATTTTATTTTTATGAATTTTACTTACTCGAAATGTTTTCGTTTACGGTAGTTTAAGACGCGTGCCATTTATTTTTGCGATGGGTCTCGATACGAGTCCAACGAAACACGCGTATCTTCGTTCCTTTAAAAAATTTTTCTGCATCGAATTTTTCTTATTTTTTTCTTTTCTATTTTTATTTTTTCGCATTTCTCCACTAAAGATTTTTGCAAACAATTCTGCCAATTGAAAAAAAAAAATGTGTTGCGTCTTTTTTCTCTATTTAAGCAATTAAAAAATTTTAAGCCTTAAATTTTCAGTTCGCAGAATTGGTCAAGTCATGACGAAGTTTTTGTTTCGCTTTTGGAAATTCGAAATTTTTTGTCTATAAATTTCATTTGAACACTTCTTCTAATAAAACGATCTCTTTATTGTTTGGAATTAAAAAAAAAACTAACTTCAATAAAATTTTTCGACTATATTCTCGTGTTCTGAAATCAAAAAAAAAAACACAACGTTATCCTTGAAGAATTCCCTGGCACTGCAGATGGGAAAATAACAAAAAAAATGAATATAAAGTTAAGGAAAATTTTTTTTAGACTACGGAAGTAAAATTTTTTCTGACCATGTTCCAGTGTGTGGATCACGTGAGTGCGAGAAATTTTTCAAGCAAAGATTACTGTAGATTTTAAAGGTGCAAGTGGGAAACTTTGAAATTCTTTAGGAGTGAAAAAATTTCAAATTTGGCTTTCTGTCAAACATATTTAAAAAAAAACTGCTAAAAATGAAAAAAAAAAACCAAATTTCCTGAGGTTATTTTTAAGCCGGCAACAAGATTTCTTAAAGGGTCTTTGCACGAAATTCCTGATGTGGACCACTCTTGAACAAGTTGGTTCGGTGAGGTAATGATAACTAAACTTATTATATAAAAATCGAAATATTCTCAGAATTGAGAAGAACGATATGAAGTGGTTGAAATTTAGTGAAAATTTTGAAAATAGTTGAAATCAAAAATGGAAAAGTGGATTTAAAAAAATGAAAAATAGCTATTGGTCCTTTGAGAATTAAAAAACTTTTTTTCCATTTTCAAATTTTGAAAATAATGACAAGATCCGAACGTGTTCATCAATTCGAAAATATGTCTACATGGTCCTCTAGGTCATCAGGCTTGTCCCATATATCTCAATTTACCCGAGGCGAATTGAGTCCAAAATTTGCAAAGAATTTTTTTTCTGACTTCTAAATTCGGCTAAATAGATCATTTTGTCGCGTATTTTATTATATAAACTTTTCTCCGTTTCGAACTAAATTCGTTTATTCAATTATTCAATTGTTCAGAGACCAAAATACTGCTTATGTCTTGTTTGGTAGATGATCGGTCATTTCTAAGCTGAATATGAAAAAAATGTTGAGATTCTATACCAATTGTCAATAATATTTCTAATAAAATCCCGTATTTCAGATTGCCAAGGTTCCTGAAAAATTATGAAAAAAATTGTAAACTGTTTTTGGATCATTTATTCATAAAATACTTCCCCATTTTGAAAGATAAATGCTATTTACTTTAATTTCATATTTAGAATTTGTTATTCCAGATTAATTTTTCTAAAAAAAGGGTCAAGTTCGATTAGTTTCAAACATTGGTGGGAATCTCTCTCACGAAATAGCTTATTCACCTCATTTTAGCTTGATGCCAAATCACTCCATCACATGCTTGATCGTCGCAGTGTGTGAAAAAATACTTTAAATCTAGCACACGTTTTGCCGATTCAATAGTTGGCAACATGTTCAACCACATTCATCCGCTTATTCTACCGCTCGGCTTCTTTTATTTCATTTGTTCGGTGATCGGAGTCATCGGAAATTCAATAATGCTCATGTGCTTCTTCCGAACCAAGTTGGTCATGTTAATTCAATTTCAATGAGAATTCCAAAACTTCAAAATATTCTAAAAAGAATTATAAGAATATTATGAAACTCTACTATCCAGATTTTAGAGGAAAATTTAAAAATTCGCATAACATTTTCCGCCTATGTTATTTTCATTTTTTCTTTGTAAATATAAAATTTTTATAGTCGGCGTCCGGCGACTGCTGTACGCGGGTAGATTTACGGGAATGCGTCTTTCGAAATGGTCTCGCAAGGACTAACAGGTTATTTCAAATTTTATGGACCGGTTCGATAATTTTTTAATGGAATGATGTTGGAAATTCAAGAAAATACGAACACGTGGCGAGACCTTTTCAAGGCGCATGCGCGTAAATCGACCCGCGTACAGCAGTCGCCGGACGTCGACTATATAATTATTTGACAATTATGCAATCCTATAAACAAGGGCTTTTAGCACCTAAAAATAAAATATATAAATTTATCTTTAAAAACAAAAAAGCTAAGCGTAAAAAATAAAAACACCGGTGGATCGCTCAAGGCACCGACATTCCTCCCTCGGCCACGGCCACCATAACTCGGCCACTACTATCATAACTTCACGAGCACGCTATTGCAAAAGAGACTAGTTTGCACCATTTTTTTTTTAATTTGCATTGTACCTTCACTCGAATTGACAATCCAAAAAAAAATCGGGATCATCTCGAAATTTCAAGCGTCTTCTTCTATTGTCAACACCAATAGCTATGACACACACATACAAAAAAAAACAATTATTAATCTTTGGTGAAGATTTTTGGTTTTGGCGTTATTCACGGGTTCAAAACAGACTGAAAACTGGCGATTTCTCACGACGACATATTTTTTTTCTCCCACGAGTTTCTATTTTTGAAAAAAAAAATGCACGCAATGAATTACGCGCAATGCATACCCGGAAAAAGAATTGCGTAGCACCGAAAAGACGAACTCACAATAATTGATTATTTTCAGACGCCTTCGATCGCCATGCCATATATTGATATCATTGAGTTGTCTCAGCGATATGTTACACGTCTGCGGCCAATTCGTATTCTGTGTGCATTTGTTTGGAAACTGTAAGAGCAGTTTCATTTTTTTATTTTTAAACATACGCAGCTTGCGAGGCAGAAGGGGGGGGGGGTTCTAAAATCAAAAATAAAATTACAGGCGCATGCAAAATTTTTTTTAAGACGTATGCAAATTTTCTTGAAATTTCGATTTTCCTCAATTTTCCTCCCATACAATTTTTCATGATTAAACGACAAACATTCAGTAACCTCTTCTCAAGCGCAATGCTTCTACATGCTCATAATTCCACTAATAGGAGTTAGTGCTTCGGGACCCTTAATTTTAGCAATGGGAGCTGATCGCCTAATCGCTGTTAAGTTTCCAACAAAGTGAGCCAATCAGCTCAAAATTGAAAAAATTGAATCTCTTTCAGATATCGGATGTACCAGCAAGAGCCTAAATATTACATAATTTCGCATATGATTATCCCAATTTTGTACGTCATTTCGATGCTTGCCTATGGATATACACAACGAATCGATGATATAAAAACGTAATGATTCTTATATGTATTTTTTGCATCGTTAGTTTCACTAAATATTTTCAGACAAGTCACTTGTGCGGTGCCTCTCGCTTTAAATGGAACTTCTTTTCAATATTTCACATATTCTAGTGCGGTTATTTATTTCGTTGTTATTATTCTTTATGGAACCGTTTATGCTTTACTGAAGTCAAGCAGTGCAAGTGAGATTGAGCTTTATAGAAAAATTTTTTTTCAAACTTCGGGACAAAAAAAATCAAGTTTTTTCGTTTAAATTTCCAATGCAAAAAAAATGGCGCGATACATTTATTTTCAAAGACGCATTCAACAAGGTTCGCGGGTCACGTCACGATTTGTCTACGGCATTACGCAGATTTCGCAAAAAAAAAACACAAAAAAGGCCATAAATTACCTTTTTTAATACAGTTTATTATTAAACTACTGCAAGGATCATGAAAAAATTATATTTTATCACAATAGAAGAAATATCAACCGTAATAGAAAAAAAAATCGAAAAATTTATTTTAAAAATATCGTTACGGTTAAAGGCGCATACAATAAAATTTCATGATTCTTGCAACGATTTAATAAAAACCGTGGTACTGTAGGTTTCGAAAAACCTGGACGTGGCTGAGGGTTTTGGGGTTTTTTTTTCTACAATAGCGGTTTTTATTGATTTTTCAAACCATACGAGAAACATTGAAAATGAATGGCTTTTGAGAATTACGATCGATCGCATTTTTTAGGCCTGCATAGATAATTTGAATGAAAAATTTTTTTTTTGATTATTCGTTTTTTTTTCTTCTCATAACGTAAAAAGAATGAAATTCCTTATTGATTTCAGGTACTCGATTTCGATCAGTATTCAAATCAATCGCAATCACTGTTGGATTTGTGATTTTCGGCTGGGTGACCACCACAACAGCAAACACATTGTCGTATGAAGTGACGACAGACCCGTTCGTTTCAGCTGTCATTCAGATGTACGCTGGTGTTACCGTGAATATGGCAGCGTCGTCGAACGTCTTCGTATTTTTTGCTATCAAGTTTGCCCAATTTGGAGTGGCGATTATTTGGTGGAAAATTTGAAACGTTTTCAGTTCGGAATATCGCGAAGTGATCAAAGCTTTATTTGGAATGAACAGCAAAGCGAATTCGGCAATGTTCGAGGCGTCAAGTGCAACAATGACGGTTCGGAGGAAAAGCCAAGGGACGAGTCTTGCGGCGATTCGAAGCACCTCGAAGTTTTAAAATTCGAATGAGATTAAATTAGTGATTCAATAAGTCAGCGTTTTTTTCAACGAATATTGTCGGTGTCGCGCGATTGCAGAAAATTGGCCAAACGCCAAAAAATCAATGACTGTGGCTTAAAAATGAAATTGTAGAATTACATTCCAAAATTTAAGGTTTAATTTACCTTTTCTTAAAATGTTTGGCATTTTGCCAATTTTTTGCAGTCGCGCAATTAGTTTTTTGTGAGAAACTTTCAAATTTGCTTTATTCAATTATGAAAGCTACATTAATACAACATTCTGCAACCCGTCATCACATTATAATTCCTTCTTTGGAGTGTTGATGTTGTTGTTGTTCTCAACGATCGGCTTCTCATCTAAAAGCATACATAATCATTTCAAATGTCGTGAATAGAAAACCTACACTCCTCGATCTTCGTCTTTTGTGGGAATAGTCGCCATAGATGATAGCCGAGGGCGGTGAGAAACAAATTGAAGGCAATGTAGACTAATGCAGACGCCATATTCAGAAAAATTGATTCTAAATGGATATTTTTAGATTTTCTATATAAGCAGGTGAATCGGAAAATAACAATTCGGATTGAATGTAGAAAATTATATGAAAATAGGATTATTTATTATATCGAAGCAGCTAATCACATAGCATCATTTTCAATGACGTTTTTACGGATAATTCTTCGCAAGATTTTTAAATCAGTGAGTTTTGAGCTGAAAATCCGTCTCAAAGCTTCAAGTAGTCAGGAACAACTCTTCAAAAAAAAATTACCTCCTCCCCCAATTTTCTCTTCAAAAGTATTGTCAAGAATATTTATTTTTTTAAATAAATTTTTTTTCGGGCTCATAACTTTCGCAAATAATTTTTTTTTGTCATTTGCACAATCGGCCAAAAATTCGACATGCCCAAGTGAATAATTGAGCAAACATTTTGAACTGTTAGATGATTTGAAGAGAAGGTTCTCGAGATTTGAGGTCTAAAAGGCGATTCGGTCTCGCAATAATTTCAGCGTTTGGCTAACATTTCTCAAAATTCCAGTGTACACTTTCAAAAATTTGGTATTTTCGTGAAAAAAATTACAATTGAATTTCCGTAAATTTTCTTCAATTTTCAATGTACCCAAAATTTATTGTGGACAAATAATCGTCGATGAATAACAAGCATAAATTGTGTACTACCTGTTTTTGCTATAGTGCGCTTCTCATCACTCAATTATTCAGGCTGTGTTGTGTTTCTGAAAATTCCAATGTGTACAAATAAGCAAGCAAAAAAAGGATGGAAGAATCCATGAAACAAACATAAAAAAAATATATATATATATAAACAAAATATTGATGAAGCTCGAATTCGTTCGAATGTCGGAAGTCGAATCGAACACGCTTGCATAAATCATGGAAGAATAAAAAAAAAGACGAAGTGGAAACGAATATCCCATTTGAAGCGGAGAGCACATTAGGATTTAGTAAATATATGTATGTATTCTCAAGTGCACGAAGAGCACGAATGCGTGAGCCTTTAATATTCTATAATATTTGGGAAGAGAAGAAACGACGAAGAAACTTCAATATTTACTTTTTTTTCTCGGACGAATGGGGGGGTTACGAATGTTTAAGAATCGCCGAGAAACGGCACTTCCTTCAACCCATCCAAATTGGTTTGCAAATTGGCTTGTTTGTGATGATTCAAGCCAGCAACACACACACACACACACTCAATTGCGGCTTATTGCCCAATGATATATGTCTCTTTTCCATCTGTTCGGCTCACTTTTGATTATTCAAAGAGCCCCCCCCCCAACAAAAACTTGATGGTTCTAATATTCTTGAGACGAAAACGATGAGGCAATGCAAAAAAATGGATTCTTTCTTTTAACCCCCTTTGCGCTTCATCGTATAATTGGGTAGAAGCGATTTGGGAAATTGGCTTGATTTTAAAAGCCGTCATTCCCAAAAATGGATGGACAGAATTCGAGCAGCGCGGTTCAAATATCAATCAACATATTATAATTGTGGAGACAAAAATTGTTAGCGCTTACAATTTACAAAAGGAGGGGGGGGGGTCTTTTTTGAATTCCTTCTTTTTTTTAATTGATTATTGTTTATCATACAGATTTTTTTGAAATTCATTGAACTCTTCAAAATTTAGTTCCTCCCTTCATAAATTTTACTTTGGAAATTTTATTTAAAAAAATTTTATGCAAGAATAAAGAAAATGTAAAGCAGACTCAAAAAAGACCTCCCTTGTTAGCAGATTTAAATACAAAATTAGGAAAAAAAATGATTGTAGAATCTAAAGGCGAATTGGGCATAATGGGGAAGAGGGAATGAATTATTATTGGTAAAAATATTAAAATCGCCTTGAAAATGCATTTACTTCAAAAAAAAGTTTCTTCTAATTCTCTAAAGAAAAAAGAGATTAGCAAAAGAAGGAAGCGATTATTTTTGAGATAATTTTACTATTTTTCTGCATTGACTCTTTTGGATTGAATGCTAAAAAACCTAGAGTATCTTGCTCCACACGAGACCCAACAAAACATACAAACAGTACATTTGTATGCACAGATGATTTGAATAAATTAAAAACGATTTTTCCCCCGCTGATAACCACCCCACGCCCCTCCCCTCGTGAGTTGCGTACAAAATTATTCAACTGAAATATAGAGCGTTGGCAAAAAAGTGACTTCCAGAATTTTTCGCTACAAGACCTTGTAGTGCAAATGTGAGGCAGTCAGTACACGTTTACATACTTCCAGAATGTCGTGTAAAGTTTGCGACGACTTTAAAGTTTGCGACGCGGGACCTTCAAATTCGCGAAATCAGTGTTGATTTAAATTTTTCATTGACTGAATATTAAATGCGCGTACACTATAATGCAATGTACGCAGCCGCTGCTTCGAGACTCATTGGCACATATTTTTTAAAATTTTGAAATTTTTTGAGTCGTTTGACACCGAAAATATAGTATTTAAAAATGACTTCACAAATCAATTTTCTATATAAATAGGCTAATAATTAATAATAGTTTTGCGTCATTTTTCACAAAAAAAAACACATTAGTCATAAATGCAACATGTCCGACGGCATTGTTCCAAGCAACAAAAGCGTCGTTTTTTTTGTTTTGAAAAGAACCAAAAATCGGGCCGAAAATAATAGCGTTTTGTGGGAACCTGAAAATAGGGGGACCCACAAAAAATACATACATATGTATATAGAAAATATGGAATATTTGTTGAGAAATTCGAGATGAAGACGGCAGAAGGTCTCGCCACGATACGCCCGGAAATGGAAATCGAATCCAAAACGTTTCAACCGGTTTGAGGTGTAATAATACCGCAATCCTATTAATAGTTTTTGGCGCTGCGGAAAATATATGTACATATTAGGCTTGGGCAAAAGAAATGCAGGATTTCAAGCTTAACGGTTCGAAAAGTGTAAAATACAAAAGTAAAAAATATATTTGAATGTAGAAACATGAAAAATGGAATTTCTTGAACAAGAATCGCAGGGAAATAAGAGCAGCGAAGCGGAAACAATTTCGATGGACGATATTAAAAAAATAGATTGGAAAAAATATTGAAACATTTTTTCTTGCTTTCATAACAATTGATTCAATTGGGAAACCTAGAAGAGAACACAATAAATTCGGTTTTTGGTTCAAAATTTAGCACGTCATTATCAGCAGCTTCAAAATGACCACCTGCCGACAGATGCCACACTATTATTCATTGCGATAAAAATTGAACTTACCTAATTGTGGGGGGGGAAGCGTGGGGAATGGGGTGGGGAAGAGGCATAATTTGGAGTAGAGAGTTTAAAATATTTGGATTTTAGATTTTGGATTTTTGGATTTTTCTGGAACCGGTTCATTTTGAATCACCTACCTTTATTGCCAAGTCAAACGACTTGACGAAATTTAAAAAAAATAATTGGCTATGTGCCAATGTGTCTCGGGGCAGCGAGATGTACGCAAGATTGCGTACATTGCATTATGGTGTACGCGCATTTAGTATTAAATCAACACGGATTTCGCGAATTTGAAGGTCCCGCCTCCATTCAGTCGTTTGATTTTGACAATATATCAGTAAAAAATAATAAGAAGGAATATTGAAAAATCCGAAAGTGTCAACAAATCGAAAATTTAATGAAAAGCGTCGCTTGGCAATGGGAAAACGCTCAAAGAAAATGAAGATTATAAAGAAAAAAAACGAAGAAGAAGTGGTTGTGCAAATAATTAAGAAAACATCCATCCAGCTTACTAGGTTCGACACCTGCTCAACAGTATATTTGGGCATACACATTTCGAAATGATTCAAGACGACTAGGTGTGGATTGTTTGCTCAACAGCTCTCACGCCAACAATTTTTTGCCCGTTTCTGCGCCGGGCATCTGTCACACCATTTGACGCGTTAATTATACCGTTATTACCGGCGCCAAGGACCATTGGGTTCGTGCAAAAGAAATTCAACTTTTCTGTTTTTTTTTAATCCACAAAAATGCTATTTTATATACCATTTAAAGTTCATCGAGTGCTCTTTTTAAATGCTTCCTCAAAATGTGCCTCAATTCACAGAAATCGAAAATGGTGCATTTCTTTCGCGCCAATCCAATACTATATGATTTCTTATCTGCTCTCGAATGACGCCATATTCATATAGTTAATATTTACATACATATAAGAAGACGGACGACAATTATTAAATGATTAGAGTCGAATTTCCTCTTGAACCACCCGATTTGTTGCCTTTTTCTCTTTTGGCATACATGGCAAATATTTGACCAGTGGTATCTGGCAAAAAAATGAATGGGCAATGATTCATTGGGTTCACGTCACTCCCTTTTTACCTTATTCAGAATTCTCATGACTATCGGCGGATAGCTGTAGGTGCATTCATCGATGCCGACCGCGTGGATTTCACCGCGAGCTCGGAGGCCACGCTGCTCTCTCGTGGCACCTGAAATTTCTCAATGTTTGTCAGACACTCGAACAAAAATGAAATGGTTTAGACCGAAATTGTGTGTGTGTGTTTTTTGTGATTATTGACTCAGCCACACGTTTGACACATTTTGATCAGTGTATGCCCTCGACGAGAATTGTTCGAGAAATTCATCGAAGCTAGATATAAATTCGAAAAAAAATCATTGGGAATAAATTTCTCGCAAAATTTCGTAGATTTCTCAAGAAATCTTCGAGAATTTATCAAAAAAAAAAATGTGAACACACAATGACGAAATATTGCAGACAACACAACAAATTTGACGGCGATTTTTCAGAATTGATTTTTTTTCGAAACTATTCATTCAACTTTCAACTTTATTTCGAAGTATTCCTTTATTTTAAGAAATTTCAAAATCATTTTTTTTGGTCGTTTTACACGAAACCAACAGAAAAAAAATCGATTTCGTGGAATGCCCCCGCAACGCAGAAAGAAGAAGCTCATAAAAAACACAATTAAAACATAATTTTACTAGAAATATCGAAGATTTAAAAAAAAAGAAATTTTTGAATATTTCTCGAGGAGAAAAAAATCAGAAAGCAGTAATTTCCTCCAAAAAATTCTCGAATTCATTTTTTAAGGGCACACACTGATTTTGATATCATTTTTTTGGAAGCAAATTGATTTTTGTTGAACAATTTCGAAATCGTCTCTATGTAGTTTCTAGCATACCTCCAATTGTGTTGTCTAGAATACACGCGCACAGCGCGCCAACAAACATTGGCATTTGGAGTAGAACATTGAGAATCTGATTGAGCCATCCCCAATCGGTTGCCACCGGAAATTTCTTATAATAATTCGGAACGATGAAACCGAGCATCATCGAGAAGCCGAAAATTCCCATATTACGCGACATTGACATGTCGACGGTTTGCAGGTTCGAGACGGCGACACCGACAACCATTGCCATCGATGAGGCGAGCACACCTCCCACCAATGGGTCTGGAATGGTCGACAGAAGTGCACCGATCTAGAGACCACGATTATTGTTTCTCAAAACAATCTCTTGCCTTGGTGATCAATCCCAAAATGATGAGAAGGACGCCAGCGACAACCATTGTCCATCTCGACGCCACTCGGGTCACCCCAATAACTCCGATATTCTCGGTGTGTGTCGTCATTCCGACGCCCGGTCCCAACAATCCGGATATCAGCGATCCGAAACCTTCGGCGAGGATTCCTCGATTGATTGCATGACTCGGCGGTGGTCGCTCTTCGGAGACTCGAGCCGCGGCGTGATAATCTCCGACCGATTCGAACACCGAAGTCATTGCCGATAGTAGGAACAATAAGAAGAGGCCCAGATTGAATTGAGGTGGTCCGAATTTGCCTAGAATTATTAAATGTATAATGATTGGAAGGAAGCAAAATTGAAAAAAAAACAAAAACAAAACCCGGATACGGAACTTCAAGCCAATTCGATTCACGAATCACCGCCAGCGAGATATTCTTGTCAACTCTAGCCGGACTTCCTTCGGGGGTTAGATTCAGCAGAGTCAAGGCGACACAAAAAATCCAAGAGGTGATGATCGCAATGAGATACTGGAAATTGTGGTAAAACTCGGAATCAATTTTTAATCAAGTGCTTCTACCGGATATTGCCCAAAAATATTCGTGCGATACCAATGGAATTTTCCGTGCTTGACGCCCGGCAATGGGACCTTCACATCGACAAGATACAAAATTGTTGCGAACAATGTGACAGCTTGAACAATGGCCACCCAATGCTTTGAAATGTGAGTGACCATGAGTTCGACTTGACTGAATGCTAGAAGAAGCATCAACGGCGATACAGTAAGTGGACCGATGAATTTGGTGAGAAGCCCGACTAATCCTGTGGCTCCGATGAGCATTGGAACAAACGATGAAGCGATGAGGCAGCCTTGAATCTTAAATCTAGGCAATTTGCAGATTGTTTTTGCTAGCTCGTTCCTACCAGAGCGAGTTTCCCATAGTAAACTTCCGGAGGCACTTCGTCGTGCTCGGTGGCGTTGCACATATTCTCCGGCAAACTCATGAATCCTTGAACCGATGGGACGTAGGCGAACGCGGTGCCTTGAAGCAACGCCAGTCGCATTCCGAATAGGGTTTGAATTATCGTCGAGATGCCGCTGCTCACAAATGTTGAGCTAATCAACGTTTGACGGAGTTTTGCTTGAAAATTGAATGTTTCGACATCTCAGGTCAATTCGGATCTCAACAATACCAATACTGGAGCCTGGACAGAGCGAATCGGCCATGATGAGGGGCACCGTGAGAAGTGCGGAAACGCACACCATGACTTGCTGAAAGCACGAATAAATATACAATACAATCAAAAGTCGAATTCAAAAAAAATTTGTAGCATTTTTTTTGAATTTCGCGCCAATTTTCAATATTTTGTTGTCTGTCTCACATTATGAATTTTCGACTACTCTATGCAATATTTTTTCCGTCGGGGAAAAATTTGAAGAAATGTATTTTTAATAAAAATACATGTCAAATGAAAAAAAATCAAATGTGTGCAATTTTGCGTACGGTACCTTTACGGACTTTTAGAAAATTCTGTGGCGTTCAAAACTGTCTTTTTAAAATTGAAAACTTTGATGCAAAAAATTTCCAAAATGTTCCCCACTTTTCGAATTACCCTTCTAACACATATTTTTCTGAATCTGATTATCATTTCTCGATATTGAATTTCGTTTTAAAGAATTAATCCAAATTATTAATCATTCGAGCTTCCCGCTTATCCATATCAGATCAAATTCATCATTAATAGGATTAAGTGATGCCGTTGTTTCCTCATGTATCGATTCAAATGATATCAATTCATTTTTTTGTTCCTCGTCAAAAAAAAAAACAAGGCTTGTTGTGATTGATAAGAATTTTTGATTAAAAAAAACTTACTTGAAATCCATACAAGAATGCGATGGCAACCGGCGGAGTGTCTTTGGCTTTAAGGAACGGCCGTTGCCGTTTCACTGGTTTCTCCTGATAATCCATATTTGGTATGGATGGGTTACCCTCTGAAGAAAAATTGGGAGAATCGATAATGTGTCTCAATCGTTATCTCGCCGTGAATTACGACAAGTATCATTAAGAACGCGGAGGATGATGATGATGACGGTCTGATGAGGGGGGAGGGGGGAGGGGAGGGGAAGAAGGAAAAGAAGACAACGAGGAAATGAAAGGAACATTTAACAATATATCACATAAAAAACACACACACACACGACAGTTAAATGAAATCTTAGTCAAATGCGCATGAATGCGAATGTGATGGTTCGGAATTCTATGCAAATCAAAGATACAGACGGACACACCCGCATTATAATAATATTATTATTATATGGCATTATTATTCAATCGGCGGTGTCTCTCTCTTCCCCCCCCCCTTCTCTTTTTTCATTGATCGTGAAAGAATGAAAAATTTTGAGCGAATTTAAAAAATGGCAAGACGAGGATCGAAACGGTTCAAAATGATTAGGCTGACTGGCTGACAATAAGGAAGTTTCGTTCAACGTAATGTTTGTGTTTCTCATATAAACTTGCCTGTGTCGGCAATTCATCAAACACGCTGCTACCTATACATTAATTGTACATCATGGTCCACCAACCCCAATTCCAATTGAAATGGTGAAAGTTGGTATTTGGACTTCAAAAAATTTTTGGGGGGCCTTTAAAACACTTCCTCTCGAATTATTTTAATATTTGCTCCCATTATTCTAATTTTTAAATCAAGATTTACTCGATCTCAAATTTTCTAGCCCCAACGATTCTCCGATTTTTTCTAACAACAATTTGTTCCGTTGAATTTTTGCAACGCTTCTTTCAGATATGACAGACTTGATATCAATCAAGTTACATACATGAAATTGAAGATGGTGAGCGAGCAATTCTTGGATTTTTAAGGGATTTATTATCCTTACTTCTTTTTTGTTACGGGGGGACCGGGATCTTATCGAAAATTTTGTGCGGGACCGGGACCTTATTGAAAATTGGTTTTAGGATGAAGACTTGTGAAAATAATCCAAGAGGAAGCTGATTTTCAATAATTCGGATTCTATAACCTTCATTAAACTAGCAGCTCATCTAGATTTCAGTTTCGCACAAGCTTCTTAACTATGCATAAATGCTACATTTGCTCGAAAAAAAAAAGAAAATTAAAGAGAATTTGGTCAAATCAGAGTGTTTACCATATACGCATGGTAAAAATTTTCGCTTTGAAGTCATTTTACCTCCCGTTTTGGAATTTTTTTGTAACTTTGCACACGTAAACTAGAAGGTCTTCTGAGTGTGTTCACAAAATTCTAGCCTGTACTGGGGGGTTACAGACGAGTTATTGCCGATCTGTGAGACCCGCAAGTCGGAATGTATCACAAAATATTTGGCTCAAAGCACTAGGCCTATCGTTGAGCCATCATTTTTAAAAAGTTAAAAAAATATTAGGAATATTCAAATTGTTAGAGCCACGACCTGTCCCGCAACACAATACAAATATTCTTAATTAATTGGACCCTATGGGGATCTTCAAACGACTCTTTTTTTCTTGTTATTCAATTCAATTAATCTTCACTTACTTCTTCAGATTCATCAATTTTCTTTCGTCTCCAACATCCACGTGAATTCGAATCGAATTAAATGAAATGAATTAATGTATGAAATTGCACGCGTTTTTACGCGAAAAACGAGAACAAAAAATTTCTTCCAAAAAATGAATAGCGGTTTTTTTCGAATATTTTCGTTCCGCCTGGTTTTCATAAATATTTGCACACGTGCAATGTTTTGAATTTGAATGCCACATTCGTATATTCCATATTTGGGAGCTGTTCGCGGGATTCAGAAGGGCGCATTCAATCTTGCCAATATGAGTTGACGCATGTCTCCTCTATCGTCCATTATTAATGAATCTCGCAACCTTTGATCATTCTCGGCTAGATTTAAGCTTCTTATATACCGATGATGGGCTGCACGTCACGACGAGAATTGAATGCTTTCGTCGCGGGGAAATCGTCAAGATCAAACTAGATAGAAACACGAACAAACAATTCGAAACGATTTATTGTGTGGTTCGACAGTCGCTCATTCTGACGCTGTGTGCACTCGGATAATGAAGTTTTGATGATGATGATGATGATGGCCAAACAGGCAATTTGGTGTTGTTGTTGTTGTTGTTGTTGTTGTCTTTTTTTTCAAAGGGGAATGTGAGGGAAACCAAGAAGAATAGAGAAATTGGAGGAGAAGAGAGGAGAAAAATCGAAGAAGAAAAAAACCACAAAAAAAATTAACAAGAAATATTTTTATACGCTATTTTCCGACTCATTGGGCACCGATTTCAAATTGTGCATTACTCTCATTTAATTGTTTAATGTTTTTGTGTGTGTGCGCGTGCTCACCCGAAAAGGATGCTACTACATTTCAGATTCATTTTTTTTTCAGCGTCGGGATAGTTGATATAGAAAAAAAAACAGGATAGATTTTGTCGGGGGGAAGGTGGGTTCGTGGGGGGAAGGGGAGGGGAGGGGGAGCTTTGTACAAGGGCTTCTCGAGTCTACTTCTGGTTTCTCTTGTGCGCCGTCTGGACCACGTTGAGCTTGTCGTTGTTTTGAATCGGCTCGATGAGATCGTAGGGCGCTTCGCGGGTGCCGTGCAACATCAACTGGAACTTCTTGAGGGTTCCACGATGGTCTCCCGGTCCCTACAATGAATTGGTCTCGCGTCCATCTCTAGTCAATGGTCCTACCTGGAATCGCGCGATGAGCCGCCATTTTCCCGACGGATTCTCTCCCCATGTGTGCGTTGTCATGAATGGCCAATTCGTGAATCCATCCTTGCTATCATCATCCTTGGGACGCCGCGAGAGGATCATTGTTCTAGTTCCCATCGGCGAGACGAGGTACAATGTGGTGTCGCCGCGTCTTGTCGAATTGAATGTGACGACCGCCTGAACATGTTCAAGATATCGCACTTCTGTCGGTGTTCCGGCGCATCCGTCGGTGTCAATTTCAAGAACAAGGTTGCCAGTAGCGGGGATTTCGCTGAAAAATGATAATAATTGATTTTCCATATGCAAATCATATTCAAAAAATTGCCATTTTTTTGGTTTGAGGTTTGATTTTTGGAACGATTATTCATAAATGTTGCAAAAAAAACACTCAAAACATGAGTTTTCAATAAATAATTCAGCTGTATGACGTTTTGAGAGAGGGAAGGCTGCCCATATGAATTTCGAGGTATCAAATGTCTTACTGTGGGGTGTCGATGATTCCGGCTGAGCAGTGATAGCGTGGTGGAGCCGTCTTCCAAACCATTGCGAGCATAACCTAGTAAAACAAATATTGAAATTTTGCTGCGGACAATTTCGATAAGGAATTACCATTTCGGCGGCATCCAAGACGCCGAATCCGAACAGATGATTGTACTCGAGTCCAACACCATTCATTTGCCATTCAAATCTTGAGCAGTTGCCCTTTGAAACACGATGGTTGTCCTTAAACAGATACGGGTTGGAATAAGGGTTATGACGTCTGCAACTACTTTAAGTCCAAGGTCCGGCAAATCGCGGCAGCGTCCGTCGAACAGCGAGTTTCTCGTCGATGTGAGCACCGTCAAGTGTTGCAAATCTCGCCAGGTGAGCTTCGGATTGGCTTCGAGGGCAAGCGCGAACACACCGGCGGCTTCCGGTGCCGCCGCCGACGTGCCCGAATGCGATCGTGTGCATCTTCCGTACAAATCGGTGGTGGCGACGCCAGTCTCCGGATTTCGACCGCCGTTCGAGAACGTCGACGCCAGCGTTGACGAGCATGACTCGTCGTAGTGCGCGTTCTCGCCGTTGTTGATGGCCGAGTTGATCGAGATCGTCCACATGCTGGCCGCGTAGCCGTCGCAATTGCAATCATCATCCTCGCCGCCGTCGCCGCTGGCCCAAACGAATATCGATCCGAGCCCGTCGCGTCCCTCATTCACACCCTTCACAATTGCTCTCATCGTCGCGTTTCTTGGCCCGTCCACCGTTTTACCATCGTCGGTTGGTCCCCAACTGGCAGAGTAGATGTGGATCTTGTTCGGCTCATGTCCCATTGAGTTAGCCTATGATTCAAATTCAAGGTGAAACTAGAGAAAAAGCTGCAAACCTACCTCAATCAGATCGGTCATGTAGGGTTGATCAAGCATTCGAATACCGGCAACTTTTCCATCGTAGGCAACTCCGACACCGCACACGCCATTGTCGCGAGCAGCGACGATCTCACCAGCGCATCTGAATCAGCAAATGAGTTTCTAGGTATTCGCGAAATCATTCAAAACCGTGTTCCGTGCGAATTGAACCAATCATCAGTATATCTTGGATATGGGAATGGATCATTCGAAGAGAAATCGTAGGAGGCTTCAGCGTTCTGAAAAAATGCCACAAATCTTCGAGTCACTGTGGGAGCTTCGACAAAAAAATTACAAAATTGTTCTTGATGTCCGGATGCATGTAATCAACACCATCATCCATGATGGCGGTGGTGATGTTCTTTCCAGTGAATCCCATCGCCCAAGCTTTTTCAACATTCAAATCGAGGCGAGCTTTGCCACCGGCCTGTCCGGTGTTCTTCTGAAAAAAAAAACATTGAGACAAGTCGATTCCAAATTTGGAACAGAGCGAAAAAAATTGAAATCTTACCAAGTACCATTGGTATGAGTAAAGCGGATCGGACGGCGAGAGAACCGGCGAGAAATCGAATTGGCTTTCAAGTCGCTCTTTCAATGGTCGATATCCTCGTTTGGTGCGCTTGTATCCGATCAATTGTTCGACGTGTGCCACCTCATCGTCGTTGTGCAATTTCGCGTGATGTCCGATGGATCGTTTAGTGCGCGCGTGGGAGAGCGCCGGTTGAACAAAGTGATATTCGTTGTGGGACCCGAGAACCTAACAACATCCATATGTTCCAATTCATTTAGGGAGGGGAGTTCAAATTACCGGTCCTCGATTGATGAATCCGTGTCGTTTTGCGATCTTATGAGCATTCTCCAAACCGCCCTCTTTGAGATGAACGTGAAAATGGTTGGTGTAGACCTCGACGGCCTCGCTAATGCAGACAATGATTGACAAAATTAGCACCCATGTTACGTCCACATATGTTTTTTTCATACCTGTTAAGGAAATGCGATTTATCGCAAACGGAAATTTCGGAGGGAAAAAAATTAATCATAGAAAAGTCAATGAATATGTCGTCAAGGTTGTGTGGTTCAATTCAGAATACATCTGCTTCACCATGACGAATGAATATCGTAGCTAACGAGAAAAAAATGGATGAAGGGGGACGGAGAAGGGAGAAATGAGAAAGAGGAGCATTCATAAATCGCGTTCGATTCGGTTTGGCTCTTCGAAACCGGTTATTATATGAAGAAACATGGGCTACAGTAGAAATGGAATGTCAAAGAGCGCTTTTTGCCAATGTCACAAGGACGATTCTCGAAATTGAAATCTCCTCATTGTTTTGTTTGACGGCAAATTGGGGACCATGAAAATTTTGGGTTAGAGAGAGCGCGGCTGACGCATGTGCTCAATAGAGCCCTTTTCTCTCTAAGGTGCTCACACACATGCACTCACTGAGTGGATTGACGGATTTCCGAGAAATCGGTAATTTTTCTATTATTGCGGCATATGACTCGAAAACCCAATTAGAGAGGGTGGCGGGTAGAGAAGGAAGAAGTGAGCTTCTCAACAAGGTGTCGTTTTTTTTTGTGGGCTCCATATATTTAAATCAACCTGCGAAATTCTCATTTTCCGTTTGACGTCACTTCTGTCCAAATGATAGACGAAAAATTGGAATGTCGTCGTTTGTAATCCCATGGATTACTGTAGATATATGGGACCACGTTTATGCATGCCGGTCGCGAATATCCATGACGACGAACATGAAGATGAGAATGTGTTAAGCATGACCAAAAAATGGATTTTTGTTATGAAAATGCCAATTAAGAATGTATAGAGAATCTTCTACCGTATCCCGGGGCAATTTAAAGGGGGGAGGCGAAATTGAATTCATTCACTAAAGCAAACAAATCAAAATTGCAAGCCACTGCTCGAGTTTTTTTTTTCTTCAACCATCGGTTTCAGGGATAATTGCAATTCTTTGGAATTGCTCTCAAATTTCGTTGAGGAAATATTTGATCGTTTTCCTTTTCACAAAGAATGCCGCAATGAAAAATATTAAAGGCGCATGATAGGGAGCTGATCTTTGGATATTGTAGCTGAAAATTCTAGAGCGACTCTACAGTAGCCTTGAACTAGGTAATTGGAAAAAATTCATACGCTGGTTCGTTTCTGAGTAACGCAGATGTTTGAGACGCCCACTTGCTGCCCTCTTTTGGACTTGCAATTTCTGGAAATGTCAAACATTTCAGGCTATTCGAAAACCCGGAAGATTGTCCGCAGATGGTTTTAGTGGAATTTCAAGTCAAGTCGCTCCATTTATTTTAACGATATACCATCAATTCCATCAATATGTCGAAAACGCAACACGAAATAGAAAACTATTCACTTTAATAATAATATGGCTCTTAAAAGGCAAAAACGCAATGTGATAAACCAAAATGGGATGAAAAAAAAAACGACTCGCAGGAAAGAGCAGAAAAGAGAATGGAAGAAGGCGTGCGGGAGAGAGTGGAAAGGGGCGGCTTCGATCGATGTCGAGCTCGCGCATTCCTCACAGCGTCTCGCTCGCTCTCATCGATTCGCGCCGTCGTCGTTGTCGACACAGAGAATGGGCGCGCGCGCGCGTGAGCGAGCGCTTCTCCGAAATAGATGACGTCGTCTCATTTTGTGAAGGCACACATGCACACGCGCTCGCTGGGGCGCGGCAAACAAGCACAGCGCCACACAAGCATTTCAGCTCGACTGCCGAAATAAAAACACACACACATATACATTTATATTGAGCGGAAGGATAATCAAATGAATATGGGATGAATTGCGGTTTCCGCATTCAACCGAAACATTTTTCCTTATGGCAATTATGAATGGTTGGCTGAAAGGAGCTGAACGCGATGATCCGGCCAATTTATGTCTTTTGTTCGCACATCCAAAAGGGAGGGGGGAAGCAGAAAATCCAACTTGACTGAAAATAAGTGTGCGCCATCGAATCCATGCCAGATTTTTGACTAGGCATTTCCCTTCAGCGGGCAATTCGAGATGCCGTTGAGACATGCCACAAAAGGGAATTGCTTTCGAGAGCCTCGGCAAAAGTTGGGCACTATTGGAACATCATGGCGGTAATTTCACACGTTCTTCATTCATTATTTATATGGGAATATTTTTAAGCATCTTGCTTAATTTGTTTTCCAATTGGTTTTGTTTGCTAACAATTCTAGATGTAGAAGCCACTTGGCTTCCTTGGGCAAGCCTTACAGAAAATCTGAGAGGGGTTCTTCATTTTTTTCCCAAACCAAATCAAATTTCTTTTCGCTGACCACGTTTCTCTAATAATAAAACGAAGGAATTGAGCAGAAATCTGAAGGAAAAAAAGCTCGTTTTGTTTGTGAACATGTCGGAGAGCAAGCCAAAATTTTGGCGATATTGCCGCTAGCTGCATCCGACTAAAAAATTGCGCATTTATGAATATATTTGCGCATATTCGTCCCGAAAATTAGCAAGGAATATCTTTACGTCATCAGTAGTTCATAATTGAAAAAATAGCTAAAAAAAATGATTGCATTTATAATTTACATAATTGCATATTTCGCGGGTATAAATTGAGATTGCATTATTTCATCGAAAACCATGGGTTTCGATACATTTTGCGGAATTTGATTAGTTTAACATATTGTTTGACGTGTAATCAGTATTCTTTAAAACGTCTTGAAAGCTTCATAATGCCCACTGTTTCAAATTTGTTCAAAAAAAAATATTCGAACTGCCTCGCAAACGGGATTAGCAATAGAGCGTGTTTGTCTTCGAATGTACTCAAGATAAATCACTCGTATTTTCCACAATTTATTTGCTTGGGTTCCAGCTTCTTATTCGGGCTTTCATCGCAAATTTCGACATAAAACCTCACCGATAATAAAATGACGGTTAGAAAAAAATCAGTGAAAAAATAATAAATGAAAATATTCAGGATTATGGACTTCAAGTGAAAGTTTTGGATTTTGACGAGGAATGGGTTGAAGCTCGTCCAATAGTATTAAATTTATTATATCAAAAGGTGAAATAGATGGTTTGAAATATGTTTAATCTGTAAATTTCAGCCAGTGACTCCCGCAGAATGGCAAAATTTGTTTTTAATAGTTTACCGCATAAACGCCTGGATTGAAAATGGCGCCGAAAAAATACGAAGCACTCTTATTACACTCATCGAAAACTGTGTCAAAGAAGCAGAATATGTATGGTTTTTTAAAATATATAGAAGTCAAAATTTATTTTTAAGAGAATATACGAAAATAAGAATAATGAGCTACTAAAGGCATACATTAGCGAATGGTCAAAATTTCATAAGCAAACCGATATTCTTCCGTTGCCATTCCAGGTAAAATTTGCTGATATTGATAGAATAATTAATAACAGGAAAAATTAAGGTGATAGATTCACAAGCAAGAACAAACGTGCGAAAAGAGTATACACGGGGAACCGCTCCCGAAGCGAACACGACAAAATCAGTAATGCTTGAGAAATGGTACCAAAGGATATTTGCCAAACTCAGCCAAACTCTTCTCGGGGAAGCTTTGAAGCTAGTTGAAGAAGAAAGAAATGGCAATATAATTGATTCGCAATTAGTCATTGGTGTGCGAGAAAGCTTTGGTAGAAATTTCGTTAAAAGAAAAAAAATGGCTAACAGGTATAATGTTTTAGTTGTCCTCAGTCAGGATCCTGTCGAGCCACTTCTCGAATACATGCAAACGTTCGAGCAAGGGTTTATCGAGCAGACCGTTGCCTATTATAAGCATCGAGCAGCGGATTATCTTGCTGAAGCCGGCGTCCTTAATTATATGGTCTATGCGGATAGGAAACTGGAAGAAGAGCGGCAACGCGGCGAAAAGTATCTCGAGAAAAAATCGCCGAGATATGAAAGGGTGAGTGTTTTAAAAATATTTATCTCTTTTGGTCGTGGGTTACGAGCATTAGTCTTTTGCTAGACGCCGACTATTCGTTAGTACCTCTAAAATTGTCATTTATAATTTATCAATGGGTTTTTAGACTGTAAGCTAATAAATTTTTTCAGCATATGCAATTTTGTGATCGAGTGTTGGTCGAAGCCTTCGAGGATCAAATTCTAGACGAATGCTCCAAGTTGATTGCCGATCGCGATGTTGAAAGTATTGTCACATCTTGTCTTATATTGATCGACATATTGGAACTTCAGGACTTCAACGAATGTATCGATTGGTTCGAAGGACTCAGAATGGAATCGACGCCGTGTTGAAATGCATCGACTCGCATATTCGAACTGAAGGCCTCAACGATATGCGGAATAATGTTGAAACAATCTCATCGGTATCATTTAATTGATAATTTCTAATTATATCTGTTCGCAACTTTAAAGGATCCTGAAAAATATGTGCAATTGCTTTTATCGATGTACGAAAAATTCAGTTCTCTGATTCGCGATGGCTTCATGGATGATGCGAGATTGCTAACAGCAAGGTTTGTTGAAAAATTCTCGCTTAAACATGTATTTCAACAAAGATTTGTTTAGAGATAAAGCATTCCGTGCAATTGTCAACGATAATTCAGTGTTCAAGATTGAATTGAACAATAAAAAAGGGTTAGTTATTATTGAGCAATTAAAAGAGCATCAAATGGGGCCTACAATGAATATTATGTATTTTTTTAGAAGAACCGTCGCTGTGGAATCGAAATGCGCCGAATTGCTAGCGAACTATTGTGATTTGTTGCTGCGAAAAACTCAATTGAGCAAGAAATTGACGTCGGAAGAGATTGATGAAAAATTGAATCAAGTGGTTAGTCAACGTGCTTTTTTTCTTAAATTCAATTTCTCATTGTTCCCATATTTACATTTTCAGCTGCTTGTCTTGAAATACGTGGAGAGTAAAGATGTATTCATGAGATTCCATCGAGCTCATCTTTCCCGTCGTTTAATCCTTGAAATGAGCGCCGATCAAGAGAAGGAGGAAATGATGGTGGCGAAATTGCGAGTGAGATCACGTCTATAAATAATTCATCGCTGAATTTTCTCGTTTCAGGAATGCGGTATGCCTTCGGACTCGGTGAGCAAATTCTCGAGAATGCTTCAAGACATTGAAGTGAACAAAGATTTGAACTCGTCATTCAAAAAATCACTTGTCGGAACCAATAATAACAAATTAGCGTCAGGTGAATTGACAAAATAATGGGAAAAATTGGAATAATGCATATTCTAGACTCGATAAATATCAAAGTTCTCAATGGAGGAGCTTGGGGTCGTGGAGCATCAGAGAGAGTGCGATTCTCTTTACCACGTGAGCTCGAAGACTTTGTCCCGGAAGTAAGAATATTTTTAATCTGATTTTTTGTATTTTTTGGCTTTTAGGTAGAAGCATTTTATAAGAAGCAGCACAGTGGCCGAAAACTTTGCTGGATGCATCATTGGAGTAGTGGAACGGTATTTGGCACTTTTTCAATGTTACAAAAAATTGCGATTTATGATATTTAGATGGTATTTGGAACGGCTTCCGGTGGCAAATTTGATCTTGACATCACCACATTCCAAATGGCTGTTTTGTATTGCTTCAATGATCGAGCCCATGAAAAGATATCTCTCGAAACCCTTCGATTGGCAACGGAATTGCCAGACGCCGAACTCAATCGAACACTAATGGTGCGTTAAAAAGATAGTGTCTGTTTCTGAGAAAAAAAAAACAAAAATTTAATTATCGTATTCAAACAATATTTTCCTTTATGAAAAACTCCCACAATTTTCTTAAAATCACTGATTTCGGCCCTCTTGTGTCCAATTTTCAATTCTTTTTTTTTTTTGATTTTCGAATATTTAGACAATTTATTTAAATTGTGAAGAAACGCAATCGAGAAATAATTTCCTCATAAATTAGTTGGGTCTTGTGGCGACTGTGTCAACTTTTTTTTTGGAAACCGACTAGCCAATCTTAAAACTTGAGAAGATTTCAGTCTCTAACCGCTTATCCGAAAATGAAGTCACAAGTGCTGTTGTGCGATCTACAATCACCTTTTACTGCTCGTGACTTCACTGATTCGACGAGATTTTACATTAATCACAATTTTCATGTTGTCAAGGTAAATTGTCCAACAAACAATTGTTGAGTAATTAATAAGTTTAGAATGGAAAAGTTCAAAGTCGCGGAAAAGTGAACCTGATTGGCCGTTTGCAGTTGTCGTTGGAAGCGAATACTGAGAAAGAGCATGAGAGCATTGTGGCTCTTAGGGAGTTCCGAGTACAGGAGGCAATTGTAAAGGTAATTCTAATGGAAAGAAATCACCTTTCTGAAAAATTATTTAGATAATGAAAACGCGAAAAGCTGTGAATTTGGCTCAACTTACAATGGAGCTTGTTGAAATCTTGAAGCCGCTATTTGTGCCCAACCGAAAGTTGATAAAAGAGCAAATTGATTGGCTCATTGAGAATAGGTATTTTGGAAAATTGAATTCAAAAATTTGGGTTTTATTTTCAGATTTATCGAAAGACGAGCTGGTGATATCAACACGTTTGTCTACCTCTCATAACGTTTCATTTTGAAATATACAAGCAATTTTCATTTTTGTATATTAGCCTGACGAAATTGAATCTAGTTTCATCGAGATTATCTCATTTGCATATTTAGAGAATGTTTAGCAGATATATTATAATTGTTTAATGCATGATTCTGTATATGGTGATTTTTTTATATAATCGGTGACGGGAAACTCATTTCTGTAATATGTTGTATATTGGAAATAACATAAAATTTTTGTAAATATGTATTAGAGTTTCATTAGTTGTTTTTTTTTTGTTTTATTATGATACCCAACAATGTTTGAACAGATGGTACAGTAGCCCGAAAGTTGAAAAACAGTAAGCTGTTTTTGGCAAATATTATTCTCGAGGTGGACAAGTATAAAAGGAAATGAGAATTTTAAGCGAAATGCGATCATGTTTCTTACTGTATTATATTGTACTACGGTATTCTTTTATTTTGTGGCAGCCGAGCAGAGTGTAAGATATTTAAAGAAAAAAGAGCGGTTCCCTATGTCGTCCGATGCGTTGCGGTTCGCGTGCGGAAAAAAAATGGCTCGGCCTCACGCGAACCGCGACGCGTCTTACGCCATAGGTCTTGCAGCGCCGGATTCTGGCAGCCCATTTTTATTTCTACAAGCGGACCTTAAAAATCTGAGAATTTAAGGGAAATGCGCACATGTTGTGCACACCATGTTTGGCGGTTGCCAGAGCACTCAAAACCTACAGCACCTCAAGCGCCTTTAAAAATGTTTGAAATAATTTGAAAAATAGAATTTCGGTTTCAAATTCGTTTAGATCGAAACCAGAACGTGCAATATGGTATTGAAAAACGACAAAACGTGCGCCGGAGCAATTCAGGTGAGCAACGAATTTCGGCGATTCGCTGAAATCCATCACTACAGATGACTGCGTTGTATCTCCGCATCACTCCTCCAGAAACAATGTGCAAAACAATTCAATTGTGTGGTCCTGAAACGAAGTCAGGCTTCATTCCAGATGTCAAACTTCCTCTAGGAGTTGACGCTATTGGAAAACAAGTATCTGGGGTATGAAATTCAATGGAGATTTTGCATCGAAAACAATCCAATTAAGATAATTGGCGGCGCCAGTGAAGAAATGGGCAAACAAATATCCGGGGTAATGGATTATTCATTATTTTGGACTTTTGTATTGAATCCTTTAAACTTGCTAGTCGTTTTAGGCTGTTGGTGGAGTCAGCGAAGGCGTTGGAAAGCAATTGTCAGGGGTAGTCAAAGTCATTAGTCTGGTAACTCAAAACCAATCGGATCCCGCAAAAATCCTTTTAGATCCGACAAATAAAAAAAATTTTACAATCTTATCCGTAGAATTACCAATCGGATAAGGTTGATTCCGGAGCCGGATTTCCGAATTTTGTCGGATTTCCGATTGTTTGTTTTGAGTTACCAGAGTACTTTCCGATATTTCGAAAAAAAAAATCATTTATAATTTTAGGCCGTCAATGGAATTAATGGATTGGGAAAACAAGTATCCGGAGTTTAGATGGATATTGTTTCCCTTGAAAATTTTGTTTTCGTTTCAGGCTCTTGGCGGCGACAGTCCACTGAAGAGCTTGCCGCGATTCAGACGATCGACGACCAAACATGGTGACGATTCTGAAATTCTTAACAAATGTGAGAATTGCTGACACTTTCGTACATTTGATTTTATAATTGCGCCAGATATCATCGAACATTCGGATGAGATTCTCATGCTTTTAAAAGATGTGACTGAATACCTCGAAGACATTCTCAATAATAATCCGCCAAGCCTTTCCCAGTAATTTTGCATTTATTAAAAAATGAATCAATAAAATATTCAATTCAGACGTTTAATTAAATTTCAAAAAAAAATCAACATTTGAATAATTCTGAGTTCACTTTTAGTCGGCATCCGGTTTTCTGCGTTCACCGTCTTTCCTGTAATTTTTGAATATACCGCTTGAAGATCCAGACAACTTTTTTCGGGTGGGTTCAACGACACGATCCACGTTGCTTCTCTTCTCCGAAAATCGAATTAATCCTATTTCATCAGCATGCGATTGATCGACGTCGAAAGGAACGTATTTGTCCCTCTGCAATATATCTCACTTATAATTATAAACAATTATTGACCTCTTTTTATATTTTTGGCATCTAGCCAATTTTCCGCAGTTGTGCGGCATTGGCAATACAATCAATAACTCATACCTTTAAGCCGAACAGCGTATGACAAAGTCACGAAGAGCTGCCCACTTTCAGGAATGGGTTCCCACTTCAACTCCTCATTGCACTTTACCATATATTTCTGAAAAAATCGAACATGCATGATAGTTATCAAGTTTCAAAAATTACCTTTAATCCAGTAGTAGCTACATAACTACTATGCGAGTAATCTTCATAATAAACACCACCCTCAATTACTTTCAATACCATCTTACATTTTGACGGATTCTGAACTGAGCATTCTTCGGGTTTGGCTTTCGGGCACAAAAAGAAATCCTCTTTCTGCAAAAATGCGTATTTCAAAAATGCCTCAGAATTGTTGTTATTACTTACGATTTCGTTGCAATCCGTGTTGCCCCGACAATCTCGTGTGAAGCTCATATTTCTGTAAATCATAGTACCGAAATATTTTTCCATTGTTTGTGAAATCCCCAAGGGGATGGATCTAAAACGCAAAAAATTTAAACAATTGTGGATATCGTTACTTACTGCATAAATTTCACCGCATTTTAAATTTTCAAAAGCGTCTCCATAGACGCCGAAAACTAAAAAAAGTTTCTTCGCAACGCGCGGTTACCTTCAATTGTGACGCCAACTCGTAAAAATATTCATCAGCAAAATTGAATTCTTTGCCAATTTTCTTGAATTATTTATATGTTCACACTAAAATATGATCCATTTTCAAATTTCACCTTTGCCGTCACATTGACCACCTTGATTATGTCTTCAATCGTCGGGTTCACCAACACTTTTTCAATCGACTCCACGATCTTCATTTCTTTTTCCTTCTTATCTATTTTTTTCAACATCCTTAGCCAGCCGACAAATAGCTTTTCACCTTCTCCTTCCTGAATTGTTCCTCTTCTTCGTCTCCGAATAGCAGTGCCTTCAAGGCTATTGAAATTGCGCCTCTTTTCACTCGATGTACAGGAATGCATTTAAGTTCTTTCAGTTGTTCAGCAGCTTCTGCGGAAAGCGAATGGTTGAACGACGATTCAAAATTAATGCAGCGAAATGGTTTTGGGCGCTTCTGGAACACGTTGCCAAGAAGCTAGTCAAAATTTTTATATTTTAACTTAAAAAATTATCATCCTGCGCCTTCTTTGATGGCAACATATGCGGCTGTCATCGCAAAAATATCATTAATTTCTACGTCCCAATTGATCCATTACAACTCGTCCCTTCGTGCCCTTTTCAATCCGCGCACGAGTTCCCCATGATGGATGTTAGATCGCGTTTTCTTAAGCCATACATGAAAAACAATTATTTCACGTTTTTCGCCGTTGTACGGTTGCGATTAAGCAGGTGCGATCTGACATATTTCGCCATTGTTACCTTCTTTTAGTATTGCTTTAAATCCGAACTGCTTGTAATGATCGGAAGCGAGCCCCGGTAGTGCATCGGGTGGATTCATTTCCGCCATCGGCACATTCTCAATATGTACTTGAGTGAGAAGATGATCATCATCATCTTTTCCCTCCACGTCGATTAATGGGTCCGCATCTTTTTGTGTTGCTTCTGGTTTTTCGAAAAACACATCTCTACCCACTTCAAACTTGAAGGCCTCATTGATCTCGATGTCTCGATAATGGACATTATTGTCCTTTAGCCACTTCAGTGCTTTGATTACCCGTGGAAGAGACATCAAATGCACCGATTGCCATTGCGTCAATACTTACAATTGCAAGCGGGATGACGACGGCAATACAAAAACCATCACTGAAGCCGGATGGGAAGTTTTATTCAAACATTTTCCCTTCTTGACAGCAGTCTCGAAGTCCTTAGCAATGATTCTGTGGTTTTGGCCGTTCTTGTTGGCCTCCACAGTGAATATCTTCTCGTCAGTGAACAAGGTTGTCAAGTGCGTGCCTTGAAGCCGCCGGAAGCTGATTTTTTGACAGCTCCCGAGAGCACATCCGACACACTTTTGTATTTGTCCAACTTTTTCGAAACAATCGATGTTCTCACAGTGAGCTGTTCGCACACGTCGCACACTTCTGTTTCTTGCTCTTCCATGGCCGCCAAAAACGCTTTTCGACGCGCGCTGGTCTTGGGAAGCCAAAACGACAGCGAGAAATCTGCTTGCCGCGATAGCGTGTTACGCGACGGCAAGTCCTCGAACATTTTTCCCAATGTCGCTGTTCATTCAAAACCAACGATTTCAATTCTTTCTCTTCATGAGTCGGCATTCGTGCGGTGAGGGTTTTATCGAGAAATTCCGTGATCTCGCTTGGCGGTGCATTTTCCGACGGCCTTAATTACGAAATTGTTGCTTCCACTACAAAGCGTCCACTCATATTACCTTTCTTTTGTCCAAAATAAGCAATGGACATGTTGAGTTCCTCGGTGTTGGTATTCGACGCGATAGAAGTAATGGCTAACTTTTTATTAACCAGTAGGAGATGGACAACCTCAAACTTGGGTAATTAAACTTTATTGTAAAAGAAATAAATTAAAAATAAGTTAAACATGAATTGGACATAAATTGAATATAAGTTGAACAACAACCAACGAAGGGAAAGAAAGTGAAAAAATGGGCGTTGAGGCTCCCTTTTATAGGGGCACACGAATGCAATATAAAGGTTACACTGTGTGCGTAGGTGGCTTTGGTGGCGTGTGGCTTTGGCGGTACAATTTAATAATAGTTTATCAATTTTAAACTGTCAATAATGTGCTTCAGATATTGAATTGTGATGGCGAGGAATGATTTGTGATGGCCTTTAGACTACTTTCCGGTAGTCATTAATGACAAACTTTTCCTAATGAACCATCTTCGTGGAGTAACACATGTGTCATGAACGCCTCCACTCGTCGCCTCCAATATCTTGCAAAAATTATCGGATCATCGGTAATACATTCGCTAAATTATTGCAAATTATCAAGTTTCTATTATTCCAATTTTGCCTACTTTATATTTTTCGCAGTCACCTTCTTTCCTGTGATCTTTGAATAAACTGCGTGAAGTTCAGGCCAGTTTTTCTCGTTTGGGTTCAACGTGACAAACCATGTTGGTGGCCCGAAGAATGCAAGATATCCCATTATTCTTAAACGACATTGATTCCAGTACGGAGCGAATCCATGCAATTTCGCAAACACTGTACTCATATTTACGCAGAAAGCGTCGTCTAAAATTACGAAAGTCCGAAATAAGTTTTAACTATTATTAATTTCTACCTCCCAATTGATCCATTACTGCTCGACCTTTCGTGCCCTTTTCAATCCGAGCACGAGTTCCCATTATCGAGGTGAGATCGCGTTGCTTTCTAAGACCATACATGAAAAACATGTATTTCACGTTTTTCGCCATCGTACGGTTTCGGTTAAGCAATCGCGATCTCACATACTTCACCATTGTAACCTTCTTTCTTCTTCCTCCGAAAAACCGTTTCTTCCTTGTGGGAATAATTCCACAAATGCTAACTCATCGGCATTTGGTTGATCTACACTTAACCGAGAATATCGATCTCGCTTAAAAATATAACTATTTAATTGATTTCAATTCGTTCATATCTATTACCTTTAATCCGAACTGCTCATAACGTTCGCCCCGGCAGCGCATCAGGCGGATTCACTTCCGCCATCGGCACATTCTCAATATGGGCTTGCGTGAGAAGATGATGATCATCATCTCTCCCCTCCACATCGATCAAAGCATCCGCATCTTTTTGTGTTGCTTCTGGTTTTTCGAAGAACACATCTCTACCAATTTCAAACTTAAAAGCCTCATTGATCGATATGTCTCGATAATGGAGGTTATTATGTTTTAGCCATTTCAGAGCTTTTATAACTCGCGGAAGTGACACCAAGTGGATTGATTGCCATTGCGTCAGAACTTGCAATTGCAAGCGCGATGACGATGGCAATACTTTTGCAACGTGGTCCACTGTTTCCTCCGCAAAAACAGGGACCATTATCAGAACTCCTATAATCAACTTGCTAACTGGATTTTGATTTGATAATCTAATTACCTTTCGTGGCTTTCATTGCTGTTTTTCTGTTGCCGATGTCCCTCAAATGCACAATGCTCTGGATGGCACGAACTTTCTGTACGAGCATTAGCTTGATTAGATTTAAGTTCTTCAATTCTTCCGGTGCGTCATCCATTTTCATTGAGTTACATATCGCTGCCGCCGGAAGCTGATTTTTTGATAGCTCCCGAGAGCACATTCGGCAAACGCGATATTTTTGGTCATCTTGAATCGGCATGTTCAAAAGCACATTTTTGTACTTGTCCAGTTTTTTTGAAACAATCGAAGTTCTGACTGTGAGCTGTTCGCACACGTCGCATACTTCTGTTTCTTGGTCTTCCATTGCCGCCAAAAACGCTTTTCGACGCGCGGCAAATTTTTCCAACACCACCGCCTGATGATGATGTGAATCATCGCGGGTGCCGTGCTGACTTAGGAATTTAATCCTCATCATCACCGGTAACTCGTCCAATTTCATTAATTCATCTAACGCCTCTTTATCATTCTTCGTTATAGCAAAACACAATGTTCGAAGGATTGGCGTTAGCTGATTAATTTCAGCCAAGCGCTTTTTAAGTGTCCTTAGACCTTGAAATCATGGCGCACGTTCTTCAATCCACTGTATGGGCGACTGCCCATCTAATTCCCGCTGATTAATTTTAAAGTACGTCATAAATTCTTGAAATATTTTATGACCACTTTGCGTGCCTTCAGCAAATCTTCGTAGCAAACCGCTCACATAATACGCGTGACTTAAACCACACCAATAATGGCTAACTTTGGCGACATATCGAGTCATCTCCAATCGCATGATTATCGTTTTTTTTTTCATTAAATCAACTTGATCTTGCTCTTTTCCTTCACAATCTCTTCTCAAATCCTCTTTCTTCGTTTTTACACAATATTTGAAACTGCAATCGGCTTGGACGTTACTTCTCATATTCTTCATCTGAGCTTCTTTCAATTTTGTAGACAGCCGCATCCATTAGAAATTGAGGAATACACAAATCGAATAATCAAAGGAAAACGGAAAAAAAAACAAAAAAAAAACGAAAAAAAAAACAAAAACAAAACATTTTGCTTGTAAAATATTAAAATCGAAAGTTTTTAAACATTATACTTTTGGTGATCTTATTTGATCATAAATTTTGCTGGAAATTTTAAATTCATAAATTCGAATCTAATTCTTTCACAATTCTCATCTTTTCAATCCTAACTTAGGTCCATTGGCTTACAAAGCAGCGAAAAGAAAAATCATAACATTCAAAAGAATTTGGCACTGTTCATTCTTTTCGCTTTCTAAAGTGAGATACATGAGCTTTTCCTTCATTCCTAGAAGATCAATGAAATTTTGGATGAACTGATGAGCATATGCATTTTGGCGAATTGTGTAATCATTTTCTAAATGTTTAAGCTTGCCGCATTCTTATACAATTTAAAATGTAACGTTCAAAAAAATTTCGAAACACTGCTTCTTGTCATATTATACATTTCGCAATGATAGTTTTGCAAAAAAACTAAAAATTGTTTCCCCTTTTTTTTTCAAAAAAAAAAATCACAATTGATTTCGGTTTCTCTACTTTCGCTAAATATATACTATTCAACAAACGCATCGTAATTCGAAAATCATATATTCTTGAAAGTGGCTTCTTTCCATAAATGCTGGAACCATATTCCCTAATTTTATCTTAAAATTAAAGCATATTTCAGTTTTAACAATTTCCTTATACATTTTATGGAATAAAACATTTTGTTGGCAACGTTCGAATATTTTTTGAATGTCTCTAACTAGCTGCTATCCATTTTTTTTTTTCCAAAATTGATTTGTTATTTTCATACACTTAAAATAATTAGTCGCAATTTTTTAAATATAAGAAAATACATGGAATTATTAATGAAACACATTAAAACAAAAATTCGAATCGATAAAATAAAAATTGTGCATTCGAAAACATATTTTTGCGCAAATAAAGTGGGGAAATAAAGGGGAACATTTGTATGGGAACACCATCGGCCTGGCGTCACTCGCCCTCCACCACAACACCCACATCTGCGTCGATGCGCGCGCCACACACTCTCGCATGCACGCCTGCACGATTTTTTGTCATCGTGTCCTTTTTATGAAAAACATTGAATCATCGCCAGATTCGATTCTCTCTTCCAGATTTCAGAGAGAGAGAGAAAGAGAATGGAATACATTCAAGTAGATTTCGAGTCTTCAAATAGCTTCTCGATTGGATTACTATTTCAAATTGAGATCAGTGACCAAAAATGGGAATAGTGCTACTGTAGCTACAGTAATATGTCATGAAAATATTTTTCCAATTTCAGCGTATCAAATTTAGCCAAAACACCAACTTTCAGATCGATCGAATCGCGATTTTCAGTTGATGGAACTTCATAGTTTTGAACTTGGAAATTTTTCATCAAACTTGTCCAATATGCGTTTTTTTATAATTTATTATGAATTTTATATCTGATGCGGAATTCTCAGAATCGATTACTTGGTATACCGCTTTGTAAAATATCCCATATTTTTGGAATTTTCCGCCATGTAAAGATGAAGCTGGAAATTTCAAATGTCGACCATTCCGATAGAGTATAAAATTTTGCATCCATTAAAACCAATTTCATTTCGATCCATTAATGTTACGATGTGTTATGATCTCAAAAGTGCAAAAATCCCATTTTTTTGGCACAACTCCGTTGGATGAGATCAAAAAATCGTCAGTGTTGGTATTTACATGAGCTCTGCAAATTTAGAACCCCCCATTGCGGTAAAATCAGAAACCCAACCATTCTAAAAACTCTGGCCATTGTAATTTTGGAGCATCTTTGTGGGGGGTGCGTGTGGCTCCAAAATTCTGCAATCATGATTCCAAGAAACGCAGAGGGCATTCTCCACAAAATGCTCGTTTTAAAGTAAACCCTGTATCATGAAAATGTTCATTTAAAAACTCTTGAAACAATGAATCAACAACGTTGAGAATAATGAATAAAAAAGAGGAGACCTAGCGGTGAGAAATGAAAAGGGGGTAGGAGGTTGTTGGGTGGGTTAGTAGAGGAATCGATCATCATTCAGAATGCCACCACGGGCATTTCAATGAAGTTTTCACGTCTTCGACGCTCTCTTTCAATGTAATCTCATCGTCAAAAATGAGCATATTTTCAATTTCCATTCGCTGAAGTTCATCATGGATCTTGAAAATTGTAAGTTGAATGCTAGTTCAAAAATAATTCGTAAGACCTCCATGCTTTCCAAATAACGATTGATTATCCGCTGAAGAATCGAAACATTGGATCCGTCGCGAACCGGCGGCGGAATTATGGTCGCGTTTCGAAAGTATGGCGTATTCGGCAAAATGTGATAGGGCGGCGCCAATGGGAGGTAGGCTGAAAATCGCGAGAAAATTTTTGATTGACAAAATGCAAACTACCACTATCCGATGATGAGGAGACACAAGCGCGTAGGGAATCCAACGAGGGAGTTGGACAAATTAGAGTAGTCGTCGATGAGGAAGACGGTGGAACACTATATTGCATTCCGGAGAGTGACGCTGAAAATAAAAAATTTGAAATGGGGGAAGGGGAGGGATTTGAAAACGGGAAATTCACATAATAAATATTTATTGGTCTAGCCGATCTTTTTTTTTGATACCTTGAGTTGAAACCAATGAGTATTGACTTTCCGAAAACGCATTTTCAAACATCTATGTCAAAAATTTTCAACTCAAATTCCAAACAAATTAATGCATTCAAACCATATTTTCCTTGAAAAATGTATAACAAATATTATGCAATGTCTGCGCGTCAATCGATTTTTGCAATCGATGTGGTCGAATTGGGCTGGGACCATCAAAAATCTGAAATGCCAGAATCTTCTATCCGCCAACGAATTGCTTCAAACTACTTCAACCGAACTGCAAACGGTCTTCAGCTTTTCCTCGGGTCTCGCCAGCTGCCAAACAGCGCCATCAACTATTAAAATGCCTTTCGTTTTCTCGAATAACTGATCGATTGTGCTCGCACAATGTGCTAACTCAAACAGTTTGTATTCATTGTGCATTGTCACGAATGCTTGACATCTATCAGTCGTGCAGAATACCACCGATCGAATCAAGCCAAACCTTCAAATCGTTTCATTTAACTATTAAAATAGGTCTTAATTTAAAAAAATTATTTTATGCGAAATCCTTAAAGGTATCCAACTCCATTTCAGTCTAATCATAATTACCCTTAAATTAAATTGATCTAGAGAATCGAAATCGCTTAGAGTGTGAGATGTACTATGAGAATCATCCACACTTCATTTCAAATGTTTCTATTGAAACAATAAGAATAAATTGGCAAGATGTTAAAAATGCTTTGATATCAGGTTGATGAAGATATTTTCTTTTTAGAATCCTTCCCCCTTTAGTTAAGATAGTTAACACCTTTTATGCTAGTCAAATAATTGAACATGACTTATTGATCAAAACTCCGGAATATTATTTAAAAACCTTCCTGTTGGAAGTCAGTTTGATGGTAATATTATATGTATATCCATATAGTTTTTTTGAATGCCGTTCAAATAATCCAATTAATTCATGTCCCACAAATTCGCATATTTACCATACATTGCAAATTCCCCCCTCTTAAAATCTGACAGAAATTATCAGTAACTATTAAGACGAATCTGATTCCAGTCGGCACCCTTTTTGTCGCGATAATAAATTATTATTTGCTCGAAAAATTTCAACATTAATCTTGATAAGATATCAAAGGCACATGCTCATCGGAATCATCGCTCATAAATAATATTGATGATGAGTGCAATTTGTGCTTCGAAACCCGGAAAATTTGGAGTCAAATGACAAAAATTGGGCGTGTGCTATCATGTAAACTGGTTTGAATGTCTTCGAAATTGTTTCGGCCAACAATTTCACTTCAACATTTCATCGACACGATGTAAAACTTACGGTTTTAGTTGATCGCGTACATATGACTCGCTGAACGTGGTCCCGAACGGAAATTTGACAATAAATGAGCTGTCGAACAGCGCCTTCTCATTCAGCTGCTTTCGAATTCTCTTCGCTTTTTTTGACGAGATCTTACATTTTGACCGAGGCTTCAATTTTTTGCGATCTTCAAAACCCGAATCGATTGCGTTTTAGATATCAATTACCACATGATTTTGGAGTACAGAGATTGTTTAGAATGTCGAGTTGCACCATTGAAAACTAGAAATATTGAGAATGACAGTGCGAATTGTCTCATAAACACGTCGCACATCTTTATTAATTAAATTAAATTAAATTTTCAATTATCCACAATCATTTTTTTTTTCGGAATTTTTCGCCCGTAACATGCCAAAATTGGAATATGTTCAAATTCAAACAAATAAATTGATAATTATCGTCACTAGGGAGAAGATTGATAGCGAAGATCGATGAGTCGACTTTGAATATTTCGACAAGCATTCACGATATCGTGGATAGTCGCTAAATTCCATCGAACATAATTGAGCACCTCTGAATTAGAATGATATTCAATACATATTATAATGTGGGAAGTCTTGCCGATACTCATCCTTTGGGATCTCCGACTTCCAGAACACTGAATTGAATTGAATATAAGACTCGAATAGCGAGTCGTTGACCTTTAATTGCTCAACAAGATTGTTCATTGTAGTTGGCGTTAAATTCCTAAAGTTCTCATTAAATCATAGGGCTAGTTCGAAATAAATAACATACCCGCTAATGCCGTAAGCATGTTTAAATGAATATTCATACATGAACGTCGTATTTGCATTCTTGTTAAGCTTGTCAAGATCGATATAATACGTGCTGAATTGATTATACAATTTTTTAACAAAGTGAATATCTACCGCATGTCATTTAGAGTCTTGAAGTCATCAGTATCATATATACGGAACGCCGGATTGTTTGATCCAGCTCCCGGTAGCGAAGAAAACCAAGGTGTAACAGCTGGCGCCATTATTGCAACCTGTACTGGCTTACCATCGTTATCCTAAAAATTTGTGTTCGCAAGAAATTCAAAGAATTGCTGCAAACCTTGACAATATGAAAAGTGTCCGTATGATGATGACCGAACAACATCCATCCGATAGTTTTCGCATATCGAACCGTCAAGTTCAGGAATCTCTCGTTGTATTCATCGCGGAACCATGTGTAATTTGGTGTTCTCTCAAAAACTGAAAACATTACATTCATTCTTTGTTTAAGCATTACAGTTTTTCAGACCTCCAGGACCGATGTGAGCAATAATATGAACTGTAGAGGAGCAATTTGCCAATACTCGGTTTCGGCAATTCTCTGCATTCTGTAGTTCTGATTCTAAGAATGCGAATTGTCCAGCGGGGTCTGATTTGTCTGTGAAGTTAGCATAGGCTTTATTCACACTGTAAGAGCAGTTCAACAGATTTTTTTTGAAAATAATACTTATTCGTACTTGTAATATAAGTTTGTATTCAAAACTACGGCTGTTGCATTCGGCAGCTGATATTTGTAGTAACCACCGAGGAAAAATGTGTCCCGATTTTCATCACCAAGCTTGCTGCGCCAAAATTCCCAAGTTCTCGAATAGAGATTTGAATCGCTCACGAATCCATTTGCAGGCGCGTAATCATGATTCCCAAATGTTGGAAGAATTGTGATTCCAGGATACCTGTAATTATTGAGAATAAATGCATTGAAAATACGTAAATGATTACTTTTGAAAAATCAAGCTGGTGGTAATATTTAAAGCATCAATGACCGCTGAAGTTTGAAATATTAAAGTGAAAACGAATTTTAAAAACTATTTTAGCCTTTAATATCGAGAATGGTATATTTATAAACTTAAAAATAAAAATAAAGCAAATTATCGTCAATTCAAATGCACATGTGCTTTATACATTAAACACTTTATATGACGCGCAAATAAAAAAATGCGAATAAAAAATCAAAATTTAATTTAAAAAAATGTTTCTCACTATCCCATCCATATCCATCAACATGTGCCACGTTGTCCCCCGTCCAAATAATCAAGTCCGGAGTAGGAAATAAACGATAAACCTCATTTATTGCGTATACAACAAGATCCTAAAATGTTCTTTGTTTTAAATTTCTCATTTTTGTTTGATTTTTTGGTTACTAATGGCGAATCACACATGTAATCCCCAAACTGTCCAAGTGTCTTATTTGTTTTCGATCCGTCATCGTGACACATTTTCTGATTATCTCCGTAAATGGAATAATTCACATCCAAATGAAAATCGGCGAGATGCAACACTTGATACGGCGCTGTGGAGGCGATTAGGAGCACGATGACAAAAAATGACAACATTCTGTAAAACAAATTAGCTGAGATACTGTACATTATAAAGAAAGAGTCAATCAAATAAAAGTCAAATGAGAAAATAAAGGCGATAAGCCACATGTAATTCCTTATCAAGTAGCATTTTTATTGCCTGGACACTTGCGAACTCCGGAAAATTTTTTGAACCGATTCGATAAAATTTCGCGAACTTTAACATTATCGCAATTTAGAATATTGTAAAATAAAAATAAAATATTTAAATGAGAGAAAAATTCCAACCGAACCCATTTCGTCACAAGACTCAGCGCCAATTTGTGCATGTGCCTTCAACTACCGTATTCATTCATTTTCCTTGAAATGAAAGAAAAAAACTCGATAAAATTTATTTAAGTGCGACAAATTTTGATTTTTTCCATGCTAGAGAGATTTTTAAATATTACATTTTTGGATATTTGAAAATTGTGAAGGAATAAAAACGAGCGGGAAATTTAAAAAATCGATTGGACGATTTACTGTTTGGCTCTTGTGGCAATAAATTTTAACTAAGTTGACCGTGAAATTTATAGTAGTATTTAATATATAGATTCTGTCATATACATTTTTTTTACATTCTGATTTAATAAAATTTGTTTCTATTTGATGCTTATCGAATCGAACTTCAACCATTCATTTTTAAAGCTTCATACTTCACTCACCGGCTAGACGAAATTGTCGACTCGACCCGAAATCCGGATTTTCTCAATTAAAACAAATCATCCTACAAAAGGGAGCTTATATCCTCCATTTTCGTTTTAATCCCACTACCATAGATCATCATCAACTACTACTACTTCGCATGATTACAATTCGTGCAAAATTTTAATCAGCAACTCGAATTGCTGATTCGATCAGCTACTAAATACGACAAGCCATTTTAAAGTGCACACCATTTTTTGTAGCTGCCGGCTTAATTCGATTTTCTACGACAGCATGATCAAATATCGGATTACTCTTTTTCGTGAGGCGCCCTCGAGCGGCTCCAGATGCCACGTGGAAATCACTAGAGTTCAAAATATCAGAACAAGACCCGTTTTCGGCGACTACACTGAACTTGCAAATGCTCACAGATTATTGCCAGCCCTTCATTGTTCCTTAGCCTTCTTATGCGTATAAATCCAGGGTACGGAACGTGTGCTTATTCAGATACCCAAATACACATATATATATATATATATATATATATATATATATATATATATATATATATATATATATATATATATATATATACTATATATGTATAGAAACTTTCTGGGTTTCTGGGAAAAAAATTTGGTTGCAAATTTTGCATAAACGGGTATTCAGATGTCCCGAATAGGTTAAATGTCGTCATTTGTTCAAATGAAAACAAGAGTGAGTGGGTTTTCGTGAGGTGACAAATCGACTTCCAGCCCATCTGGAAAATTGGGCGAAATTTGCTTTTTCTTCCAATTTTCAACCGACAAATTCTCTCCAATTTTTTCCAAGCAACGCGAATGTACCCAAGAAAAATCAAATCTCAATACGTACATATCAAACTTAATTGTGTGTATGTAATTGTGTTCGGTGCCTATGAGCTACGACGCTTGAAATGATTTTCAGAGAGCGAGCTTTTCGTCACGTCTTCAAATTTTCATGATCCAGAAGATGATCTCAAGATATTTCAATTTTTTCCATGAATAAGAAACCTTGTGGGTACGATGATGCTAGAATATTTGCCACGTGGCAAATTAGAATCTCAAATGAAGACTTCAAAATTTGACAGATAATTCCTAGAGGAATTGCAGATTTTTAGCCATTGCTGTAATTACAGATAATAAAAATGTAAAAACTACAAATTAGCAGTAATTTTCAAAAATACATAGAATATAATTTTTTATTTTTTTTATTTCAAAAAAAAATTCAAATAAGCAGAACTGGAGCTTCGAATAAAAGCTTTATTAACAAAAAATACTATAATTTTGAATGTCGGCAAACTCATCTTATGAATTTTACGATTTCACCCAGGGACCACAAATTTCTTCTGTTTGATGCTATTTGATTCTGTATCTTGAAAATTCTGAAGCCCATAGTTCATGCACAATCCCAATGTTCCATCCAACGAAATTTGCTATAATTTTTTCACCGGTTTCAAATCCTTTGTAGATGGCGGCAAAAAAGAAAAAACGAAAATCTCATCCGGTTTTTTGTGAGCTTTCGTTTTCCAAAAATCGGCATAAAAAATTTCTTCATCAACACCCGAAAATATTCAAATCAACGCCTACACATTCTTTTCTTCTTTTTTCAATCATTGAATCCAAGGTGGTGGATCTCATGCAAAAATTTATTCAATAAATAGCAATTTGAAAGTTTGAAGGTATTTTTTTCGACCAAATTTCGAATTTATCTTCTAAGATAAGCACAAATGATGCGGATTTAAAATTTCAGCAAAAATTTGCAACATTGAATATCCCAATTCCATTCACCATATAAGCCGATTCATATTCGAAAATACCATATTCTTGTGTGCATCATCAAAATTAAAGGTCTTCCTCAAACATTTAAATAAATTCAAAACAATTCAAATATTATTTTCTTGATTCAAAGGTTTCAACAGAACATTTCAAGTGTTTGATCTCATTCCTCAAAATTTCATCAAAAATTGAAAGGGTACCGTAATTCCTAATCCAATTTATTGGATTTTCAGTGTTTTTGCCGAAATTTTAAAGAAGCCCTTTTAGGGAAACTCTTCCAAAAATTTTTGACAAATAAAAATGCGAGGTAGAAGAATTCAAACATCGTCCAGAAGTCACGTCAACTTCTACACTTCAGACGCCTTCAAAACCCCTTATATATTGAAGTTCTCATTTCATCAAATTTTCAAGATTAATTATATAATGTGCTATTAGGTGAACTACAAATATCCAATTTTTATGTGTAGTATGGTAGGTTTATTGCCCATCAAATTGATGACCATTTGATACCTCAAAGAGGGTCCCAATTTTGAATTCCCCGTCCACCTCAAAATTGTTGTAACAACATAATCCGAAGTGGCGATTAATCCTTTTCAGGTTGTAATTAAATAATCTCTTTTCACCGCTTATCCCAATTATGGTAGGATGATATCATAATGTTGAGCTCGTAGAACTGTCAATTAAACGCCCATAATTATACATTTTTTCGATCCGTAATTATTGTTTGAGCATTTTCCGTTGAATTTGAATTCTTCTGGGTTTAAGTCAACTTTCCCAAAATTTTCAGAGTCACATAAACGGAACTACTCTCAAAACGGCATCTCATCTGCAATTGCTTTTTTTTTGCTCTTGATTTGAACCGGATGGTCGACATTAGAGTTGACATCGCATCATAGAAATCATTCTCACACATGTAAAATTAAGATCGGGTCGAACCGACGGCTCCTCCTTATTCCGAAAAAAGGGAGGTGGTGGGATCTATGCAATATTAGGATTCCATTTTAGTCATTGAATCAATTTCAATTCCTCGCTGTCATTCATTATTCGCATTGTTTTCATTTCTCCTTGAACGAGAGGCGAACAAAAACAAAAAACAATTGAGCAAAAATGGCGGTATGAGGTGTTCTGAAATTGTCTTGTTTCACTTCCAGCCCCCATCTGAAAGATGTCCAACACCAAATTTGGCTTATCAATATCCTTATGGGTTTTTTTCTTCTCCCGCAACGTTTTTGCTTTTTGAGCCACCTGCAAATATTCACGAGTGTTCGCCTAACTCGATTTCAACCAATTCACAAAGCCCCGTGTTCTATATTGCAATTATTGAGCCATTGAATTTGCTTGCTTCAAATATCTAAAAGTGATTGACTCGAATTCGACGTTCCTCGATCATCACCGCAGATCTTGCGTTTCGGGTACTCGACGCGTTCTCTCATCGATTTCGAACTAATCGAATAAGCCGACGCAATTTCAGCAAAACTCGGGGGTTGTCCGATCCGCCCCGAAAAAACTTGTAAGACGTCAAGAAATTTTTTCGTCGTTGTCGAAACAATCGAATTAGGCCGACGGTGCGAAACGTGCATTATAATAATATAAAATCACCACAAATGCCGATTCCTCCTTGTTTTTTTTTGGTGCTTTTTTTCCCTCTCTAACCATCCATTTCATTTCCTCTATAATTTTTTTGTTTTTCTCAAATCTACTCAACTTCCTTAACGCTTACCTTCCTTATTCAGATGATCGCAATTCAAATCCTTCTGTGCGCTATCAACTGGTTCACCACTTCCTATGGTTACGGTATGAGGGACCTAGAAAATTGATGTGCTTCATTCGATGATTTTCAGCATTGTTTGTGGAGCCCCATTTGCACACGAAACATGGCCATGTGCTCTCATTCGAGCCGGTCAAGCTCATCGAGGGCCAACAGAAGGTTGAGAAGAACTTGAATCCGTTGTTCGAGAGCGTTTGCGACGTCGAGATCAAGCCAAGCATTCGGCCGTCGTTCGGAATTTGTGAGCCACACCTAGGCGCATTTCTGAGGACCATTGTCAAAATTTTTGCAGTGAGCAATGGCACCAAGGTCCATATAAGGCAGGACGAGTTGAGCTTCTTTGAGGCGACGTTTGTCGAGTGCCGAAACACGAGAAAAACGTGCTATGGTGTCGAGCACGGACTGTAAGCGTTATTAATCGAAGGCGTCATATAGGCTGGAATTTCAGGTTCCACTCGGAATGCGTTACTGTCTACGAGCACCGCGTCACTTCGGTCCGCTTACTCCATCCTGGGTCCCATTATTTCGACGCCGTCATAAAGGTGCCCGTCGCATGCCAGTGCCAGCTTCAAGGAAAAGATGAAGACCTATTATAATTGATTAATTATAGTAGCCGAGTCTTTCAAAAACTGCCCCCCTTTGCCCCCCCCCTCCCCCCGAAAATCCTACTTTTCGACACCCTTTTTTGTTTTCTAAATTTTCGTTCAGCGTTTTCAGGGAATCCATTCATATTCTAATTGTTGTATGTTTGTCGATAATTGCTTTATAATTGATATCACGAAACGAATTGTTGTTGATCTACTATTAAATGTTTAAATAAATTTGTTTCATTGAGGACGAAAGTCTTGCAAAAAACTTATTTCTAAATTCGCACGGATTAATGGGCGATTAAAAATTTTGGAATTTTTTAAAATTAAAAAAAAATCATTTTTGCTGGTTTTTATTCTATGCGGGCCGAACATCACATTTTGGGTTCTTCCAATTCCTCAGAAAACCCGAAAAGAAAAGAAAAAACACATCGTTGAACAAATATGGAGGAAATGCATCAAAAGAGCTTAAAAGTGTGCTCATTTTTGGAGTGCCACACATTATTCGCCTCTCTCACGACGCGTCTTCGGCGACCCGCCAAACCAATATATTCTTCCCCGAATCTTCGCTATGCGTTTATTGGGCTTCGGTATACGGAAACTCTATTAACCAATCCCATCTCAATGGTTTCTAGGTATTGTATTGAGTGTGCTGCTGACGGTTCACGGGGAAACCAGCTACACCGGAGAGCACACAATCGGACTTCAGAATGATATAGTAAAAAAGATTTTGTTTTGAATTAAACGAATTTTTGTTGTTTAGGGGGACAACTGTTTGAGCGTCACATTTCGAGTGGAAGTTCTAAACATGGAAAACAATAATACGGTGCCGTTGCCGGCGAGTTTTGATCTACTATCAATTAAATTTAAATTTTGCATTTCGCTTCAGTTCAATCTGGCAACCGGCAAAATTGACGGCAAATGCGCGAGGAGTCGACAAAACGAGGCGTCGATCTCATCGACGATCGCTGAAAACGAAGGCCGAACCAAAACCCTGCTATTCGCATTTCGAACGGTATCGATTTTTAGTCGCCTATAGAAAAATGTTGAATGAGCGGAGGTGAAACGTGAATTTTATCAAAACATTCGAAAAACACGAGAATTGAATTTTCAGCGTTTTTTTGAGCAAAAATATGCAAAAAAAAAATTAGGCGTTGCCGGGTTTTTTTTTCGAAATTTGATCAAATTTCTCGAAGACGTTAGAAATACCCCGAATTATTGCACTAGTCAATGATTCGGAATCCCACTTCTTTTTGAATGACGTCATCGAACCGGTTCCACGTCGTTCCGAACAAGTCGATTTCATTTAGCGTGGGGGAGAGCAAAATTTGGATTCAGGAGGAAATGCGCGTGAAACGTGTGGACGAGCTCCGATGGCAGCTCAAAAATGTGATCTACACTGAAGATTATGAAGGTCCCTTATTTTTCTGGACAACTCCCCCATTCAAAAATTTGCCATTTCAGGCAATTCTGTTGCGTTCGAATCCGACAATTCGTCGATCATCTTCTCGGCTCCTTTAACTCAGAAATATGTGTGCGAGGATCGCATCAATGTGACATTGCACAATCCCGACTACGAGTGAGCCAGCCACCAGATGCCTATCAGCCGTCGATTTTCATTTTTCAGCTTTCCCATCGTTGTGATGTTCCATCCGGAAATCGACGTTCAGCCGTACGGACCAAAAAGCAATTGTAAATAAGGATTGAAAAGAGAGAGGTTCATTCAAGTTCTCATTTCAGCATATTTATGCGAGCGGACGCGCAAACGAACATTATCGGAATCGCTTCAGAATCGGTCGACAATATTCTGCGGAGTTATTCTTGCCATTTCATCGATTGCTCATATTATTGGCCAAATGGTCCGAAGACATTTTATGCCACAACGAAAGGAGATCTATGAGAGCCTTTAAATTTCTTTTTGCCAACGTTTGACGTATTATTCGATGTATATAAAATGAATAATTGATTTTTAAAAAATATATAAAAGATTTCTGAAAAAAAAATAGCGGCAATTATACGCATTTACGGTCATTAAAAAAAAATTATAGGCGGTGTTTGGCGACTGTTGTAGATTTACGGCGTGCGCCTTTCACTATGGTGCAAACAGGTTATTGTGCATTTTAGGGGTCGGTTCGATAATTGTCAATTGGAATGAGGTTAGAAATTCAAGTAAATACCACGGTGGCGAGATCATGTCGAAAGACTCCATCGTAAATCTACAACAGTCGTCGAACCCCGACTATACCTAATTTAGTGATGAGATTCATTAAGAGTAAAATTTGGTTCCGATCCTTCCCGAATGAGCTCAGCTTCATAATTTTTTGAAAATTATGAGACCCAGTTGGAAAATAAAACAACTAAAATCGAATCGAAGCTACAAGGCTTAAGCGGCAAATTATGGTAACTCCTTTTTTTATAAGCAATCTGTAATACCAATACAAAGGGTGGGAATTCGTGTTCCAACTCATCAAACTCACAGGCATTGCCAATAAAAACATTGGTAAATTGGCGGCAATTGTTTCTCATTTTTTGAAAATCTTCGAGATTTAGTGGTATCTAAAAGCTGAATATGTCGACTTTTTTCTTTATTTTCTTTAAGCCACTGCGTAGGCTAGAGGTTTCAAAGCAAGTTATGAAAATAAAAAAGTCATTAAACTAGACCATTTCTAGTTTTTCTCGGTATATTTTTCAATCATTTAGCTCAAAAAAAGTAATCGTCTCACAAGGGAAGTCATTGACGATGTTGCTCGACTCATACAATCCTCGAAAAATTTCATATCGATTGGTACTATTCGCGTCAGCTTCCTCTAGAAGAATATATATGTAGCTGAAAATGAAAATTTTTGGGCTATATTTGGCCTAAGCCTAAATCAAAAATTGCAAACTTTTGAATGAAATTAACTATCGCAAAAAAGATCGCTGGTTGCATAAGTTTTTGTTTCGAAAAATTTCGTACCAATTTATCATTGTTTAAAAAACTTGCGATGGTCCACAAATGCTTTGGGTGCTTTAGCAATGGGAATTTCTGAATTAATACAACTTTAGCTTATCACCAAATATCAGGATTTCAATTTTTTATTAAGTTGTCAAAATTCAAAGCTTGGAAGCTTGTCTGAATTCATTTTCTTTCTCCCTCATTTTTTTGTGCTTCAAGTTCAAATATAGTAGTCAAATTTAGGCGGGCACCCATCAACTAATTGCATGTAAAACAACGCTTCGTCTCGAAATTTGACCTCATCCCAACCGACGTCTTCTTCATCTTCAACATCATTTTTTCTGTGAGCGCATTTTGATGAGCAATTTATCGACATTTTGTTCTCATTCGAAGCAACGCCTAGTTGAGCTAATTATTTATGTACCATTCACTAGACAATATTCAATTTTTTTCGAATCATCTATTTCAAAAAAAACCCCCAACGCGATTTTCTCATGTTAAATTATAATGAATAAAATCTCCGAGAATCCCCCATCCAGCCGCAATGCGATAAACATCTGGAATTGCTAATTTCAACATCGACGAGTCTCCGCAACAATTTTATTTCATTTTTTTTCTTTCGTTTTCCAAGAAATTAGGAATCTCACGAACTATGTTGCTCACTCATTAGACGATTTTCTCTCAATTATGTTGCTAGGCAAATACGACACACATGGGAATGCGAAACGTGACCAACAATATTCTCTGTTCTGTGTTCTGAACGTCTAAAGGTGCAAATAGAAAATTGACATTTTAATGGGGAACAATCATGGAATACACCGCCAAAATTTAAACTGAATTTTCTAGAATTTCTGTTTGAAATTGTTTGTGAAAAATTTCGTTACTCATTATTGTCCGAGAGCACATAAAGCAAACTCTTTGAGAAATTTGAAATCCAATTATTACTATTTAAATATAAAAAATGAGCACCACCAGCAGGTTATCCATATTATGGTAGAACGGAATACCACAGTTCAAATTCAATTTTGAATTTCAGCCCCGAATGAATAACCATGGTCCACAATTGCTCATGAATACTTATATTTCAGTAAAATTCAAAAAAAAAAATTTTACTATTTCGGTAAAAAACGGTATATTTCTTCCAAAAATTGCAAACTTCAGATTGTGGAGTCAAATTTGAGAATTCTCAGTTTTTTCTTGAAATATTGTCGGTCAGTAGTGAAAAAAAAAGCATTTTTTGTTTTGCTTAGAACAGTTTGATTGGAATAATCAAAATTTGAATTACCGCCTTGTTAGAAAAAAAAAATTGCTTTTTCTAATATAAAAAGGATATGTTTGTAAAAATTTTTAAGAACTTTGGTAATTAAAAAAAATAATCAATGACTGAGAATATGGAAAATTCATTTTGCTGGGAAATTCAAATTTTTCAAAATCGTCCGTCTACGACAAAATAATTTACTTTAAAAAAATGGCCAAAGGCGCATTGCCTCAAGACCTCTAAAATTCCATTTTTGGCAATTTGCCAATTATCAAAATTCGTGAGAATTTATTTTTTTTTCAAAATATTTCCGCAATTTCAAAACCAATTCTAAAATTTGTTTTCTTTTTAGTAATTCCGATTAGAAGGATAAGAATCATTGATGAAAAGCTGGAATGCGTTCTCCAATTTTCTAGAATGACATTATAATAGAAAAAACGGGCCCTTGCGATGTTCTCAATGGCCCATTAGAATAACAACTCTATTAATATCGCGCCATTACTAAACTATTCCATTAACCATGGGAATTTTTTTCTGATGACTGAGTCGTTCAAAACCACTCATTAATGCGTCCCCGACGTTTCGCAATAACGAACAGTTTTGGAAGGAAACGACGGGGGCTCATAATCGATTCCGTCAAGAAAAAAAAAGTGTTTGAGAGCGTTCAGGAACTCATCAACAAAAAACATATAAATAAATGAGAAGGGAATACCAGAAGGAGGAGCCGAGGGGAGGGTCTCCCATAGGAATCGTCGTGAGAACCGAGGATCCCCCCTCTCTTCAGACCAACACAAAAGAAACGCCAAATATGGGTTTTTGGCGTGAGTACGTTGCAAATGGCGGGTTTCTTCTCGTCGTCCAAGTTGCTCTTGCTTAATCCGTGAATGGATTGACTCAACAGAAAAAAACCCGAATTTTTAGGCCTCTCGGAAAATTGGGGGGGGGGGCGAAAATTCCCCCGAGGATGCTCGCCAGCCAAAAAATTGCTTCTAATTAGTCATTGTGTTAAACGAGTTGTTTCGGTATTTGGTGTTTCATTTATTTGATGGATTCCCACATTCAACATTATCTGAAGCTTTGAAATCGCCAGCGCCCCGCCCTAGCGGGGCATCTCTCAAATTAAACCGCCTGCAATTACGCCAAATTCTAGCACGTCCTGTCTTACGGTAGCACGTGTTTTCACTGTGTGTCGCCGTTTAGACACATCCCATTCTTCAACTTTTTTCGTGTGAGAACGCATAACTTTGACAAGTATCAGTATGTCTGTTTTGCATTTTGGGCATTCATCCAAAAACCAACTCCATTCCTCAAGGCGTCGACACTCTTTTTGTTTCAATTTGTGCGGGGCTCAGCAAGCCTTCTCACATTTAGTATATAACAAGAATCCTTTTTTCTCGCCAACTGTATAATATTAACAAATTGGGGGGCGGAGCTTGTTGAGCTCTCATCGCATTAATGAGCAGAAGCCTCATCTCATTCTTCTATAATGTGTTGCTGAAAAGCGCCAATGAGAATCAGTCGCAGTAAGACCCCGCCAATTATGTCCATTTAAAAAATTGTTTCAACTATTTTTACTGTTTTAAGAATTGTTAAAAATTTAAAGATTGAATTGTTTAAAAAATTTTTTAATCGGTGGTGTTTTAATATTTTTTTTGAATGTGACAAAAAACTAAAGGCAACATCCCCTATTTGTTTCATAAATTTCGATTCCCCATTGATAGGTTCTTTTTTAATCAATTCGCTCTTGAAACCATTGTAGTGCTTAAAATAATAGCGGAATGCTTTAATCCAATCAAAACCGTAGTCGGTCGGGGGTGCGAAAAAAAAAACAAAAAACGCCTTGTTTGGATGTTTAGCGTCATCGGCTTTTTTCCTCTCAATAACGCATTCGTGAGAGTGTGCAATTAGGTGTTAGTTTATAAATGTTGCCGGCGATTTCTTTTTTTTTTTCGCCGTATTTTTGTGTGTGTGTGTGTGTGTGTGACGCCCGTATCATCGTGGCGCTTCGTCTCGTCTTCGCGCCCATCTAATCACATTGTCGAGGTTTGTCTCATTCGCGGGCGGGCCGCGAGCGCGAGCACAAGCGAAACATCAGCGAGGATGAGCTTGAGAAGAAGACGACGAATGAGAAACAAGCGGTGGGGGCACAAAAAAAAGGAAAGAATGCGATTCACCTCGACTACAACAACGTATATTTTCAATTCATTTCCTCCACATTCCTTTTTTTTTTGAGAAATCCTTGAAAATGGCCACCAATCCACCCTCTTCTTCTCGCCTTCACGCCCCTTTTTTTGCAACACAAAAACAAATAATCATTGTGTTTTCACTTTATTTTTTTTCCCTCAAAATCCTCAATCTCATTCGCTGAGACTTTGGGGGTTCCTTGCGTCGAAACCAAAAATGGAAAATTTTGGCGGTATGACAAAAAAAAAATTAATTATTAATCATCTTTGCCACCAAACTCGACGTTGTCCTTTTCATCAAATTCCCCCATTGTTTCTCATTGGTATGCAAATTCTAGAATCGTCTGAAATTACTATGGGACATGCGCAGTCGTCGTCGTCGTCAAATCCCAGCGAGATCAACGAGAAGACGAAGGAGAAGGTATAAAAAATTTGAATTTTGTTGTTTTTTATTGACTGAAGGTAGGCGGGACCTTCAAATTCGCAAAATCAGTGTAAATTTGAATTTATCGTTGATTGAATATTAAATGCGCGTACACTATAATGCAATGTACGCAATCTCGCGTACTTCTCGCTGCCTCGAGACCCATTGGCACATAGCCAATAATTTCTTAAAATTTCGTCCAGTCGTTTGACTCCAACAATAACTAAAAATGGATTCTTCGAAAAAAAAAATCTTGCATAATTATTAGAGATCGTGAAAGTTGAAAAATATTTTCATCGTCCCCATCCTTTTCTATTTATAGCAATCAAGAAAATGAAAGCAATTACATGAATAGGTCATGCCAAATAAGGGCAAGATTTGAACGTAAACTAGTTTTCATGTTTTTTTTTTCGCACAAATTTGAATCGAGAAAATAGTGTACCGAAAATTGCCAATTTTTTTTGGTGCAGCGATTTCAAAAATTTTCGACCTCATCGTGGAAAAAGCTTCGAACTAATTTTTCAACGAAAAAAAAATCGCAAGCTTGAAAATCGATTTCAATTTGAATTAGGCGAAATTCGATCATTTTCAGGTTGAGAAACTCTTCCGCCAAAATAACCGAACGAATCGCTCGCGAAGTCTTGACAATCGGTCGCAGGAGAAACTTCCGACGCGCGCCGTCGGCTCGAGTCATTCGGCGCGCTTCCCGCGAACTCGACATTTTCCGCAAAGGAAATCCGAAGATGGGCGTAAGATTGAGCAAACAAAACAACTATAAATCATCGATGAACACTACGTGATATTCTCCAAGATTCATTTTTTGTTGTTGTTTTCGCTTTTTCGCACCAAACATGAAATTAATGCATGTTTTTTTCGCCGCGATTCGTCTGCCTATTTTTTTGTTGCGTTGATCCGTTTTGTATATTTTTTTTCGAGGCGTCGCATGCAGACATTCTGACGTCACAAAGTTAATTAATGTGCTCTATGGGGGGATGCACTTCACCGTTTAATTATCAATTTTCAGCGAATGGCGCAATTTCGGGATTGAGTCGCGACGATAAGCGAATCATCGAAACGTGCTGGTTCAAATGCACCCAAAAACAATTGAAAAAGTGCACATGCGACATTTTTTGGAATATTTTGCACACCGATGAGGATCTTTTGAGATTATTTCGATTGGTAAATAAGCAAAAATATTTCAAATAAACATTGTATACCATTTTTTTTCAATAATTTTCAGGATCACGTTCCAACCAATAAATTGAAAGAAAATGATTACTTCAAATCGCATGCCTCCAATCTTGCTCTCGTGTTGAACCTCGTCGTCACAAATCTACAAGACAATTTCGAAAGGGCTCAGGATGCGCTACAGGCGAGCACAATTGCCATCATCGAAATTATAGAAGACGTTGCAGGCGCTTGGCTTCCAGCACCTTCAGCTTATCGATCGCTCACGATTCCAATCAATGTATTGGGATATTTTCACCGACTGCTTCGAGCGAAATCCACCACCGTCGTTTCGAAAAGGAGCCGAACGCGAGGTGACATTGATATCACTTAATTTATATGTGCAATAATTTTTTAGGTGTGGAGCCGAATGATATTGTTCATAATTGCTCAAATGAAGACGGGTTATCAAGAGGCATTAAATGAGCACAAATCCGAGCAGCGGCTCAGCGTCCCATTCGCGTTATGATATTCACAAATTGTATCTAATAAAATTTATTTATTTGGACATATTGGTACTTGAGGGAAATGTCTCAAAAATTGACGTATGGAAATCATAGAGCTCGTAAAGTTGAGCAATTTCGATAATTTCGTGAATCGTGTTGATCAGCTTCTGGAAAAAACTATTTGTCGCTTTAAAAAATTAGCAATTTCACTTGAATCGTTTCAAGAATCATTAAAACTTGCGCGAGGCGTAAGCAATTATCAGAATGGGTACCATAATTCTTGTAATATTCTGTCATTTCGGCAACAATTTTTTGGCGCATTGTTCGAGAAATTGATGTACATTCGTCAGACTGGGAAGGCAATCCTGGAAAAATGGGCCATTTGGAATGCAAAATTTTAAAAAATAAGAAAAAATGTCACCAGTATCCCAAAAGATCAGCGCGCTGAGGTAGAGGAACTCGAATCTCTCCAATTTAATATAATTCAATTGCGAGACAATAGATTTTTCGTGAATTTTCCAATATCGGCCGAGAATTCTAAATAAGTTTGAATTCTCAAAAATTCCGTTTATATTACTTTGACGGTTTCGTTGGCGTCGATTTTTCATTCTTCTCAAATTCCAGATAATATTCATCGATTTTCTCACGGTCCACGTAACTTCCATCAGGAAGGATTAGCAAATTTTCTAAAAAAAAAAGAAAAATTGTTAATTAAATAAAAATACAATTCGAAGAAACATTAAAAAAAAAATAATTTTTGCAAGGACTAATTTTTTTCCCAGGCCATATTATATTTTTCGGCGGCCACTGTTTTAATAGAATTTTGAAGCATTTTTAAAAAATATTACCTTTAGATCTTAAACCATTTTCCAGAACTATGAACGGAGAAAGAAAATTGCTGACTAGAATTTTCTGAAATATTAAAGATATAAGGCTTTTATAAAAACAGAAACCTGCTGATCTGGCGCGAGTTTTGAAAAAACTTCAAATATTGGCACAACGTTCTTCATTATTAAAGCAATATCCTTAAAGAACACCTCATTCATTTCAATGTAATTGGATTGTCGTGGTTGCTGATCGAGCTGAAAACGAAATTCTACCACCATTTAAAGCAAACAAGCATCATGTCAAAAAAAATCGCAGCCAAACCTTTTTTGGAAAAATGATTTCCCTTTTTTGTTTAAGTTGATCATAAGCATCGCTCAATCGTTGCAATATCACATATTTTTGGCCCGTTTCGGATTCCTGCAAATTTTTGTCCCAATTTCTCAAAATCATTTTTCAACTACATACCTCTGGCGCTAAAAATGACGGCATTTCATGACACGAGCTCACTCTCATGAAGACAGCTGAAAATCATCAGAATCTATCGATGAGATCACTTTGCTCACCTGATTTTTGCATTCCGACAGCCAAACATTTGTTGTATCTACAGAACGCGCACAATTTTCGGACACCTATAATCAAAAAATGTGTGTTGCGGTGGCGATTCGCTTCGGGAAACCTGCGTCAATTTTGCATTTTTTTTCACAATTCCCAACCACCGCTTTTTTTGAGACCACTTTTCGGCGAAAAAACGCCGCACACGCTCTGCATTCAACAAATGATAACGTCATAATTTTTGAATTTACGATGTTGTCATTACCGACATGTGAGTGCTCCAAAGTGAAGCGAATTCGAGCCGTCGCCACACACTAGACACTTGTGCTTTCGTCCCATACACCTGGCAATATCTTATGTTGTATTTAGGGAATAAGGTGTGTCTAGAAGGCATCTAGAAGAATTGCTAAAACAAATGAACGATTTTCAAATCAAAAAGATCCCGGATTTTTCTCATGATGGGGTTCGATCCAATTTTCCTCGGCGCGAAAAATTTACTGTAGGCGTCTTGTGGGAGATCCTTAAAATGTTCAGGGTCATTCCAATTGAAGTGGCATTTCAAGATTCTAATTATTTAATTGCATAAACACACATTTTAGATTAGAAATAATTTGGTGCATTTTGCTTTCACGTGAGTGAAAAAGAAAGAGAGCGAGAGAGAGAGAGAGAGTGGAATTTGATTCACCACGGAAAAAATAAAAAATGAAGAGGCCACCGAAAAAAAAGCATGAATGACATTGAAATTACAGTAGTTAACAATTTCGAAAATTTGAAAACCCCCGTGAAAATTTTGTAAAAAAACTTCTTTCATCAATGATACTAAATATCTGCAAAATGTTTCCAAATTTAAAAGAAATAGTCAGTTAAAAATCATTTTTCTTTTAAATTTATGTGACTTTATTATTCGTAATTTCCATTGAATTTATATATATATTTTTTAAAATATTTCTGCATTGTACAAAAAATAATTGCATTAATAGGGCCTAAAATGACCTTGAGAGTAAATCAAATGAATCAAATTTGACGATCAAAAATTAAGAGAAAAATGCTAAGCGATCAATCAATACCAAAAAGACAAATAGAAGCAGACTAGATGCAACAGAAGAATGAGAGAGTGGGCAGGTTCTTTTTTTTTAACCTGTTCACTTCATTATAATTTTATGTTTTGTAGTCAGCACGGCACATACGAATTGCGATTAGAAAACATTGGAAGACGGATATCGCATGTTTATTTTAATCGAATATCAGTTGTAGTTTGTGTGCCCAACGCTATTCGACTACAGTGTAGACGCGAACATTCGAACAATACGTGAGGGAAAGGCTAGAAAATCGATTTTGGCGGTGATTGTTAATCAGTGTTCTTATAAATTTGGAACAAAAACTCAAAAACTCTGATCGAAATTATGTTTTGATTATACTTGTCAATGGTCCGTACCAGGGCTGTGCGGCAATCGGAAATTTCGGCAATTCGGCAATTCGGCAATTTTTCGAAAATCAAAATTTCGGCAATTCGGCAATTTTTCGAAAATCAAAATTTCGGCAATTCGACAAGTTGCCGAAAATCAAAATTTCGGCAATCCGGCAATTCGGCAATTTGCCGAAAATAAAAATTTCGGCTATTAAATGTTTTCAACGATAATTCGAAATATAAATACCGAATTTTCACGGTATCCCAAATTATTCAATGGACATTGATTTTTGTTTCGCCGAATTTTTTTGATATCAAATTGCCGAAAATCAAAATTTCGGCAATTCGGCAATTCGGCAATTTGCCGATCGAACGTTCTCTTCGGCAATTCGGCAATTCGGCAATTTGAAAAATCGGCAATTTCGGCAATTTCGGCAATCGGCAATTCCATTGCCGCACAGCCCTGGTCCGTACCTACTCAAAATTTTACAAAAAAAAATTGTTTTTGCATTTTTTGGACGTTTTTTGGACTCGGTGTAGTCAGAATTTGAATTGTAGGCAAATAATTAAATAACGATAAAAGATAAGTAAAACTTGTTTCTAAAGGACCCCCCCCCCTCAAATTCGACGTGCCGTTCAAATTTCTTTTAGGGCGTTAATTATGTGCCCAATAGAATTCAAAAAAGTTAAAAAAAAAACGATAAAAAATTTTAACAACATGTTTTTTTTGTGATATTTTGTGTTGGCGCGCACTACAATCTCGTATGATATTTAATGGTCCGATATATGCAATAAAATTTTTTTCCAATCCAGAGTTGTCATTTTTTACATTTTTTTTGGAAAAAATTGCATTTCATGAATACTACTTATTTCGCTCATTCTATTTATGACCGTTGCCTTAAAAATGTGAAAAAGTTGCGAAAGACAAATTTCCAGTTTGTGGCTCAATCATTTCCCCCAGATTTTTAAAGAATCGCTCTGAAAAATTAGAACACAAAAAAATTAAAAAGGGAAAAGAAGGAAGAAAGAAGGGGGAGGGAAGGGAACGGATTAAAAAAAGGGAAATTGTAACTTTCACCCCTGAATTCAATTTTGAAATTCATATTTTAAAATTTTGAAAATGGTCAAAGGGATACGCAATAATATGGGTGATTCATTAAACTTAGAATTTTAATAATTCAAGAAATTCAAACAAGAAATGAATGATATTTGTGATAAAATAATACATTCGTAAAAATAGAGCATCCTGTGATTCGAATTCCCATCGTTTAAATTCGAATTTGAATTACCGCCTCGAAAATGTTCCATGGTCTATAATTATGCAAGGGGCTCGATTTTTTTCGACGTTAATACAAAAATTATCTCAAATCCATAAATACCACTAACTTCGAGGTAATTTACAGGGTCGGGCATAATTACCGGTAATTTTTTTTGCGCCATGGTGACTCATGATGTCGCGTTTTTTTGAGCGCTCACAATTTTTTTCCAGTTGTTTAATGTGTTTTCTATTGTTTTTCCAAGTTTCGGACAAAAATACTAATTTTCTGCCAAATGGTAAAGGCTAGTATCCATCGAGTCACTATTTGCTCGCTATTCGATCAAGGAGTCAAAATTCCCATGATCATCAAGCGCCTCAAACTCCATCCGAACACAGTTTATTCGACGATTCGCCGCTATCAGGAGACTGGAGGACTTGATGACAGGCTTGGGAGTGGAAGAAAAGTTTCTGTTACGACTCTAGCTTAGGTGAAAGCCGTGAAGGAACGAGTGAGACGAAATGCTCATCGGAGCCTCTCAACGATGGCTCATGAGATGGGAATGTCCCGAAGATCGATGACAAGGATTGTCAAAGATAAATTGGGTCTTACCACTTATCGTGTGCGAAAAGCAGCTATTCTCTCTGTCGCCAATAAGCAAAAAATACTCCAAAAGGGAAAACTTCTTGTGGAGCGCACGCGAGTCGGCAAACATTTGGTTACCGTGTTTTCCGACGAGAATCTTTTCACAGTCGAGCAAGAATTCAACTCCCAAAATCACAGGGTTCATGCTAAGACCTCCCAAGATGCTTTTGACAACGGCAGAACCATTCACACCACTTCCCATCCCGCCAGTGTGATGGTATTTGGCGCTATATGCTCTGCGGGAAAGTGTCCGCTCGTATTCGTTAAAAAGGCGTTAAAATCAACGAGGAAGTCTACGTTGACATTTTGAAGGATCACGTATTGCCTTGGAGCCAAGATAATTTCAAAGGCCAACCGTGGGTGTTCCAACAACATGGTGCCTCTGCTCACAAAGCTAAATTCACTCAAAAGTGGTGCAAAGCGAATTTTTCGAGTATCATCGCTTCAGACGAATGGTCAGCTTCTTCGCCGGATTTGAATCCGCTGAATTACTATGTCAGGGGAATTTTGCAGAAGAAGGTCTGTGCTACACCCCATTCAAGTGTTGAGGATTTAAAAAAGAAGTTGGTCGAGGAATGGGACAAGATGTCAGTCAAATACTTGCGTGCGGTGGTGGATGCCTTCCCAAAGCGTCTTCGAGCCGTCACCAAGCAGAAAGGTAGCCGAGTTGAACAACTTTAGTATTTATATGTTTGTTACTACCCAGATAAACTTTTAGTTGAATCTCAACTTGTTCTGACTTTTACTTTTTGAAATACATCCGTTTGAACTTCTACCGGTAATTATGCCCGACCCTGTAAACACCCTTCGAATTTCTACGAAATTTTCGAGTTTGGATGGTAGTTTTAGAGTAAATCCTAAAAAAAAAGTTCAATTTCATTTTGGAAAAAAAAATGGAAATTGGGATTTCTTTTTTAAGACTTATTCAGATGGAAGATGGACTACGTTTCCACCGGAATGGCGGTCGGCGGCCAAGAGAAAAAATTTTGTAAGCATTTTTAATTATTTAATTATTGACAAAATTTTATTTTAAAATTACCTATTATTTATAAGTCACACTACGTGAATTGAAGAAATTGTATATGTATTCCTTTTTGATAACACCAATTCTGAATATTTGTGACGCTGGTGCAGATGTATTTCGTTTGTGCAGACGTTTAATTCACCATTTTCTGCGTATCCAATGAATGATTTGGACTTGGCTGTTAGCGAAGACAATTTCACCGTTCGGATATTAGTACTATTCACTTTTATTTATATGATAATTTCACTATTCGTTTATATATTGTTAAAGCATAATAATCAGGTTTGACGTTAAGGTTTCCATGCGGACGGATCGCCACCGGCTGGTCTTTTAGGAGCCTCTAGGTGGCGGCCGTGAAAAAAATTAGGTCAGAATAACACGTCCGCCAAAAAAAATTATTAAGAATTTTTGGAATTTGAGACGTTGTGTGAGCGTGCGTTTTCTTACAAGGGAGGTCTTTTTGCTACCCGTCTTAAAATTTTTTTATTTTTTTCATACAGATTCTTCAGAAAATTTCCAATCGAATGAACAAGGTGCCTACCTGCGCAAACTTCTAGCTATCGAGATATGGACCCTCAAAATTTTAGCCCCTCCCCGCGTGAATTTTGCATACTAATTTGTGGAAACTTGAAATAAAATACCGGGATGTCTTATATCGCTCTTATATTCTTATTTGGCAAGCAGTTGTGGTTCAGTGGTGTGGATATATTAGGATATAAGCGCGGTATAAGACATCCCATTATTTCATTTCGAATTTGCACATTTGTATGCAAAATTCACGTGGGGAGGGGCTAAAAGTTTGAAGGTCCATATCTCGATAACTAGAAGTTTGCGCAGGTAGGGACCTTGTTCATTCGATTGAAAATTTTCTAAAGAATCTGTATGCAAAAAATTTAAAAAAAATTCAGTAAAAAGACCTCCGTCGTTAATAGTATTTATAGTCGGCGTGAGGCGACTCCTGTACGCGGGTAGATTTACGCGCATGCGCCTTGAAAAGGTCCTACCACGCGTGAACGCTTATTTTGCTGTTTGACTGCTTTAATTTTTTTTATGAGTTTCACATTTCTTGGAGTTTCTAACGATATTCGATTAAAAAATTATCGAAGCGGTCCATAAAATTTGATATAACCTGTTAGTCCTTGCGAGACCATTTCGAAAGACGCATTCCCGTAAATCTACCCGTGCACAGCAGTCGCCGGTATGTATGTATAATCATACTATTATTTCACATTGGCTTTTTCACTCTCTTCGGTACTTGAAATGAACTTGTATGGATGGCAGCAGGCGGTCAATTTTTCGCCCCGTGTGGAAACCTTATTGGGCAGGCTAATTGAAGCCGACAACTAATCAATTTTCAGCATTGTTTGCTTAAAGAGATTCAATTCTTCTACAATTTTCAATTAATCACCACCAGCCAAATTATCATTTCTATTATATTATTTGTTAGCTTTGAAATTTGCTACGATCTTATCCAAATTAAAGCCCAAGCTTTCATTTACAATTTTGCCCTAGTTGTTGAAATTGTCGCTACGATATCACTGCTAACAGCATGCATTTTTAGCAAATTAATCGACGTGTTTGTTCTCGTCAATTCGCTATCCTTGTTTTTTAATAGCCCATTTATATCATTTTGCGAAGTGCAAATTTCAAAGTAGGTCGAATGAGAATCCAACAAAGAACATTTTTTTGAATTAATTTAGAACTAAAACCGTTTATTTTTATTCATTTTTCTACGCGATTACGTTAGTAATGAATTACTACGAATCAATTTTCAATTTGGGGGTCAATTTCGAGAGCGACGTTGGAAAATATCATATCGTTTTGACATCCATCGCGGCGGTTTTTATCATTGCCAAAACGATTGCAATTCGAGCCAACTTAAAAAAAATGAATACTGAATTATTATGCCTTTATATGCATACTTTAATCGCCACAATGATCACGCTGGTGGGACGAATGGTGCAAAAAAACGTAAAATCTAATATATCGTTCAGGCATGGGCGATTTCTCTGGCGATATGCTTGCAATTCGATTCATGCCCGTTCCATGGCATTCGAAAATTCATCACTTTTTGCGTTTACTATTTGTTTGTGACATTTTCATGCCCGATTGCTGTCCTATTCGCCAATCAATTTGGCGGTAAACGCCGAAAACTTTCAGTTCGACCGCTCTTCTACATTTTCAACAATTCCAATTCCCAATAAAATAACATCAATTGTGCAGGTGAATCTTGAAAATAAAAAAAATGTTTAAATAAATAAAAGAATTGAATCAACGATGAATATTATAATTTATAGAACTTTGAGTTTTGTTTTAAATGGTCGCATGATTATTTTAAGAAGGCGGAATGATACAAAAATCAATAAAATTCCAAGGCCTATTGTATCTAGCATGAAATATTGATAGAAGGGCATTGAGAGGAAATGCGGTTGAAGGGATTTCAGTTCGCCAAATCTAAAAAAATAATTATATTAATTTGTTTCATAATTATTATTTGCTGTAAAGGTCAGAATTTTTTTTTGAAAAATTTGTAAAAAAAAATATACATATACAAAAACTATTCCAAAGAAGAAAGAAGTTTTTCTCAAGAAAATTGGACTGATGATTTTGAATTTCTAAACGGTCCGTTCCAACATCTGACGCACAAATGCAGATTATACGTCTTAAATAACGTTATACTCTGAATTTGTGTGTCGGGTGGTCGTATCAAAACGCGCAATCTTCAGCAGTCGCTTTGTTTCCTCTTTTCTTTTCTTAAAATCGTCTCTCAACTTATTTTCTTTATTTTCTATAACGTATTCGTCCTAATGGACCTATTCATGCAATGAAAAAAATTAAAAAAAAAACAATTTTTTTCATTTGAATTCCCTATGCACGTCAAGAATTACAAAAAATTGACGCGATATATCGTAATTCTTCGCTATTTATTTTTAAAGGCGCATGTGAAAAGTTGCGCGGGTCACGTCGCGAAGTCGGTACTGTAATTTTTTATTTTTCATTCTGTGTGTTATTTTTCCGTATTTTTCGAAAATTTTGAAGAGAAAATGCGTAACAGATTTAAGATTTAAGAACGAATGAAAACAATTATTATTGGTATAATTACTCCTAATTCGACAATATAAGTCTATTTTTCGTCATTTAGATGCCAATTATTATGAAAAATAGTGATATTTGTGTTAATTTGATGCAGACTTCGCTCGACGACGCTTCCAATGAACCTTTAGTGTTGATTAAACAATATACTTTTACTGCTTTCTAAAAGAAAACGTTTTAAACGCTCAAAAAATAAAAAATTCGAAAAAAAAACGGCCATTAAAAAATACAATACCGACTTCGCGACGTGACCCGCGCAACTTCTCGCGTGCGCCTTTGAAAATAAATAGCGGAGAATTACGATATATCGCGTCAATTTTTTGTAATTTTCGACGTGCATAGGGAATTGAAATGAAATAAATGGTTTTTTTTATTTTTTTCATTTCATGAATAGGTCCATAAAAATGAAATTCAATACTCTCTAAAAAAATATTTGAAAAAATTCGTGCTGGCCTAGAAATTGGTGGGAATGCTAATTTTAAAGTGATTATCTAAACCAACCTCGTGCCGAATTCGACATGCTTCACTAATAAATCAGCCGGCTTTATAGGCTGAGATTTGAGCTGCTCGGCGAGAATTTCAGCATTTTCTTGGTACCTCAAATAAATGATTTTTTTTAAATAATACATAGTTTTCAAAATTCAGCAAACTTTGGATTATACAAAATCTCGCGCAACGCGTTTTCAAGTTTCGATGGACTTGCCAAATCAAATTTCGTCAGCTGAAGAGCACCGCCATGCCTTTTGAGCATTTTCGAATTTCGCATTTGATCCGAAAATATTGGAATCTAAATTTAATTGGTTGCAGATTTGTGGAAAAACCAGTGAGTACCAGAATTGCCGGTTTTCCGGAATAGCTTAGCTCGGTGACACTACCGAGACCACCGTGAGTTACAAATAAGGAAAGTCGAGGATCAGCTGAAGAACAATTAAATTTGAATAATCTCGAATTAAAGAAGAGCCTACCAAGTAATGCAGTTTGCGGAATCCAATTGAACAAATGAGCATTTGGAGCGATTTCAGCAAATTTTTTATCGACACCTTCATATTTCCAGATAAATGTAACATTGGGAAATTGCTTGATTGCTTGAATAATATTTGTTCTAAATATTTTTTTTAATGTTTATAGTATTTTGATTGAATGTACTTTAAGTTTGCAGGCATCGTACTTGCCAGAATCACAGTTCCGAAGGAGATCAAAACAGTTTTCTCCCTCAAATTCAATAAAGAATCGAATTCCTAGAATTTCAAAAATTTTCCGTTTTTCTATGTTGAAGGATCCTACGTCTCCAATTTTCTCGATTGTTTCATGTGGATGATTGGCAGAAATACCACCGATTTGAACAGTTTTCGTGATGACCGGATGTTGATAGTCCAAATATGGATTCGAATTTGTGAAGAAGAACGGGCTTTTGATTAGCTCTTCCTGTTAGCCACATTTTCGTTTCGGCGAATTTCGATAGATCGTTACCTTAATATCGATGAACCTGTTAGGATCGTCGACGCTCGGAATTTTTCGAAGCGGAAAAAATAAGCAGAACGCAAAATTCAACAGCAGATTGTGAACTCTCTCCGTGAAACTCATCTCATCTCCAAGACCAGCCGTTATTTCTAAACAATTCATTTCTAGAATAATTATTGGTAAGTTATAGTCAATGTCTGAAAAAAAAGAAGCGGCTAGTAGAATTACTATGGGTTCTTTTTTTTTATCAAAAGTATATCAATAAATTATTTTTCGTGCATAACTTTGCTCAAAAAGTGTGACAGCCATGATGGTCCCTTATAAGATGTTTAACAATTTCAAATGATGTTCTAAATGAATCCAGAACTTTCCAGAATCCTAAAAAATTCTAATTACGCCAAAATATTAGAAACCCAAATTTGCAAGATTATTCAAAAAATATTGAAGAAAGCTATACACGATGTTTATATTCTTTTGCGCGGTACTGTATGTCGTCAGACGCGTTGCGGCTCGCGTGAGGTCACTCTTTTAACCAACAGACCTACAAATAAATCAGAAGCCGATGATATTAAATACATCCTGGAGAACCACAAAAAACCAATGTTGCGATTGTGAGATCACTAAATTTGGTAAAACGTATTCACGAAAATTATTTAGATGACCGCACACGAACCGCAACGCGTCTGACGACATAAAAAAATCGAGACGAGTAGTTTCCTTCGCAATATATTCCGATTTGTGAGCACTTACCCGACAACGTGCTCAACATTGCCGGCTGTCCATAAGCCATTGAGATTCTCGCATTATGAGTCATCGACAGCATTGGCAAAGTTGTGGTGATATTCAAATAATCTTTCACTTCTTAAAATTTGATTTGAAAAGAATCCAACATGGAAAATGAATGACAAACGCAATGCTGAAATGATGATCGCCTCAAAAATGAAAGCATCATACTTTTCCGCCTTCAACTCATCCAATTTATCTCGATGGTCTTCGAATAAATCTGAAATTCAAAACATGTTGGGTATTATTATAAAGAATTCATACTATCAATGGTTTTTGTGAACATTCTCTTGAAGAAAAAATGCATGTCAATGGTATCGATTAAATCAGCATCGCTAGTCCAGAATTTTGAGAAGTCTGATGATGTCGCTAGATCTCCAAATTTGGCGACCTCTTCGCTCATCTAGACAACTTGAAAATTCACAAAAAAAAGCCAATGATTTCATACCTCCAACAAAATAATATTTTTCGTGCTTTTCGCATATTTATTTTTCCGAAACATTCTTGTAATAAGTGGACTCAAGATCGTCTAAAATCCCTTATTTCATTGAACGCCTGTGTGATTTTGATTAATACCACATTATGCCCAGCGTCTGTTAGACAATCCGCAACTTTGCCTAGAAAATTGGCATGGCTATGCCCAAAAATGGGTGAAAAAATTAAATAATTGTATGCGGACGAATGAAGAAACAGGTTAACGAGGAATGCGAGTCGTAGTATCATAACTAACTGATACCATTTTGCAAAAAATTCCATATATATATATGACTATATACTACGATGTAGTAATAACAAAAATTATAGCCGGTATAGCCAAAAGGGAAAGTTTTTTCGTCAAATACGGGATAGATATAATGACAAGTCGGTTTGATAAGTTCAAAATTTTATTCGGTTTTTCTTTTCTGTTCAAATCGAATCAGTTTCTTCAAGGATGATTTGATAAGGCTAACAATCACGAGAATAAATACAATAGAAGAGAAGATGCAGAAGGCGAGAACATCGAGCATCAAATACGAAATTGATGGCATGTCGTGATAGTGGGGATCAAGTGCTGGAATCTCTTTGAATCTGGAAATATCAAATAATTTAAATAGAAGTGGAGGACTCTTGAGTGATTTTTCATATAAATTACAGTATGTAGTACCCTCACTATTATAATTAACAAATTTCTATGAAGCTCGAACTTCTAAGATTCAATTGACGGAAACACCCAAGACTTATTTGATACGATGACAGTATTACGTAAGACATTGCAAAAGAAAATCAGTACAGTTTGTTGGTATAAAACCACTCCACCACAAAATGATGAACTTCTTTTGCAGCGACCTAATAGAAAAAATATTACCTTGTCGCGAATTCGACGTGTTTGATGAGCATCTCTCTCGGAGGAATCGGAGCAGAATTGAGAATATCGGCCAACTTGTCCGCATTATTTTTATATCTGAAATCATGGACATTTTTCATTTTTCGACTGAAATCGGCTTTGACATTTCATCAGTCAATAATTTGCTCAACGACTCGTGAACTTTATCGAAGTTGCTCAAATCGAACTTCGATATTAGAATTGAGCATCCGTGCCTTGAAATCATCGCAGCGTTTCTCATTTGGTCCCCGAAGATTGGGACCTGTTAAAACATTCATGAGTCAATTTATATTTTCATTAAATTACTAATAGTGCCGGTTTTCCCAAATAAGCCAACTCGGTGATGCTTCCAAGACCTCCGTGGCTCACAAAAACAGTCAGTCGCGGATCGGCTGAAATCGAGAATTTCAGAAATGCCATCATTAAAATTCGAACCGAGAAGCTGAGCTTGTGGCACCCATTTCTCGAAAATAATATTTGTTGCGCCTATTGCAAAAGCCGTATCGTTCGTTTCATACTTCCAAATAAAGGTTTTATCTTTGAATGATCGCATTACTTTGACAAGAGTTTTCCTAAATAACATTTTGAGATTTTTTTTGTCCAGTTTTGTAAAAAAAAACCTTGACAGCTCAGGCATATCGCTTGAAAAAAATGCCGAACCGAATGATACTAAAACTGTTCGCTGACGAAGCTCCAGAATACGATTATACTTCTAAGAAGACCCATTTTATATCTAGATTTTGATATCTAGACATCATTTACATTTGGTAGCTCTAATGATTTGATGTGATTAACATCGACAGCAATTCCGCCAATTTGAACAGTTTTTGTGATTGTTGGCCGTTGAAAATCCAAATATGGATTCGCATTGGTTAGCAAGAATGGAAATTTCCTTTGTTCCTCCTTAAAAGTATAAATCACGAATCTATGTAGAAAATCGGCGTCACCGCGAGAACGACAATCGTATCCGGATTGAACAACGATTTTCTGACTGTCGCCAGCTGTAAATAATTTTCAGCCAATTGAAAACTGGCGAAATTCCACATTCGTGTGAGAAAGTCCATTTCGTCTGACCAGTGGCCCATTGTGGCTTAAATTTTGTATTATCATCTTGGCAGACACTCTCACATTCTATTTCATTTTTTCCAATCCCAATTTTTTCTCCACTCTCTTCGGCAATATTTTTAGAGAGGTATCGATTTCTGAATGAAATACTCAATCTTAAAAAAACCAAACTGATATTAAAAGAAGATCTTAAATTGATATTATTCATGCAGTCACTCAGTTATGTTATTAGAAACATTTTCGGTTTCTCCATGTATTCAGAAGTTGGTTCATTTCATCACTTGGTCCTGTACGGAATAAAAAAGGGAATTTAATCTTATTCTTTTGACGTTTAGGAGGTCACCATTTTCACATTTGAGTGTAATTTGCAAAAAAACGCATAGATAATTTCCACTCGTGACCAAAAAATCGGATTTTTGAGAATAACTTGTGCTCCGATCGATGTGAATCTGTTTTGTGCACATTCTCGTCATGGTGAATCACAGACAGATAAATCGCCATCATTATTTTCAGAATTTCCGTTTTTCGCTTTTTTAATTGATTTTTTTATATTTCAAAAAATTCTTCGCAGCAAACAATTCTAATCAAATTGATAGTGTCGAAGATTGCCATGAATTTTCAAGTGACCTATAAAAATTCTGTTTTTGCCGCGAATTGCACATATTTTTTGCATGCGCCTTTAATTCGTACTGTAGCCTTTTTTCTGTTATTTTTTAAGGAAAACATTTGCAATGTAAAAAGTTCAAAATGTTCAATCATAAGCAACGCCCCTCTAGACCTCGACGACATCTCGAAGGTACTCGGTCACACAATGTTCACATGTTTCGATCGTGCCGACTTCACATGATTTCCTGTGTCGATTCCACCATCAGACTCACTTGCTAATATGCTCGGCATGACGGGTTCTCCCATGGCTTTCGACAATAATATTTCATGAGTAACCGAAGCACACGGAATCGCCATGGGAATATTCAATGTGTCACGTAGATCTTGAATTAGTTTAAGATTGCACCACAAAAAATTGCGAAAATAAAATCACAGAATCCTTCAAAAATGACCATCTCAAATATGATTGCGTCGTATTTTCGGGCTCTCAGCTCATCGATTAAATCGCGATAATTGTTGCAAATTTCTGAAATTGCCAATTTTATTCAATTGAAAACTTTCTTTTTGCTCAGTAATCACTATCAAAGAATGTGATGCATTCATCGAGAATTCCTCGAATCTTCAGAATGGTGTCAATGATTGAGGCTTCATCCACCCACGAATTTCTGAATGTGTTGAGCGAGACCTCCTGCTTCGGCTTTTCGCCAACGCGATTCGGAAATATCCGAATAACGTCGTTTGTGAGCTTCACAAAATCCACATCGGCTAATCTCTCGTCCATTATTGGAGAAAAATAGGTCTAAATTACGTGTACCAATGAGACTTTTTTTTTTTGAATATCAATGTTTAAATATTATTCGAGAGATTTCTAAATATTGCTACAATTTAAAAATTTTCAAGCTTTTCTAATCAAGCTGAGCTATTTTCGTTTAAAGGTCGAGTAATGAATTTCATTTGCAGTGACCTATTTCAAAGAAGAAAAAAAAAATTTCAAGACGAACCACATTATGGCCAGTTTCCATAAGAGTATCGGCAATTATGGCGAGAAAATTCGCGTGACTGTACGCAAAAATTGGTGATAATACTAGATAATTATAGCAACAGCACTGGCCAATAATCAGAAGGATGAGGCCATTCATTTGCATGTCGAATTTGAGTAGACTGACCCCCCGATAACTAGAATTGTTTGGGAGTGAAACAGGTTTCTCTCGGTACGTGCATACTTGCGGTTTTTTGAACACCTAAATACTGTCTGTCATGTCCAAGAAACAAAATGAACGCAATTTGTTCAATGATGATTCTTCGCTACTGATTTTTGATATAAATCTTTCGCGGGGAATTGGCAAAAAAAAAACAACTTCTAGAGACCATCGTAGTTTTCGCGGTAATTCAAATTTTGATTTAAACTGTGCCAATTTGCAAACCTCATATATCACTAGCTGGTACGAAAATAATTAACCAAGTAATTAGTGCACAACTGTATGATGTTTATTAATCGAATATCTCGGAATACATTAAAAATTAAATTATTAGGGGGCTAATTTCAGTTGATTGCAGGCTACTGAGGAAGTAAGAGACAATTTGCTCCTGATTAAAGTTTGGTCGTCAAACCACATTCGATTTGATCTATGTAATATGAAATATAGTGAAGACATTAAAGGCGCATGCAGAGAAATAGCTATGATCAAAATTCTTCAAAAATCGTTTCATCATAATGATTTTCCTCGACAGCTCATATATTATCGAGGACGGATATTTTTAGAAAGTCGCTGCTTTATCAATTTGAACTCCATTGAAAACTACAATATTCATCAAACGCGCACACAAAAATAATTTCATATCGTGTTTGAATTGAAATAAAAATTATTTCTTATTCAGTGTGTGCTCCCGGGAAATGTAGAAAACTCCCGAGAACTTCTCGGTAGTCTTCGGGAGTCCGGGGAATGTCTCGGGAAAATTCTCGGAAATTCTCGAGCTGTTTTCGCGAGCGGCAATCTTAAAGCGAATACTTTCCGGAAATTCCCGGAAAATTTCCTCTCGTGAGTACACACTGTTCCTATTCTTTGGCTGAGTATTAATCGTTACAGTATCCATCAAAGGTGCGCGCAAAAATAATTTCCGTTTAAATTCTTTGCACTTCCGGCAGTTGTTTGTCTTCGACAATAACACATTGCAAAAATCAACAGTTTATTCGTTTTTGTCCTTTTTCTCAGATTCTCTCAATTTTACAAAAACGAATCCGATACACTTATAAATAAAAAGTATAACCGCGTACAGTGTAATTAATAGGAACAGTCCAATGTCGATCATGAAATATGAAATATTCGACATGTCATGATAATGAGGCTCGAGGGCTGGAATCTCTTTGAATCTGAAAATTGAAGTTGAGGTCTCTTTAGTGATTTTAAAAACTCTAGAACCCAAGCTACTATAATTAATGAATTTCAGAGAGTTTGATGTGCCAGCTATGAAGCTTGAATTCCAACAGATTCAATCATCGGAAACACCCACGGCTTACTTAATACGATGACAGTATTACGTAAGACATTGCAAAAGAAAATCAGTACAGTTTGTTGGTATAACACCCCACCACCACAAAATTATGCATTTCTTTTGAAGCGACCAAATAGAAAAAATATTACTTTGTCGCGAATTCGACGTGTTTGATGAGCATCTCTCTCGGAGGAATCGGAGCAGAATTGAGAATATCGGCCAACTTGTCCGCATTATTTTTATATCTGAAATCATTGACATTTTGCATTTTTCGACTGAAATTGGCATTGACTTTTCATCAGTCAATAATTTGCTCAACGACTCGTGAACTTTATCGAAGTTGCTCAAATCGAATTTCGATATTAGAATTGAGCATCCGTGCCTTGAAATCATCGCAGCGTTTCTCATTTGGTCCCCGAATATTGGGACCTGTTAAAACATTCATGAGTCAATTTATATTTTCGTTAAATTACTAATAGTGCCGGTTTTCCCAAATAAGCCAACTCGGTGATGCTTCCAAGACCTCCGTGGCTCACAAAAACAGTCAGTCGCGGATCGGCTGAAATCGAGAATTTCAGAAGTGCCATCATTAAAATTCGAACCGAGAAGCTGGGTTTGTGGCACCCATTTCTTAAACACGATGTTCTCCGCATCAGATGCGAATGAGGTATCATCTTTCTCATACTTCCAAATAAAAGTTGTATCTTTAAATGATTTCATCGCGTCGGCCAACGTTTTTCTGAATTTGTTTAACGTTTGCATTATTTTGTTTTTTCTGAAAACCGACTTGTATTCGTTCGGCATATCGCATGACATAAACGCAGATCCAAACGAAACAAGAACAGTTCGTCGGCGGAGCTTCATTATCACATCGTATTCCTAAACATCCATTTTTTATTTCATTGCATTTCACGAAAAACTCAATTTTTGCTTCATTTATTGCTTTATCTAAGAGGCAAAAACGCGTTTTGGCTAAAACCGACCACGTAACGTCGATTTTCCCTATTTCTCTCGACCGCACCGTACTCTCTCACGTTGTAGGAGCCAACCCGCTTGGTGTCCTGCGCCTTTAGACCATGCTACTGTATTTTTTTTTTGCAATCCGTTCCACAGAATTTTATATTTTCGTTTTTTTTTTTTCGGTTTCACCTACTTCCGCCAGTTTCGCCGATTTGATTTGATTAACATCGACAGCAATTCCGCCAATTTGAACAGTTTTTGTGATTGTTGGCCGTTGAAAATCCAAATATGGATTCGCATTGGTTAGCAAGAATGGAAACTTTCTAAACTCTTCCTGAAATGCAGTTTGAACATTTTAGACTTTCGAAAAATCGTGCAAAAACCGTAAGGGAGATGATCCGGTCAGGATTCGATAACGAGCGACGAGATTTTGGTAACTGGAGTATCCATTGCGCGTATTGAATTGTGGCAAAATTCTTGATTCTTGTGAAAAAGTCCATCTCATCAGACCAATATCCCATTGTGGCTGCAATTTTGAGTTCTCAAATTTCAAATTTAATGTATACGAACTTGCTAAAACACTAGGCATTGCTGGTTCTCCAATAGCTTTCAATGCAGTAAATTCATGGGTAACTGATGTGCATGGAATCGCCACTGGGATATTTAAAGTATCGCGTAGATCTGAAAATGTGTCCAGATAAAACAAATGAATCAATTTTAAAACGATGTCGCTTACAAAACCCTTCAAACATAAATATTTCAAAAATAATCGCATCGTATTTTCTCGATTTCAATTCTGCCATAAGATCACCATAATGATCGTAGAATTCTGAAAATTCAGAATTAATCGACAGGTTTTCAAATCATTCTGATCACTTTGAAAATAGGGAATTGATTCAATAAGCATTCCTTCAAGCTTCTGAATGGCTTCAAATGAAGAAGTATCTTCAACCCACGAATTTCTGAATGTGTTGAGCGAGACCTCCTGCTTCGGCTTTTCCCCAACGCGATTCGGAAATATTCGAATAACGTCTTTTGTGAGCTTCACAAAATCCACATCAGCCAATCCTTCGTATATGATAGGAGAGAAATAGGTCTGAATTGCATTTTCCTAGTTACAGAAGGAAGAAAATGAACCACAAAACGAACCACATTATGGCCAGCTTCCGTAAGAGTATCGGCAATTTTGGCCAGAAAATTCGCGTGACTGTGCGCAAAAATTGGTGATAATACAAGATAATTATAGCAATATGCACGGCTTATTAAAAGAACTATGAAATTAAATAATAGCATGGTTCGAAGGTAGGTTTCACTGCTAGAAACAACCTCAACAGTGATTTGCTTCTTGATGTCCCACTAAATGTCATTGTGTCTTGTAACAAGACACCCATACCAATTGTGTCTCTCAGTAATTCATTAATTCTAAACTTCACCATTTGGTCAATTTGTTTTTTAATTTTGCGCTACAAACTGACTAGAACTGTTCGATTAGAAACTGGTTCGGTGGGCAGACATTGATTGTTATCTTTTTCGTTTCCGAATGTTGTTTCATGAGTATCTCTCTTATCAATAATTACTAATTAAACGGAGAAATATTGTCGATGACAGACAAATTCCGCGCGGGGGCGGCGCTAATAGTTCCTCAAGCGACAATTGATGTCTGGTGGCCTATAAGGTTTCGAGTGAAACGATTTGGTCAAGCAATAATTTTCGATTTAGTTGCGTATCAAATACATACAATATTTATCAAAGACGCATGAAATATTGATGAGAAGCAAAAGAAAGCTGCCTGTCTTCGACAAAAAAAAACTAATTTGACCATACCTGCCTTGTGCAGTTCCATAAACAAATTTTTGTGTTTCTGGACTGCAATTTTTTTCTTAAATTCTTTCTTCATTGAACTTCCACTTGTTTTGACGATCAAATTTTCGTTAAAAGTGTTGAAATATGTAATATAGGTTGTTTATATATAGGTTTGAAGGATTAGTGAAAGAACAGCTTATATCGCCCCTAAATTTCTTTAAAATTTGAAATTTAAATAAATTTCAAATCTGATTATTTTCCATTTATTCGCCGTCAGAAATTTCTTTTAAAAAATATGGGCAATATGTTTATCCAAAATTTATTCTCATCAACATTTAAAAAATGGAATGAACGAATCAATTACTTGGTTAATCGCGATTCCCTTTTTTCTCGCAACTGTTTGTCCCACGACGCAAATGGTTCCATTTTGAGAACGCCGACAGTACTCGTGAAGAATTGCTCAAGATCGATTCCTAAAACATAATGCGCACGCGAATTCGGTTCCAGTTTACCATGAACCCGCTCATATTTATCCGCTTGCGCAATCATATCGAATTTGTCGAGATGTTTGACAACCTTCGCCGTTAGTGTCTCAGCCGCTTCATATTCTCTCCATAATGAATCCCATTCGTCGCCAACATTTGGAACAAATGAGCAAATCGTTCGAATCGCCTGAACCGCTTGAATTTTCTGCATTCATTAGCAACATCTTAAGCACCTTGCTCTCCATGTCGAACTTCTCCTGATCGGAAACTCCGCAATGCGGTGTGATGTCACCGGCAATAGCTTCTCCAATATCATGAACAAGAGCCATTTTCAAAGCTCGAATCGTGTCCAGTCCTTTGAAAATAATAATAATAATATTAGATGGCAGAGAACCAAAAGATTTTTCAAAAATTTTTAAGAAAGTTTCAATAAATGATTAGTGTATAGTCGGCGCCCGGCGACTGGTGTTCACGGGTAGATTTACGAGGATGCGTCTTTCTCTTGGTCTGGTCTTGCACGGACAATCAGGTTATTTCAAATATGGCCCGGTTCGATAATTTTTTAATCGAATGCGTTTGAAATTCAAGAAAATGCCAAACTCGTCAGGAAAAATTTACCATTCACGTGAAAACAGCAAAATTCATAGTATAGTCAAAACTTTAAAGGTCAATAATTCTTAAATGATGGACCTATTCATTAATTGATGCTCTTTACAAAATATGCTTTTAAAAAATTTCATGAATAGGTCCATAAATAACTATTAAAGAAATTTCAAACCTTCGATTTGTCCCTCCAACGACAAAGCTAAAATCGCCATTCTATACATATGACAGGCGACGGTTTCTGGCTCCGGAACCTCAATGACCAAATATAACAATAAAATTAGATTGAATTCGTCACCAACCCCACATTTCACCCATCCAGTTCTTTTCAAATGCTTCAAATTATCCAAGACCTCAAGTAGCTCAAAAATTTGAACCTTCGACATCCTAAAATTACATATTCAATTCTATATATCAATTTTTCAACATATCCTTCAATGAAATGATTAATCATTAATTTGTGTTTGACAAACGTCAATTCAACAGCAATTATTTATTAAAAAACAAAACCCATTAAAGAAATTGGTGAATGATCCAAGAGTCAAAACATGGGCGCTCAATATGTTGATGAAGGAGAGGCAAAAAGAAGAACTACGACATTAACAAAGAAAAGGATGATCGGAGCTCATCATCTAAAACAATCAAAGAGCAAACAACAAGCAATCAATTAATATATCGCAAAAATCATGATACTTCAAATGTTGAACGACGCATTTCAAAATAATAAATCATAATAGTAATAGCTAGCATAGCAAGAATACGAATAAATATATAAGCGGTAAAAAAAACAGAGAGAGAGAGGAAGAGAAAGAATACAATGATAGCAGCATTTCATAAATTTTATATAATTATGCAATTAAAACTACAAGAAATTAAAACAAGAAAAACACAGAAGACGAAAAACATTAAAAAATATTAACCGAAGTACAATTAACAATGGGATTGAAAGAAAATTTAACGGGGAGCTATTGGAACAAACAAAGAGAGAAATGATTGAAAATAATCTGAAGCAATCGAAAATCACCTTGGGTTTGAAAAAAAAAAACGACGACGACGAAGAGAAACGGAAACCGAAAACTAGGCGAATTGTTGAATTCAACATTAACTACCCGGTCGGCAAAGAGGATCAGACAATTTTAAATTTCATTTAAGCTTTACCTATCAACTATTGTACATGGCTTAAGAAAAATCAAAACAAAACATTTTAGCAACAATTGTGAAGGAGCTGACGTTGGAGAAGAGCGAGGAGGCAAGGTTTTTTGTAGACGAATTGATTTTTAAGTTTTTTTTTCCCATGTGCGTCAAAAACCATATAGTTAGGCAAGATTAAAACTATTAATTAAAAAAATCGACACCGACTCAATCCTTTTTCGTTTTCGTGATTGGCGTCGGACTGGCGAACACCTCCTCTTTCGGCGTCAATCCGACAGTGTTCTCAAACTCCTCTGGTCGAATTCTCGCTTCAGGCATCTCAAACAGCTGAACCATGAAGAAGCTGTCATTGAAGTGCTCGATTTCATTGGCGTCAAGAATCAGTCGCAATCGGCAATAGACGTGCGGATGCTTCTCACGATAGCAGGGGCGTTCTTTAAAAAAAGAGAGAAATTGAATCAAAATGAAAAATCATACGTTCCGCGCTTTCCGGCAAGACGTACATGTAGAAGTCAGAATTGTATTCATTCGAAAGGAACGACTCAAACGCCATCTCGCGTCCGCTGTCGTAGTCGCCAAATATGAGACTGAAATGAATTCATATTTTTCCAGGAAGGCTTCCAATTTTCAGCAATTTGCACAGAAAATTTGACGAAGAAGCCATTTTTACATCGGAATTGAACACTTTTAACGGAAGGGAACAAGCCCGAATTTGTGATTAAAAAATTTTTAATGACATTTTTTTTCCAATTGTCGATATGCAGAAAATTAGCAAACTAAAAAAACAGTGACCGTGGTTTTGGCACAAAACAAAAATTTTAGATTTACGGACCCATGTAAAAGATAGATTAAATACGCAGACCTATCTTATCGCTAAAGTAGTTTTTGGCATTTTTCACATTTTCCAGAGATGTGCGAACAAGAGTGCATTCCGTTATGAAAAAAAAAAAAACTCACACTGGCGGACTGTTGAGCAATTTGGCAATCGGAGCGCTCGCAATAGCCGATCGAATCATTTCATCACGTCGTGTCGCATCCTTTTCGAATCTCCACGGGCTGTTCGCAGCGTCAAGCTCATACGCCAATTTATCGGCGCGTTGGATCATCGGAATGCGGACAAGATGTGGGAATGTCGAGCGCATCGTCGTGTCCATTTTCGTGTACGACGCCGGAATCAATGCCAAATACTGAATTCATAACGCTAGGCTTTTAATTATCAAACAAATTGCATACCAATGGTCCTCTCATTTTTGCCGTATTGATTTTGACCATAAACTCTTTCTAAAAAAATTGAAATTAAAAAATATAATAATTATTATTATTATGCTTACAATGTAGACTTCACGATCCGAAGACACAAAGCGATCAACAACAGTCGCACCAATTCGGCAAATATGAAGATGCGATCTCACGTCATCTAATCTTACTTTGAAAATGACGCGCGGATCAATCTCTGGCAAATGCAGGTATGGATGACTTTAGTCAAATTATTCTAGAAATACCTCCAACCAGCATGTTCAGATATGACAGATAAATATCCTGAAGGGCCTCATGTCGTTCAAGAACAAATTTGCGAGACTGAAATTGAAATGTTGCAGAATAAAAAAAGAACAAATTTTGTCAAATCTCACAAAGTATCCGTTGACGCTAGTCTCGGCAAACTCAAGATCAACCATCGACGAGTCAATTTTGCGATCAACTGCAGCCAGATCAGCACCGTGCCAGATGAGTTGTTGAGCCTGAAAATTGAGCGAGACCGTGTTTCGAGCTCACACCATGAATCGCAAACCATGAGGCACGAAGGACGACGAGCGGCGTAGTAGAGCGGCGTCATTTGGTAATCCGACGTGACCTCAGTTCCGCAACCGTAATTGAGAAGCACATCCAATTGGCATGGCATTCCCGTAAGAGCAGCGAAATGGAGTGGGGTAAAGCTGTTGGTGAATGAATGCAACAAAACTTTACGCCGAACCTCCGTATCGATGCATCCAAGGATGAAGCTAAGCATTCTGAAGAATACGACACTTTCGTGAGCTCGTTTCAAAATGAATCTCTTACGTGCACTTTCGATGGTTATTTCTGAAGCACATCAACTCGTCTTCGGGCGTCGACGACAAATACATAATCACCGAGCATCCGCGCATCACATGAATCTTCTCCTTCTTGATGCCGATGCGAATGTGATCCGGTGCGTGCTCGAGGTACTCCGACGTCATCCACGACAATATCATTTTGACGATGACTTTGAAGCGCTCGCGACTTTGCATTTTCGCGTACTCCACCTCCTTGTCGTCGCTCTTCTTCGGCGGTCTCTCATTGTTTCGTCGGGCGCGGTATCGCCTCTGCATTTCCTTTTTGCGAATCACACGGTCGATCTCCTTGACGCGCTCGACGATCTGTCTCACATCACCTTGAAGCACCAATTGCATGGTTCGCTTACGCCACGGATCAGGCTGCTCATTCACAATCTGAATCGAAATAGACGAAATCAAAATAAATTAAATGTCTCCAAATCAACCTTTCGAATATGCTCAGTCATATTGGCCATTATCTGAGCCGTCTGTCCGCGTCGAATCAAATCGGGCGTTATCGTCTCATGCTGTACAGTCTGTAAAACCATCATTTTTGGCTTTAAAGCAACATTGATCCACCAAATGATACTGTTCCTATTGCTTTACTTGAGTGTTTCAAACTAATACTCTATATTCCCACATTTAGAAAAAAAGCAGAAAATAGAGCACCTGACTTACCGCCGCGAAATGCATGCGCCAATTGTCCAGTGAATACGACGCTTCCGCATGTTCCGAATAAGTTTGGTTCATCAAATGCTTCGTCTTCTTCAATGTGATACTCTTCACCGAGTCGTGTAGGCCGGTCGCCGAGATGCCGAAGCCCATTCGCATACTCATACGTGTCTGCGCCGAATAATTCGTGTAATTCCCACTGAAAAATGATTCCTAGTTGTTCGTGCAACCCTCATTTCAAAATCATACATGGTGGTCCGCTCAAGGAACTTGTTCTTCCCAATTTCCATGGCATCAAGATAATGTCTTTGAGGCGCTTCATTTTTCTAAATTATAATTATTCTGATAATTAGGTTTGTTAAAATTGGAGTCCGGCCGCGAAAACGACAAGCCTGATAATAATAATTGTTTTTTTTTTACTTTTCAAAATGTCACTTAATTATCAAATATTTTCTAGATTGAATTTCAACAAAACAAAACAAACCGATATTCGGATTTTCTCTCGCCCATAGAATGGAATGTCGGTTTTCTCGCCGAACGCGTTGAACGCCGCCGAATTAATGCTTCGCACCGTCATATTGCCGATCGGCTTCTCGTCGTCGCCGAATTCATCAAACAACGACACCTGCGGCAACTCGCCGCCTTCGCGCTTCACAATGTCCGCCAGTATCTTTTTCTGATATCCGTCTTGATACTCTTGACTACCAGTATTCGTCTGAAACGTTCATCAATCAATACACAAAACGCTGCGATTAATAAGGGGGGGGGGGCGGGGAAAATAGTTGAAATAACACGAGGGTGCAGAAGACAAAGTCGATTCAAAGAAAAAAAATTAAACTATGGTAGATCAAATTCGGTCAGTCAACAAATTCACGCCTAAACGTACACCGACAGCAATCGTCCCATTACTAATGAGCTGCTCGCGTTTCTCCTTTTTCGTCAACTTGCGCTCCTTCTGGTTCTTCTTCTTTCGGCTATTCGAGTTTGACGACGACGGTATCGACGCCGGCGGAATCGACTTGCTTCCAATTTTGATTTGGTGCTGGAAAAAAACGATTTTTTTGCGTGTAACCATCAGAATTGATTAAACTTTATAATCGTCGCGAATCACGTGAATATGGGTGCTCTCGGTGACGGGCACCGAGTTGCGATCGTTGACCACAGTTATCGGCTGCTTCGGAGCCTGAACAATGAATTGATTAGTTCATTTCTTCTTCACAACATTGAGAAAACGTTGTCTTTAATAAGAAAATGTTATTTTCCAATTTGATATATGCGCGTGAGAAAGCTCTCGACGTTCGTTCTTTGTGGGATTTCTATTTTCGGTATAGTCGACGGAGTGAATTTTTCATTTACTATTTTTTCTTGTGACAATTTCAGAATTATTTTTTTACGAATTAGATTTTTTAATTTCAGTTAAATTCTACCATAATTGAAAAAAAATAAATTATACACACACACACCTGAGAGAAGGTATTTTTCAAGCCTTTCGAATTATAATTGCAAATTATTCTTCTTCTTGTAGAAATGCCTAATATTTATAAATCATAATTCCCTGGTAAAACAAAACCAATCGAGAGAGAGACACGAAAATATTCGGATCCGTCTCGAAATTCTGCGGAAGGAGACGAAAATATTCGGATCCGTCTCGAAATTCTGCGGAAGGAGACGAAAATATTCGGATCCGTCTCGAAATTCTGCGGAAGAAGACGAAAATATTCGGATCCGTCTCGAAATTCTGCGGAAATTATTGTAAAATTGTCTTATTCGATTTGTTTGCTTTTTTGTCGATATTTTTGGATCTCATTTTTATTAGCTCGTATTGATTTTGAGATACCGGTTTTTGAACCCCCCTACAATCTAAAATAAATCGAAAAAGACAGACGCGTGAGACGAAATAGGCGTCGTGTAGGCCACGAATTGAACTCACATTTCCACACGGATCGATAACAAATTTTTTTCCATCCTTTTTACAATTGTTGGCAAGATCCTCCTCTCGCGCCATTGTCCCTTTGTTCTTCTCAACAGCCGATTCGCTTTCGGTTGAGCTTACGTTCGATGATGACGACGATGATGAAGATGATGAGCTTGTTGATGTGATCGAATCGTCAGTAAGTGAATTGCGGCGCTTCTGAAAATCTTTTCGTTTACATATGTCGGCAAAGGCTGCAATGCAAATGTTAACCATTGTGAAAACTTTATAGAAATTCATTTTGCGAGAATTTCTAATCAAGTGGCACAAGGGAACACTAGCACAAATGCTATCCTTCTAATTAATTATAATATTCCTCTGTATTTTATTGATTTTCAATTTGAAGTCCCGAATTTCACAATAGTATTTCCATCATTTGATTGTTTTCTTTAATTTGCGTTAACGTTTTTCGATGAAACAAAAATAATTGTATATTTCCTTTAATTATATCAATTTCTAGAAATTTCCGTGCATTTTTAAAGAATCCAAGTTAAAAAAAAACGTAATATTTCTCAGCAAAATTGGATTTTTTTTCAATTTTCAACAATTTTAATTATGAAAAAAAAAGCCAAAAGCATTGCAGACAAACGAATTTTGAGAAACCTCGTATTCCTCCTTTTTCGATTTTTCGTTGCTACTTCCTTCCTTCTTCGACGCGGCTTTTTTGTCTTTTGGCATAGCCTTACCCAGTTGAACCTGAAAAATCGACTCGACGTGAACCTGACTCGATTCGTTGGTGGTGTAGACGAACGCGAAATGAAGAAAACCGCATACAAAATCATTAGAAAAAACGTTGAAAAAATTGCATTGGTGCACTCGGTTTGCGCAAAAAAAACGACGGCCGCGAGAGACGACGACGAATGATGAGACGGCCATGCTGGTGTGGGAGGAAAGCGAACGCACAAAATGTGCGCCAGCAGCAAGAAAAAAAAACAACACAACACACACACACACATAAGAATGCGAACAATCTGCGCCAGTGGAAGACGGCTGACCGCGTCAGAAACAATTCGAATGTTGGACGCAAGCCAAATCGTCGCGGCTCAACACAAAAACAATAAACAAATCACACACATTCGCACTCTACACGTTTATTGATCGATTTCGTCGGCCATATTAAGAAAAAGAAGAAAAAAATGGAATATGAAGGTGATGATGAAGATGATGAAATAAAAAGAAAGAAAGAAAAAACAGCAAAAACAAAAACACAACAAGAAATTGAAAAAAAAACAAGAGCATAATGTACATCTTAATAAAGTGATAAGAGGATAGTGTACACATATACGGAGCGAATAAGGAGTATTGAGATTATCCTAAATTGTACTCATCACCATGGCAACCACTACTACTCGGCTGTTTCGACAAAATTGAGCACTACGTTAATTCAAAGTTAGCGCTGGTTATTCAATATAAATATTATTTGTTATTAATACCATTTTTCTCGGGTTGTCTTTTCTTTTTTGGTTCGGGAAAATATTAAAGAAATCAAAATACCAGAATTAAATCACAACCATAAAAGAAAACCAAATCAATAGAAAACAAAATGAAAGTAAAATTTTGGCCGCGAGGCGGAAAAATTGATTAACTAACCTATTTTAAATAATGTTTCACATTATTAAGGTAAGACCATCATTTTCGAGGTTTGCTTAGTGAGCTCAGCGAGCGTCATTGGAAATGTATTATGGCGATAAGCGGATTCGAGTGGCACCGGGTGCACCCAATGAACCGGCAGGACAACGAAGGGCGGAAAGCCTCTGGTAGGTATGAGCCTGAAAAATCACTTTTGAAAAATGTGTCATTTCAAGATTGAAACCGAATAAAATGGAATCAGACTCGTCTCTTAGCAACTAATGTTGCGTAATTTTTAATTAATTATTATAGACACAGACTTTCGACGTCGACAATAGAACAAAATAATTGGCTTATCAAACCTAACTCATATCTTCATTTGTGGACCATCGTATTTTGTGAAGCGGAAATTCAAATTTGGATATAAACAGTGGCAACTTGGGAACCGTATTACGGATAACCTGCACATCAAACCTACAGTAAATGCTCGTTTTCTTGCGAATGTAATAACTAATTATAGCCAATGAATTTAATTGAGAAATTTGTCTGAACGTCTTTTGCTAGTCTAACTGACAAAAATGTTTTATTTCCAAACCACTCAAATTTTAAATATTTGACCCTAATGTTGCGCGATCCTGAGCAAATATGTGTTAGTCGAAGTGAATTGACGTTTGAAGTGCAATAATTGGTTCGAAACTCGCTAAGTTGATCTTTGGATCCACTTACCCGGAATGAGAGAGTTGAGGTTTCATGGGAACGATGTTTGGATATATTCCAACGCTGGAAGTCTGGCTAAAGTTTGGTGCAGAAGAGCATTGAGGAATGAATCTGCTTAACGTTCTCCTGAACATGCAAGATAATTAAACGAAAAAATAGACAAAATTACTTCTTATAATTATTATCAGATATTATTATTTTTTCATCTTGTTGAGAAATGCTTGAAGTATTTGAGTAACGACTTTTTAATAACTTCATGCGTCTTTCTTCTCGCTGAAAAATTTTAAAAAATACATTACAAAGGCTGCGACACAACTCTTTTCATATTTGCTTCCTTTTTCTTTTTCATCAACAACTTGGTCTCCTCCGAATCATCAGAATATTCGCCATCAGAAGATGATTCTGACGAAACATTCGATTCGTATGCCTTTTCGATATGAAGCTTCCCTATTGGCTCCATTTTTGGAGGTAATGGGGGGTAGTGACTAGGAAGCTTCTGTAAAATTCACGAACTGATTTAAACAAGATTCTTATTATTTACCAATCCAAGCTGCAGAAGAACAGCGCCGGCTAAAGCATATGTCAAATCCACGTACTCGTGAGGAGCCAGCGTTTTAATCATCTCGAGGAATACATGAGGAGGTGGTAGAGGATTAAAATCAGTCGGATGAAATCGATTCTTCAATTCCTTCTCATAATGTTCGTTTAATAATTGATCCTATATATGAATTTGATCCACTGTGATTATTTATTGCAATCTTACGAGGTCATCAATATTTGCACGCTTGATTTCTTCAAAAGAATTCGTACTGGAAGATTTACTTGCAGCTATTAATACAGAAGGAAGTGGGGGTGGCGGAAATGGCGGAAAAGCGCCTCGTCTAAAATTGTGCACTTATTTACGTTTGCATTATTTTAACCTACTCTTTGTTAATATATTCTTCCCGCATTGCCAATAATTTATTGTACCATATTTTATGTGGCTCTGATTCGTTTGGCGTCACCACGGGAATAAAATCTGAGCAACTCGCCGAATCGAGAGGCCGTATCTTGGCCGCAATAGAAAGGCAGGAATCGAAATCACTTCTGTTAAACCTGAAGGTCTAGATTGTGCTTCACATGATTGTCTCACCGATATTTTAGCTTGGAATCTTCAGGTGAATTGGATTGAGTAGAATATCCTGATGTTAATCCTTCAGAACTAAAATATGAAGTTATTTCTTTAAAAATCAAATTAAAACCAACGTTGATTTTTTGTTAATGTTAACCGGAAGCGTTTGTACCATTATTCATAAATTCTGAAAATATGAAATTGAAATTATTAAAAAAAAACAATCATTTTGTGCGAAGAAGGATGAAAAATGAGGCGAAACTATTTGTTTTAAAGGCACACATGCCTATAAATCGAAGATATCACGCAACGATCACGCGGGAATTTAAATCGGCGTTACTGTATATTTATCAAAAACACGCCTAAAGAGACGAATTTCCCTGAAAAATATTTCGACACGTTTTTAAAAAATACTTAACATAAATCATGAAATCGTGTATCGGTGTAAATAAATATTTTATAAACAAACAACCAAGTTCATATTGGGTAATGGCAAATAGCAATTGAACATATAATCGTTTGGTCTACCGTATTATATAAGCGATTCATCTAAAACGTAGGATTCATTGTTGACGTAATGGTGGTTCGGACAACCAGCAAAAATGATCTAGCAAGAAGAGGTTCGTTTTTAATTTTGTAAAATTGAAACATTTTCAATTTCAGAGCATCTTCCTGAGCACAAACCTCAATTCAGTATACCAAGTCCTTCAGAGTCTCCCAAGCATTTCGACTTCGAACCACATGTTGTGGAAACCAATCTTCACGACCCGAAGCCGCAATGGATCGTTAACTCAAAAGCATTGTAATCTAAGCGAAATGTTAATATTTATAAAATATTGATTAAGGCATTTCCTTTACAAGCTTTTGTCAAGCATGTACGTGTGCGTGCTAACAATTGTCGCATGCCTGATTTCTCTATCGTCACCATGGAGCTCATCGTCATTATGGCTGGCGGAAACGGTATTTTTTGCAGAAATTCTCCCATAAAACTCCTCGAATTCCAGATTTTCTCCATGCTCATGTATGGTATTGCCATCGTGTTCTTCATTTATGTCTATTTATTTGTGATCTACCCAAAGCCTGTGAACACATTCATCCTTTTTCTTAATAAAAAGACGAAATGGATGCCGAGGCCGGAAAGATTTTTGATCGAAGAGCCGGTTCATAATGGAGAAGGAGCTGGAACATTCTATTTAAGGCTTGGAGCTCTTTGTGAGTTTATTTTTTCGATGATGGCCAATTCGAATTCAATTTCAGTTTTTGGAACTATTGGAAGCGTTCTTCTCGGCTGCGAAATTTATCTCAGCTTCACCGAGCATTCCTATCATCATTTTACAGTTGCCAAATATATTATGTGGATTATTTTCACATACGTTCAAATGCATTTCCTCTTCACAAACTCAAAGGCAATTTTATTTTGATTTGTTTTTTCAATTAGTAGCAAAAAGCAAATTTCAGATAACCTTCAAAAAGGACAATCGGTTGGCCACGTTTGGTCTAATGCACTGCGTTGCCGTCAACCTCTGGACATGGTTCTCGTTGTGCCTCGTGAAAGCCGTAAGCAGAAGCTCATCTTAAATCCGCTTAGCCAATGTTGATTTTTTTTTGTTAGCAAGTGAAAAAGGCCAAAAAGAAGAAGAAGGAGTTGGCGGCCGCCACCACCCAATCATCATCATCGTCTTCGGAAGAATCCGACGCAACCGCTGCCGATCTCGTCATTGAAGCTGTCACAGTGATTGCGAATGAGACCAAGCTTGAAGACTTGTACTACCGTATGCTCGGAATGGGGAAACTCGGCGATGTGTCCAATTTCCTACTAACCTGTTTAGTCGAGTAAGTCGCACTACAGTAGCCCCCATTGTTTGTCTTCATACAGTAACAATTTGCGATGCCCCTTGATTTTAGGTATTCGCTGATCGGCGCCGCCGTTTGCTTCATCATCTGGAAGTACATGGGCCATTCTCACGATGGCGGACATTCAGAGAATGGAGAAGGCAAAAAGAAGAAGAGGGTCCGATTGGAATGCAAGTAAGGCGGAGAGTCGAGAATTGAAAATCTGTAGATTGCTTCTAGGAGTGTCACCCTTGGAATGTTCATGGGTATCATATTAATGATCGGAACATTTGTGACAATTGGAATCTACATGATGCTCTATGGACAAGGGAAAATCTATCAAGCCAGTCTGGTCATTGGAATCACCAATCTCATTCTATTCATTATGGCATTGCTTGCGTGCTTCTTCGGATTATGGAGGTAATCTATATGATCCAAAATAACTGACAAGCTTGAGTATTCAAATTCGCGCGCTTTGGTGGCCGAGAATCGGCCGCGTTGCGTATGCGTCGCGGTCGGCGTCAGTTTGAAATATTCAAATTGAAACTCTTCCAGAATGCGAGTCCTCCAATATCGATTGCATGCTCATGGCGAGGTGATCGACGAGATTCTTCTAATAATCGGCCTTGTCGCTGAAATTCTATACTGCTCAGTTGGTAATATCACAGCTTCCGAGCTGACCATCAAGCAATCAAATTCTAGGATTCGATTTGGCTGTCGATGCCCAGAAAAAGGGACTTGGCTATGAGAATCTCTCAATCGCTGTCTTCCTATTCCGAATTATTCAAGTGATTGTGCAATCGACATTCATTCTAATCGCCTCGAGGTGTGTGCTATTTTCAATTTGATCAAAATTGTGCTCCTATTAATTTTTTTTCTCATTTATTCAGGCTTCGATGCTTCTCGCCGGAAAATGCTCGAAAACAGCCGGGAAAACAAACAATCACATTTCTGCTCACCATCAATATTACATTGTTTGTGTATCACACATTCGAGGGAATGAAAGCCTATTATGGATTTCCGGATGCCATGGAGAACAAATATTTCGAGTTGATGAATGCGTGCTCGCCATTAATAGTATTCTATAGGTGAAATTGGTGTCGAAACATTTTCGCAAATTTGATATTCAGATTCCATAGTTCGGCATGTTTTGCCGAAATTTGGAAACACGCGTTCACCACGAAGCACAATCATCATCATGATGCTCATAGTGCTCCAAATAGCCCATCTACTCATGCACATTCCGCCTAATGAGTACTATTAGTAATTTTCGGGTAATTAACATTTAATTTCATGTTTGAATAAAGAGTGTCGTAAAGATAATGAAGGTGTTGGTTTCTGAAGGTTTTCAGAATCAACCGTCGTGTTCAATTCTAAAAATTACATGCGCCTTTAAATTGTTTTCAAAATTCTAAAATATCCTAACATTTCAAGATTTTTGTTTTGATTTTTTTTTAAATTTAAAAGCTCAAAAATATTTGGCAACATTTTCTGTCACATTTTTATAGCGAAATTAAAATTCGATGAAAAACAAATGATTCTTGAGGTGACTGACTCTAATAGCCACTGAAATTGAGCTTTTCATACATTTCTAATATTTATTTCAATTATTGAGGGGCATTTTTCCACCATAATGTCATTTTTTACGGAGCATCATATTTCAAATTCAAATTTTGCATAATTAACTAATATGGAATTAATTATAATTGCTTAGAAATTTTTAAAACCAAACAAAAAATTATTTTAATCTACGACAGGAGGTTCTAGTCGGGAAATTTCTCGATAAAATTAAATTGAAGGTTTATTTAAATATTTGTCTATTTGTAAAGCGAATGTGCAAAAAAAGGAAGGACGACAAACAAATTAGTTCAAAAATCATACAACTATTCCATTGGGTGCTGTTTTGTCGTAGATTAGTATCGATGGAAAGTGTTTCAAATTTAATTATTTTTCATATAATATCTAAAAGAAATTGGCGAATATTATAAAAAAAAACATTTACATTACAAATAAAAAAATTCGAAAATGTCGTACGTGAACTATACCATGGCCGAATAATTCGCGGCCGCGGCCAAAAAATGAAAGCCTAATCGTTGGCAAGTAAAAGGCCCAGTTTGAAGCAGTCTTCAAATAAATAATCATTTTGGGGATAAATGGAGAGCGCACGCGAACCGCAACGCGTCTGCCGACATTGAATTATTACTGTATCCGCTTTTTTTTGCATTTTGAAACCGGCTATAAATTAGCTCATTTTTAATGACATTTTTTGAGCCAAATCCATATGTATATCGTAAAAGAAATGAGTCTCAGGTCCTTTAAAAAAATAATTGTAAATTTCATCATGTCAAGATTGCCTTTCTTTGCTGGTATGTGTGTTTACCAACCCCGACGCGAAATTAAAATTCTGAAGGGTCACATGCGGCCTGAAACGTCAGCATTCGGCGAAGCTCGTCGACAATGTTCATTGACATATTCGATCAATTCTATATCTCATTTGCCGCCGTTTCATCAACAATCGGCGTCGCTTCCAACATATTCCTCCTTTATTTGGTCTTCTTCAAAAGTCCACCATTTTTAACACCGTATACGGTATTTCTGGCGAACACTTCAATCTCTCAGCTAGCTTACTCAATATGCTTCATTTTGACAATTCCACGAGTGATCTCAATCAATTTCCGAATCGTCAATATTTATTTGGGCGTCTCGCAATTTTTCGGCCATTGGTGGAGCTACATGATCTTCGTCACAATGCGTAAGTTCGTCATTCGTTTCGATGATATCCATCTGCGGACAATTCTAGTGCATTGCGCTGTCAATTCATTCATCTCAATCATGCTCTCAATGGTCTTCCGGTGCATCTCGCTGAAAACCTTGAGGTTCCCAACGTCCGCCGCATTGCTGATGTGCCTGATCGCCTATATCATTCCACTCTCAATGATTGTAAATCTCAAATCCAAGAAAATTTTGAAATCCTGTTAAGGTTTCGATAAGAAATATTGACTACACCTCGAATTTCACAATAAACAATGAATATACTCATTGGAAGGTGGACAACTTGGAGAAGTACCAAACTGTAGTTGGAACTGACCTGGATCAAGTTCGTATTCATCCATATTTCTATTGAAGACAATTTTTGAACAATTCAGAAGTCAACTATATGGATTATGATATGCGTGAGCCTTCTGTGCATTCCGATTTATAGCGTCATGTATTACTGTCGAAAGCGGATTCTTCTGATGCTTGAAAAACCGTCATACGTCTTCAATACGTCGACGACCATTCAGATTCGAAAACTTGTCAAGGTTTGATGATTTCCGACGAACGAAACACTTCAACGATTCGATTTTCAGGCGTTGACAGTTCAAGCCAGCATTCCGGCGATTTCTCTGTTTCCAGCCTCGTTGATTTTTCTATCGAATCATTTTTACGTTCTCGAGACCGAATGCTTCGGCTATATCATAATCTCATTTTTAAGCTTAAGTGAGTTCTAATTAAACAATTTTACATAACCAATTTTCTCGTGGGTGGCTCGAAATGCAAATTCAATTTGTTCAATGCCCAAAACACAATTATTGAATCAAACTAGGCAAATAGCACGTATTCATATACTTTTGGCTACTTGGTTAAATGGTGGTTTGAATATGAATTTATGACGAAATGGTCTTATAGCGATCGACTAAAACCTTCTAGAGTATGGAATTTCTTCAATCTGATCGATGCAAAAGAAATGCACCTCATTTTTGTGAATTGAAATTTTAATAAAAAGTATAATAATCTATTTTAAAGAAGATTTTAGAAAGAGCATTAAGTATGTTTTCAATTTATTTATAAAATTTAATATAAAAGTAAGGATTTGCTGGAAATAATAAAAAGAAAAAATTATTTCTTGTGGAATACTCTCTATTGCCAATTTTTCCAAAAATTATCAGCGCCAATTCTTAAATTGATTTTGAATTAGCGTTTTCGTCATAAGACCCTTATTTTAAAACCAATCATTTTAAGGCCCAATGATTGATCCGTTCGTCACTATTTATTACGTGCAACCCTATCGAAAATTCGTCACGGACCTTTTATGGATCGACGAGCATCCTTCATCATCATCACCAGCCAATGATAGATCGTATCGATCTCGTTCCAACAGCATCTACATGATGAGAAACGCGGCTTTCGTCTAATCCCCCCCCTCTCTCTGGATGGGACTCGCACCAAATAATTCAAAAGGTCCGCCTCGGCATCGTGCAATTTTCCTGAAAATTTGTCTCAATTTAATAAATGGCATCATCCAATTTTTCTGTTTACTTGTTTGTTTTGCTATCTCGATATTTTGGGTTCTACGAAAAACAAAGTTTTAAATTAAACATAAAACGGAAATCGAGAGAAATCCGCGTGACAATATTTGATTTTCATCAGATGACGATATTCTTTCTTTTTTTTGCAGAAAAATATAGAGAATCCCGACTGATTGCTCGCCTCACCTCCTAATTGCCCAATTCAAGTTCCGCGTTGCCAAGTTCGCCAAAGTTTGGTGTTTTTCATGGCGTCGCGATTTATTATTGTTATCTCTCTTGTCGCCTCAAAATTATTGCCGACAAATCATTTTCCCCAATTTTCAGGTGGCCCACTTAACCTTCTTTCACAATATATGACAACAGTGTTGACCAAAATTGGCAAAATTACACCAAAATCGAGGTCTCGCTTGACGCGATGTGCCTCTTTAACCTACCGTAAATCGACATATTTAATTTCGTGTCAGGACCTCTTATAGTTTTTTTTCGACATTTTCATTATTAACGAGTAGTGTGTGCCATTGGGCATCGCTCGAATTCGCTTAAGCTTATTTTCATAGTCATTTTTAAAGATGGATTCTATAATCAGAAATGGATCCACTTGATTTCTTTTTGAGACTGATATAGGAAATTTTTGCAATTTCCGTCAGAACGAAAAAATGTCCATGCAGCATTGCGCAATTTTTTTTCGACCATCAAATTGCGAGCGATGATATTCAAAACCAACCATTCCAAACATGCGCTCTCAAATTCCCCCCCGTATTTTTTGGAAAACTAAATTCTAGTTGATGTCCTGATGTGTTTCGATTCCCTTTTCATTAGTATCTCGAATTTTCTGCAAATCAGCCGCTTTTCCAATTTCCATTAGTTTCGTCTACATTCGCATACTTAATTATCCTTAATAGCTAGTTAATTATACGAAAAATTTTTATTTTTTAATGAGAGCTAGAAGACAAGCTCACAGCTAACAGATTCGTTAGACTTATTTCCTGCAAAAGTCCACAAAATTTAATTACTTTCGTTTAATCTCATTATTCCTGCGCTATTGACACCCACGAGATTATAAATATATTCGGCACAGGAAATTCGCGGAATGAGCTTTTTGGAAATTCTGACCTCCATTTGTTCGCCATTTGTTTATGGTGAGTGCATTTTCATTAAAAACGCCAATGCGATTCTCGATTTCAGGCACATTCATGACCACTGAAGATCGATTCTTCGTGATTATTCTCACTATTCTCGTCGTGCTAGGCTTCATATTGAACCTTTTGCTTCTCTACTTGATTCTCTACAAAAGCCCACCGACATTGTCACCATATCGAATATTCCTGGCGAACACCACAATTACCCAATTGCTCTTCGCGTTTGGTGCTCTAATATCACAGCCGAGGTACGAATTTCAATTCATTTTTTTTAATTGAAGCTTGAAAGAATCGCAGAATTCTAACATCTCATGAGTACACGGTTGTCATTTATTTGGGTCCCATTCAGTTTTACGGCGAATGGCTATCATACATGTCTTACATTTTTATTTGTGAGTTTTCTATTTTTACCTATACATAGAATAGAGAACTACTAATTTGTATAATAAAATTTGCAAAGGTGATTTGAATCTAGGAAAATTTCAACGGGTATCGTTTTCGATAATAAAAAAACGAATTGTCATCGTACAAAATACTGAGCTCAAAAAATGCGCCTACCGTAATTATTCTATGTCGTCAGACGCGTTGCGGTTTACTTTTTCAAAATTCTCAAATTTCAAATTTAAACTAAAAGTTTTTGCAGCGAAAAAATCTGGTAGCCGCTTTTTATTTGGAAGTTATTTGTATTATTTTTTTGCTCTCAGTTTTTTCATGACAAAGCCTTCGAAAAATCAACAAATCAAAATTACGAACATCGAATTTTCGAAAATCTTTTCAGTGCACTTATCTCTGAATTCATTCATCAGTCTGATGCTCTCAATGGTTTATCGATTCAATTCTGTGAAATTGCGACGATTAGGTGTAAAACCATCTCTGATAATATGCATCATTGGCTACATCTATTGTTTCATTCTAATGGTAACACTGAAAATTAATAAAAGTATTATTTGTTATTTAGGTGAGTTGTACCCAAATCGAAGTGTCTCGAGATGAAACCATAAATGAGCCAATTGTTGGGAATATTGTGCCAGATTATCGCCAATATAATATGGTCCTCTCCACAGATATTCATCAAGTTGGTTCATTATTATTGCATTCTCAATAGCTTCCCATTTCAGCTGCCTTTGATGGTTCTTATAACAATGGTCACAATCGGCTTGTTGCCAATTTATTTCGTCATGTGTTGGTGTCGATTCAAAATATATCAAATTCTCAAAAAGGCCACGACTATACATAATTCAACAACCAGGAATAATGTGAAGCGGCTTGTGAATGTGAGAATTGCCGTTTCAATCGAAAACAAACGCAAAGATTCATTTCAGGCTTTAACTATTCAATCAATAATTCCGGTGATTTCCGTATTTCCCGCCTCACTGCTCTATGTTCTATCTCAAATGAATACAATTCAGTCAGGGTTATACGGATATTTTATAGTGCCTAGTTTAACGATATGTAAGATTGAATACATATTTGAAAATAGTACTTCTATTTTAGCGACAATCGTCGATCCACTTGTCACTATTATCAGTGTAATTCCATATAGACGATGTGTTCTCCAATTATGCCATTTGAAATATAGCGAAGTGACAGTATCGAACTTGGAGAAATCGCGAAGCTACGGTGCTGCTGGAAATAAGTTATTCTTCATTTCGTATCAATGAGACGAGCCTAATTTATGCAGTTTTTGCTCGAACAGCCGATGCACTTGCCGGCAGCGAGAGGCACTTTGAAATCACGGAGGGACGAAAAATCTACTGGAATTTAAAATATTATACTTCGTGTAAATAAACTGTAAATATTGCTTTAAAAATATTTAAAAAAGGTGAATTTATGCAATTATCGAAAATTAAAAAAAAACTCACTAGTCGTAATATAAAGTGTTTCTTGTGTACGTAAAGCGCGACGACATTTCACACATTTTTTAGAACTAATAACAATTTGCAGAATGTCGAATTTTGACGGAAAACGAATTTTGAATTTTACGGGAATTTGCTACCGCAAACTACTGCTTCTAACCATACAAAATATGTAGAAAAAAATATGCTAGAAATAGAAAGCGGATTCCTGAACTATTATTTTTAGAAATTGAACCCAGGCATTTTTTGGAAGTATACGATTTTTTTAATCTTATAATGGTCTTCGATTTTAATTTTAATTCAAATTGTGTTTTGCGAACACACACAGTTCAATTGAAATCATTCTTTTTTGTTCGAAGAATCGAAAATTAAATTTTCCCAGCGCATCCAACCATTCATTTTAATCAATTTCCATTTATTATATATTTCTCAAAAATTTACTGATAAATTGCAATCACAGAATTTAAAGGGTGAGACTTTTCGATTACCCATTCATTCCCACGTTTTAAATCGAAATTTAAATTACCGCCCTGCAAAATACGATGGTCCACAAATGTTCAAGGTGCTCGTTTTTTTGCAATAAAAATACTAACATAAAAAAGAAATTGGTTGTAAACTTTTGATATTCTTGAATTATCGAATTATTAAAAATCAAATTGTCCTTAATGGATGCAATGTAACACATTTTTTTAATTCGCAGAATTTCCATGCCTTTATGATAGATTTCATTTTCTTAAATGCTAAAAGTAGTAAAGTTCCTTATAGTTCCTTATAAGTTCCTTACATGCACATGAAAATCTTTAATTTTTAATTCAAGCACATTAATCATAATGATGAAATGGTTGAATGAAGTGTCGTGTTGAATTCTCACCGACAAAGTGAATTCTGCTCGTTCTTCGGTTCATGATTCAAATAAGAGATGTGATTTCTTATCGTGTGAATTCAGGTCACTGAATAATTCATTTCTTTTATTATTTTGAGGGTTATTATTCATATTATTAGTATCTGTAGGTTGATTTCATCTAAATTTTATATGAGATAATAGTCGACCGATACTCCCGGGGGGAAAAGTAAAATGAGGATTTAAATTGGCGACCTTTAAGCAGTTCGACTCGCTCAGAGCAGCAACTCGAAGAATGGAAAAGGTAACGGTGGTCGAATGAGGCATTTCTGTTGAAAGCCATGAAAATAAATTTTTTGATCCCTTATCCTTTGAGACATACCTTCGATTGAGCCCCTAAGAGACATTGACCCCATAATTTGATGACCCCCAAGAGTACACCTATTTGCCCCCCGGAAGCAGGCCGAATGCTGTTAATGTACGTGCACGCGCCTTCTCTATGGTCTCGCGGTGATTTTACATTTTAGAGGTCCATCCGTCAGGTTTTCATTTCAGTAAGATATTAAGAATTCAATTAAAAGGTCATCAAGAAAAATTTAAAAATAATCCGTCACGTGTGGCGAGACCATTTCGAAAGGCGCATTCGTAAATCTACCCGAATATAGTAGTCGCCGAAAATTTGCTTCATATTTTTTAAAACTTGACTTGTCGATATGAGACCCATCAACGTAGTGTGCTTCGAGACAAATTTTTTTTTACAAAATAGGTTTACTTCCAGGAATGGATATTTTACGACGACTTGCATTTATCTGCTCGCCGTTTGTAGGAGGTATTTTTTTTTTGGAAACCAAACATATTGAAAGCGGTTTGATTTGTTTCTCATTTCAAAATTTGCATAAAAGTGCAAATTCTTTTTGCAATTAATCGCTGAAAAATTATTTAATCAGATTCTCATTAACTTCTGCGTCATTTTGTAGACGTGAGCAATGATAGATGAAATTTTTAGTTTTTGATTTACAAGGTTGAGAAATACCAGTTTTTGAGATTTTATTTAGATCATCCTATAACATCACAACATCCCATTTCATTTTTTTTATCAAGATGCACTATTGATGTATAATGAATGCAGGTGTCGTGGAATTTTGGAATCTACTGTAATCAGTGCCGAGATTTTTTTAACGGTACTATGCTATATATTGAAAAAAAAACTTTAAAAAAATTGCAAGTAAACTCTAAAAACCTCGCCTGCGGCCAGGGTTTTCGAAGCCTACAGCTCCGCAATTTTTAAATCTTTTTCTTTCCTTATATGCGCCTTTAATCGTAATAGAAAAACTTTGAATAAAAAAATAATTATTACTATTCATGATTCTTTCAGTGATTTAATATTTTCAAAAACTGTGTAGGCTTCGAAAAGGAGGAGCAAGTGAGATTGCAGACTTGCATTAAACTTCTCAATATTCCTAAATCTCTAATGTTCGCTACAAATAGCTGAAAGGGCCCTGAAGAGGGCCTTTTGGAATTCGTGTGCCGATTAGCCTGACTCGACCCCCAAAGAATGAGGACCGAGTCAGTTGATCTCCTTCGCCACGTAGAGGCTCTACACTTGAAGGAGAGGCTCACCAGCATCAGGCCGAAACCTGATGTGGGTCATCGCCGATCCCACCATGGGGATCACCCAAGGACATCCCACAACTATCATCCGAGGATAATAGAAGTAGAAGTGGTTGGGCAAGCCACGTCTGGCTGGGCCCCGGGTCTACTGGTGATATGGTAATGTGGTTTTTGTGTTCTCAACATAGCAACTTACTACTTAGTAGTAGCAAGCCACTACAATGTAGCAAGTTACTATGCCAAGAAGCACGGTCCATGTGCACCCGAAAGGCTGGACATATTGACATAGCTGGCCAATCCACGTCAATATAGGTCTGGGCCAGATGACATCCTGACTAGTATGGAGGACACCCGGTGAAGCAAAGTTCTAAAGCATAACCATCCATAACGCCCACCAAGCACTCGAGAGTGCTTGAAACGGGGGCGTTTGGGTAGGGTTCGATTCCCGGCTACGGAATCAGGGCTGAAGAGCTTGCCAGGCCAATCACCCGATTTTAGGATTCAGCGGTTAAGACGCCATCCAGCCAACGCCTCGGCACTACGGGGGATGAGGAAGCCTTGGCGTTTGGGGGAATGGCTAATGCTTAAAGGTGGGGGGGGGGGGGGGAAGGAATTTAGTAGTGGTGGTGAATCGATTCACCGGTAGGGTCATTAAGTGTTATTTGTTTTTAAGATTTTTCCTTAACTGTTCGGTGAACTGCGTACCAAAACACAAGATCCGACGACAAGTCTTCGCAACATATTAAAAATAGTTTTTGAGATATCATTATTCATTTTGAAATTGTCTGGAAAAATTCAATCTTTAGATTTTGAACTTTTTTTTGAGAAAGCCAGACAAAACCAATCCTTTGACAATCTAGGTTGGTTGTTCAATTTCAAGTCGCTTCCGAGTTCGTGGGAAAAAGTAAATCGAAACGCCCATTTTTCTCATTTGCTAAAATCTAGTCAAGCCTTATTCAGACAGCTACATGAATACCGGCGATTGCATTTTTGTGATTGTTCTAACAATTCTTGTTATCATTGGCATATCGCTCAATCTCGCGCTTCTCTACATGATCGTCTTCAAGAGTCCACCGACGTTGACACCATATCGAATATTTCTGGCGAACACCACAATTTCGCAACTTCTCCTCTCAATAACCTCGTTCATCGGACAACCAAGGGTGCTGGCGACTCCAACCCACACAATTGTCATTTATTTGGGTCCCGTCCAATACCTCGGTGAATGGCTTTCCTATATGGTATATTTAAGCTCGCGTAAGTTTGTTGAAAACCTACTATACAGATTTGGGGAGAAAAACTTCTAAAAAACCCTATGCAGATTCTGGAGCACAACGCAAAAATCACGGGTTATCTACAGTACTCCATTTTTTTTCATAAATTGAAATCACAATAGAAAAAAATAGCAGCTGTAATGGATTTGGTTACGATTAAAGGCGCATATACAAAATTTTTATGATTCTTGCAGCGATTTAAACCTAGACGAGTTCGTGGTTTTCTTCGTTTTTTCCCGCATAGCATTTTTTTTATGGTTTTTATTTTCCAAATCTGCATAGTATTATACATATGCATTAGCAGTGAACCTCAATTTCCAGTGCACTTTTCATTAAACTCATTCATAAGCCTCATGCTCTCCATGATCTATCGCTATAATTCTGTGAAGCATCGCAAGTTCAGCTCTCCTCAATGCTATTGCATATGTTTAGCAGGATATTCATATTGCTTAATTTTATTGGTATTCTGTAGAATCGCTTAACCGAATATGAATTATTGTTTCATTTAGTTGAGTTGTGCCCAAATCGAAGTGTCACGAGATGAAATCATAAATGAGCCAATTGTTGGGAATATTGTGCCCGATTATCGCCAATATAATATGGTCCTTTCCACCGACATTCATCAGGCATCAATTTTTTTTGGTAACAAATTATGAAAATTAATATTTCAGATCAACTTGCTGATTTTCATTTCGCTAATTACCATTGGTCTTATTCCCATTTACGTAGTTATGTATTGGTGTCGATTTCGGATTAATAAGATTCTCATGATTTCGACGAATATCTACAATTCTACAACGAAGGCGAATGCGCAGAGACTTGTCACTGTAATAAATCAGAATGCGAGTGCAAATGATTGCTCCAATTCAGGCTCTAACAATTCAATCAATATTTCCAATCGCCTCGGTATTTCCTTCGGTATTCTTGTATGGTTTATCACAGGCAAAAATAATTGAAACTGGATTATACAGCTACTTTATTGTTCCTTGCATCACAATATGTATATTTTCTACTCTGAATTAATTATGTATTACCACATTTAGGCACTATTGTTGATCCTGTGGTCACTGCAATATGCGTGATTCCTTATAGAAGATTCATTCTCAAAATCTGCTGATCAAAATCCGAAGAAATGACACTTTCAAATATGGAAAAGTCGAAAAGTTTTAAGCCAATTGGAGCGAAATTATTTATTCCATCGGATCATTGAATACTTTCCTAAATACTGATAGAAATGAAAAAATGATGTTCTGAAACCCGCTTGCATATTGTTGGGAGCTTTTTGATTTAATATCCTGCTAGTTTCACATTTTGCGATCTTGATTTGAGAGACGTTACGACGGAGTTTTGAATGAAGAGGGTTGGCGGAATACGAGACGAGTCGAAGTTGCGATGAGTGAACTCACGGAGCACGTGGACCAATGATGTTATATCATTTCCGCTGCTGATCAATGATACCTACAAAAAACATGTATTTTCATTGTTTTCTATCAATTTCTCATTGATATTTCGATTTTCTCACCTCAAAAAATGAGAAATAATGAAAATTTCCACTGAACCCCTAATTTGGGACCATTTCTATTATTCTCCACAAGTTTCATTGTTTTGGATATAATAATTAATGAAGCGTAGCTATTTGAGACTGGGTCTCGCAGCGACTTGTAATTCTTCAAAAAACGCGATAGTTGATTTATCCCGTTTTGTCTGTTAACACGCAGACCCAATTTTGCACACATTTCGTCTCGAATTGAGTTTTCAATTTTTTCCCAGTTTTTTTCGTTTCTTTTTTGCCGGTCCAAATTATTTTTGACCCATCTTAATCAAATATTGAAGGATTTCTATATGCAATTCGCTTAAAAACGAGCAAGTGTGGATTATAAAATGATTTCGAATAACGATTTCTTTTTTGGAATCGCATAATTTCCAATTTCTGAAAAAATTTCACAAAAAATCATTTAAAAACACACAATCTAAACAGAAAAAACCAAATTTTTTAAAACAATTCTTACGCATTTTAAAAAATCGAACCCGTCAGCGACCGCGACGCATCCGCAACGCCGCCTAAGCGCGCGAATTTGAATACGCTTCGAATCGAAAAGTCTGATTTTTCCTTTATTTTTATTTGGAATCGATTCTCTTTTCTCCACTCGTTTATTTGAAAAAAATTTTTAAAAAAATATCTTTGGGCCACAAAACGAATTTGAGCTATCGACATTTTGGGACCATTGTGTTCAGCATGTAAAATTTTTTATCTGTACCAATTTTTATATGAAAATAATTTTTTGCGGTTATTTTTCTGAGTGAAGCCACCCTTGTTAATATATTACAATATTTGACGTTGGTTGGTTTCGAAAAAAATATATATTCATAATTTGTCATCTCACTCTATTCTAAAAAAAAAGATACCGTCCGATTCCTCATCACAATAATTGGGAAAAGCGCCGCCGTTGGCACTTTTCCAGGTTGCAACGAATTCGGCTGATTCTCATTCGCCAAATCGAAATATCGCAATCGATTATTCCAGAAGAATCCCATCGACGACATCTGACCGTTTCCAAACGAGCTTCCAATCGACAGCGTCATGCTCACTTTCATATTATGCTCATCGACGACGAATATGCTAGTGGAGCCGCTCTCAGCGAAATCTACCTGACATCGAGCAAAATTTGACATTATTTCAGATTCAGTTATTCACCTTCACTTCTTTGAAATCAGCTTCATCTCCTAGCTTCAGCTTTTTCATTAAGCTCTCGGCAAACCCCTTAGATGGTTTATGAAATACGGGATCGGCGAGATTTTTGGCAAATCGCATGTTTGATTTGATAATTTCCTCAATTTTGCGAAGGCTGACCATATCTGAACCCAAATTATTTTTTTCGAGTTTAATAGTGTCATACTTTTTGTGGTTAGATAGTCATGGACAAGCAATGGAAAGAGTGAAGGTGGTCCCGGACCACAAAGTCTTGTTCCGATGTCAACGGTTGTACACAGCGCTTCATTGACGTCGCACTCATAATCTTCCATGTCACTGAGACTGAGGTAACCGTCTTGACGAATACAATTGATTCATTAAGAACCCCGATAATTACCTTCAATATCATTGACCAATTTTCTCGCGAGCTCGCCTCTATAGAATCCATCTAATGGATTATCATATTCTGAGAGTTCCGATAATGTCGACGCCAATGAGTTGCATTGAAATCGATCGCTTTCCGACAACGGTGTGTTCGAGTCAGGCTTCATAAGCATTTGCCTAAATCATAGATTTCAGTTAGCGGCACCGAAAATGCCCCCCGATCACCTCGATGTTTCCGAACTATTGATCAACGTCACATATTTTTGAAGCTGCGATCCGAGCTCCTTGTTAACGTCGACACCTTTGGCGCAGAGTTGAATCGTTGGAATCATCAAATGCTTCCACATTATTGTGCCCGATTGGAATTTCTCGAAGGCTCGCCATAAGCCGTTGACAGCTCCCGGGACTCCGATCGCTTTGGCACCTAGAAGAATCGAAATTTGAAAGGAAGAACGAGTGTCGAAACCAGTTTGTGACAATTTCGGCTTCTTCCTTAATTGTTCGATGCTCACCGCCATTGGTGCACTTTCTCTGAAATTTTTAGGGGGGTCATTCCGAATGAAAGGACTTCGAGAAACCTTGCATTAATACTGATCACACTTCCATTCGGATTGCTCACCACCATCATCATCCCACCAGCTAATGACGCCCGATCAGGAAGCGTCGCCATCAAGCAGAAGCTTGTGCAAATTGCAGCCTCGACGGCGTTCCCACCGCGAACGAGAACGCTTCTATTAAAAAAAATTGAAAAAACATTTTTTTTGAGTTGAGCCAATTTTCCAATCATTCACTTTTTGTAGCGAAAAAATTAATTTTTAAAATTTGCCCAAATGAAATCAAGAATGTCTAGTGTTTTAATATTTTTTGAAATTTGAATTTTGTGTACCTTATATCATAGCACAGAAAAAAAGGTTACAACAAATTTATAAAGTAAATATGTATACATATTAGTGATGTTTGTATTTCGCGAGAAAAAACCTTCGTTCAAATTGTTAAATATACAAAAGATCGAGTTTCGACAGAAAAAATTGAGAAACTGACCTCCCGAATTCCGAGCACACCGCACTTTCGCTGGTAACAGCCGTCCTTAAATTCTCCGACTCAAAATGCTCATATTCAGAGCTGTGCTCGCTTTCAATTGAATTCACAATAACCGGGCTACTCTGTTTTCGAATTGGCTCAATTTTTTCTAAAAAAAATTTTGAGAAATCACAATTTCAACTTTTTTTTCTGAGCATACTTGGATCCTCTTCGAATATATCCTCCGAAAAATCGATATCAATTGATTGCGGCTGAACAGTAGATGACTTGAATCGACGGCGAAAAGCTATTGAAGAGCTTTGAGGATGGGTTTGAAGCTCGAAATTCTCATAAGTCTTTGTTGATGAGTCCTCAGGCATTGCCATCTAGACAATAAATTTCAAGGAAAAAATAGTGAACAATGAAAACCTCAGAAGTTGGTTTGGTTATTAAATAGGCGAAAATTGAGATGAGCATTGCGATAATTACAATGAATTGGATTAAAATTATGATCCATGGTAGATCCAATCTTCTGAAATTGTTTTGTTATAATTTTTCAGAATCCCGATTCCGTCTTGCATTTTTCTTGTTGTGACAAACGAAGTTGGCTGAAGATCAGCGCGATTGTACACATCGCTGTTCGACATTTCGATGGTTTCACGCTGCGAATAGCATCGATGACCTGACCGAATAAGGAGACATTTGAAATCATCGAGGAGACGACGAGAAATGATTGAAAAAAAAAACTCACATTTACACGGAATTCTTGTCGAATAGCCAATTGACGCTAATCTGGAATAATTGGGCTCCTCATCGGAAATGTAATAGAACATGACGGCACGCGAGAGCAATTTTGGACGCGAGAATACAGAACGATATTGGAGGGGTGTTTGTGAATCGGATAAGGGTCAAAAAACAGTGTGAGGTTTGAAACAATGCCACAAGCGGGCCGGTGAATTGAATTGAATGGAATGAATTGGACGACAAGACGGATTTGAATTGCGATTCAAGGAAGCATGATTTTTTTTCTTTTTTTTTTTGAAACAAGAAATTTTCGGTATTGAAAATTGTGCAACAATGATATTCAACGAGGGGTTGATGATCGATGAGTGTCCGCGATATGGGTGTTAATAGTGATGATCTAGTGGCTCTCATAAGGCATCAGCGAGCCGCGCACTCGCTTCTCCTCTCGCCGGTCAGTGTTAATAGCTGTATAAATAGTAATCGAGTGGCCCTGCGTGAACCCGACTTCATCTTCAAAAACGCTATATACACACAAGACGAGTCGCGGCGAAAATTTGAATAAATCGAGATAATCGACAGCAATTTATTATATTTTATGAAAATGTGAACTTTAAAATCGAATGATGGGATCTCGTGAGGATGAATCAAATTTAATTTAATATACTGTTTCAATCATGCAATTTATATACACACAGAGCGTTTAAATTATTATTGAATTACAAATAAGTAGTAGCTATTAGGAAATTCTGGAAACTCAAAACCGATCGGGTCCGAAATCAATTCTATGGATAAGATTCTAAAATTGTCGGATCCAATTGGACCTTTTCCGGACAGGGTTGATTTCGCCGGATCCTATTGTTTTTAAGTTACCATAGATTTTTCGTCACAAGACCCAAAGTCCTCCATCTTCGAGTTTTGATTTATCCGCAATTTAATTAATCGGCTTCAAAAATTTCGAAATTTTTGAGCATCTAAAAACTGAATATGATACTTTTTATTCAAAAAATGAAAAATTCGAAAAAAAAACCGTCATTAAAAAATTACAGTACCGACTTCGCGTCGTGACCCGCGCTAACATTTCATGTGCGCCTTTAAAAATAAATAGCGAAGAATTACGGTTTCGACGTGCATAGGGAATTCAAATGAAAAAAATTGACTTAAAAAAATTTTTTTTCATTGCATGAATGGATTCATAACAATTCTTATTTGTTTTTTTTAGATTTTAGAATATTTATAAGGGGGTTCTCTGCCCTAATATGTATTCATTATAACAAGAATCCAACGCAACATTCTCGGTATCAACTTCTGTCATCTGATTCCGATTATAAACAAATTCAGGAATCATTAGGTCAAGAATGAGTTCGTTCTTTCAGAGTTTCATTTTTTGCCTGAATCGACATTTCTGGCGAGACTTCATCAACGGTACAATCGATCAGAGCTGCACGGAACTTAAATTTTCTAAAAACGGAAGACGGAAGGCGAAACAAAAAAAATTTTAACGGAATTCGGAACACGGAACAAAAATTTAATCTAACTCGAATATTTTGAAATTAACAGTGGAGAATGTGAGACTTTCCAGTTTCTCATTCGACAAGGACCTTCTTTTTGTCGGACAAATTTCTCCTGCTGTTCTCAAAACCTTATTAGATTCGCTAGACGTGCTAGGTATTGGGAGATATCTCAAGCGGAATATGGAAGTCGGAAGACGGGAAACGGAATTCCGTGCAGCTGTGCATCCGATGCTTTAAAATGGAATCGCAATTATCAAGTTCAATAATTCTCGTTTTAAATATTGAGAAAAAAAAATGCAATTTATTAATTACAAGCCAGCAGGCATCTCACAAATATGACTCGAGGTCGTTTTTCCGCAACCGAATGTCTTCCAGCCGCCTCGCTCGAATTTGTATTTTTCAGCTTTCATCGTGTCGGTGATCATCTGAAAATTTGAGAGCGACGAGCACAAATGTGATCGAGCTTGAATCGCGGATTACTTGAACGCATTTCTCGGAACCGGCAGGTTCGGTGGGCGCCCAATTGCTGAACGTCGCCGGATTCTCATTGTTCCATTTCCAATCGGTGCCGTCGGCTCTCAATCCGATCCACGATTGTTTTGGAGCACCAACGACAACATTTGAATCGAATTCTTCTGAAAATCGGGAGCTCTCAAAAATTGTCGAAAATTGTTGAATCGGACTTCGAAGGGCTTCGTTCTCATCGAACGAGCCGATCTCCACCAATTTTCCGCCTTTCGCAATACAATTCGATTTCGCTTGCGCGTACGTGGCGACTGTGTTGAACTTCTGAAAATCGACAATCAATTTCCTTATACGGTGGCACGCTTAAAAACCCGATAGCATTTTGAGTTGTAATATTTCCATCCAGGTTTGCACGCCGCTGGACAATCAAGAAGCAGAGCGCCGGGATCGACGAGCTCGAAATTCACCACCGGCATTTCGGTGGTCCCAATCGTCGGCATTCTTTCTTCAAATGATTGCGTTCTTTTTGAAAATAACGGAAAATAATTTTCAGCCGACTTACTGATAATATTAAGATCGAGTCCGCTAGCATGTTGAATTCCAACAAGGAAAAAAACTAAATTGAATAATCCAACTCATTTTTTTGAATTCAAAAACGTGTCGAAGATCGAAACCGCGAACCAACAAATTGATTTTAATCCGGATTAAATACAATGATTTTGGAAAGTATTTTATTGCCAAGATTAAAGATCGAATCAAACAGTTCTTAAATAAACGTTCACGGGCACAAAAGCTTTTCACTGAAATGGAATATGGTCCTATCTAGGAGACAGTGAAATTTGCTCCCATATAATTTTCCACTTACGGAATACCACACGTATAACCATGTGGGATTTACGTATATGCGTACATATTGTCGGAGTCTAACGACTGGACGAAATTTTAAGAAATGATTGGCTATGTGCCAATGCGTCTCGAGGCAGCGAGAAGTACGCGAGATTGCGTACATTGCATTATAGCGTACGCGCAATTTAATATTCAGTCAACGATTCATTTAAATCTACACTGATTTCGAGAATTTGAAGGTCCCGCCTTCCCTTCAGTCGTTTGACGTCAACAATATAATGATGTAATTTTCATTTCAAAAATTTGGTTCACTCGTCCTGCAAGCTGCTTTTCAAACTTGTGTTCTGGATGTTTCCGAACTCTTCGTTTTCGAACTGCTCTCCTGTGAGTTCTCAAACTATCCGCAAGCATCGGAGTCTACATAGTAAGTGAAGTATGTATTCATATCTTAGCAAATACTAAAGACGGGGACAAAACATTATTGATTATTTTTGGTAGTATCTTATCAGCAAAGTTGTCACTCATGAAGATTCGTAGGGAAATTCTTGATCTTGAATGTTTCTACTAATTTCATGAGATCATAATTTGTCCGAAGTTTAAGATTTTGGAAAAAGCTCATTTAATAGTAAAAAAAAAGAAGAAATACAAAAATGTCTTGCTTAAAAAAATGCAAAACTCGCATTTGGGAAAAAATATGCAGCAGCGTGAACTTTTTACATACTGATATCAATTGAAGAAAATTTGAGAAATCACAATTTCAGTTTTTAAATTCTGAGCATTCTTGGATCCTCTTCGAATATATCCTCCGAAAAATCGATATCAATTGATTGCGGCTGAACAGTAGATGACTTGAATCGACGGCGAAAAGCTATTGAAGAGCTTTGAGGATGGGTTTGAAGCTCGAAATTCTCATAAGTTTTTGTTGATGAGTCCTCAGGCATTGTCATCTAGACAATAAATTTCAAGGAAAAAATAGTGAACAATGAAAACCTCAGAAGTTGGTTTGGTTATTAAATAGGCGAAAATTGAAATACAATTTAGTACATATGTATTCACATTGTACATAGCAATAATTAGACGAATTAGTGGCATAACAGAGAAGAGGGTTTAATAAAATCACAATCGCTCACACGCAAAAACGGGAGAAAATATTAAGGTGCAATATGTATTCATTGAATTATTATCGCCAGGCTCACAGGCTTGAATTAAATTGGCTGAATTTTGCAGAAAGACATGCGCTGATGGCGCTGTTAATCTTTATTTGTTTTGTACCTATTTCAATGGTAGCGGTTCGTTTTTTTTTTCACAAAAAAAAAACTATTGATACACATCGAATGGGAAGGCGGTTAGGGGGAAAATAATGTGTTTGGAGTTAAAATTAACAAAAATTGTACTGTGACAAATAAACAAAGAATTTTTCTAAATGTGACTTTTTAAAAAGCAGTTTTGTGCATCTATTTGAAAAAAAAATTAAAATCTGCAAAAAAAAATAATATTTTGTGCTTTTTTAAAATCAAATATGAAAATTAATCTAATTATAATTAGTGAAATTTAAGAAGAACGTCAGAAGAAAAGCTACAGTAATTCATGGGCTCAAAATTTTTTAAAAATTTTTGTTGCAATTTTTAAAATCAACCATCGCATTGTTAAGAGACTTCGGAAAAAATATAATTTTTTGAATTTAAAAATTTTGTCAATTGAAGGAGTTTCACAAAGAGACCCCCCCATTGGTCTCCAACCCCGGGGTTGTTTGAAAATTGTGCGTTGGATGATCGAGCAATCAGAGAGATAAATATGTCAACACCAATATCACTCTCGATTCGCCCGATTCTCGCCGATTTCAATTCGGCGCCATCAATGGTTTCTTTTTTTTTTTTGACGCCTCAATCACGACCATTCCTTGTTGTCGTTTTCTTTAAATGGACATCAAGGTGAAATTACTATTTTGCTTATTGTTGCCGACCCACTATACAACTATAGCAAGATTTAATTTTTCTAATTCTGGCCTCGCAACTAGCCAAGCCACAACCCGATACGTTTTTACGCAATTATCCAAGAAAATGTTGACAAATATTTTTCGACTGGATCTGGTCTTGGAATCAACCATAAGACCCCCAGAATACTTGACATTTTTTTCATGAGGTGATCATTTCCCTTTTGCATTTTTTTCCGATAATAAAATAACTATTTAAGGCAAGCCCGATTATTGATGATAATCGTTTTTGACATTATTCTGATTCATCGGATTCGTCTTATCGCAATTTATCATTTTTGATATATCTCTAGTCACTTGACGTCTCTATTACCGTAACTCAAACTTCCTTCTCTCATTTTGCTACACCTCCATCTAGAAATTGCGCCAAGAAAATATGCAATATATTCGATTATAAACATTTCCAAATATAGCCAATTGCAAGTTGAACTCTCCAGGGTTTAGTCTTGATCTCACTCTCATTTTGACGACAAATCTAATTGCTCGAGTGGGGAAAGGGTCCCTAATATTCAAACTTCCCCACAATCGCAAGATATTTCCGTTAAAACATGACTGATAAGAAAGGAAGAAGAAGCAGCGATTTGATGACGTTGACGATCCGATTCCCCGTCATTTCCCAACGATCCATCATTTAATCGTACTCCGATTGACCTACCTAATCGGCCCTCCTTTTTTATCGGAAAACTCGGTAAGCGAATGATATGAGAAGAATTCTAGACTTGATCAAACAGCTGCCTACCAATTCATAATCGACTTAAATTTCTATCGCCAGCCTCTGGAACTTGTTGCGAGAGAGATAATTAGCAAGTATAATAATAAGATCAGATATGATCGGATCTAAATCAAGATATGGATCTTGTCGGCTTCTGCAATTCCAATTCGATTATTCTCTCTTCTTGTTTATTTTTATTGTGTTCTAAATTGAACTTTTGTGTTCTCGAAAATCAACATTGGCTTAATATTAGATTAATTATGGTGCGCGCGCGTGTGTGTGTGAGAAACCAGTCTCCAACTCTTTTTTTGTTCGCTTCGAAATAATCGAATTCATTGCACTTTTCCAGATAATCATCGGCTGAAATTCAGTTTTTTTTCGCCATTTGATTAATTGGTTTTTTTTCGACCGAATTCCGATAATTGCAGACGAGGCTACCAATTTGTTGCTCGCGAGCCCGCGAGTTTTTGCTCGCTACTCATAAATCATTGTTCTAATGATTTCTCTTTCTCTCTCTCTTTCTCGATTCTCCTAGTAATCACATGAATGGATACTCGTAAATTATGCCCGAGACAAGTATTATTATATCGAAGTTGTTGGTGATTTATTTTTAGAAGCGTTGATGAAAAAAAAAATATGTAGTCCACAATATTTGAATATTCAATTGTGCTCAACGAGACCTCCTCAGGAGCTCCAAAGAAAAAAATTTTTGAATTTCACTGCCCATATAAAAAAAATAATGTGCACATGCGTTCTGCAATATTTTAAAGCTACATATTATAGAGAAAAATTTTAATTATTTTGATTGATAAGAAATACTAATAATTTTTTTCTTATCAATCAAAATAATTAAAATTGTGCTCTATAATATGTAGCCTAAAATATTGCAGAAAGATTTCCCCACGAGACCCGTCCAAAATTAAATTAATGCATATTGATTGTAAGATTTAAAGATCCATAAATGGCTTGTAGGTTTTTACTATTAAAATCGTGCAAAATTTCTCAAATATTAAAGTATGTTGTGCGCCTTTAAATGCCACTTCAATTTTCCAGAAATATCTGGGTTTGAAAAAGAAATGTTCATGTCCCTTTAAACGTATGATTAACAAAGAACCATCAGTATTGGAATACTGAAAAGCTTAAAATAATGCCCACCCTTTTCCCCCGCCCTTTTAAATACTATGTGAAGATTTCAACCAAAAATATGCATGTGTTTGCCTTTGTTCGACATACCACTTGCCTTATATGGGCGCGCAATTCGAACACCACCGCTACCCTCTAACCTTAATCGCCAATTAGGCGTGAAAATTGTTTGGTATGGTTTCCGAAATTTAATAGTCAACAACTTATAGTAATGATTAGAGGAGAGGAGTGTTTTGTTGTGTACATCAGCCGACATAAAAAATGGAAAACAATACCCGAATGAGTGAACCTGTTTTCCAATCGGCTGGGGGAAGCGGCTTCTCCTCCTCTGGTCACTTGTTGTTGTTGTTTTACTTTCAATTCTCCCCCCAAACCAGCCAAACTCTTGTTTGTTTATTTTTCTTTTTTGATCTACTCAAAAACGCGTCTTCATTTTGCGAATGAGCCTAATTAGAGTGTTGCGAGTGTAGTGGCTCAATCAGAAAAAAAATAATAAAAATAAATTGCCGTCGTCTCAAATGGCACGCAAGCTCGATTTACTCAATTTGTCGAGTCACTACCGTAATCCCCTATGAGCTGCTTCTCGTCCTCTTCCTAATTGAGATTCCGGATTACTGTACGCCGCGTCTCCACTAATTCGCGATTCCATTAACTATCGTCGTCATCGAGATGGAATGAGAAGGATCAATTGTGGAAATCTATTTGGAAAAAAAAACAATTATAAAACACTGAGTCCGATTTCGAGAAATCTCGAAATCGGATTTTCGTTGCCGAAAGCTCTAATCTCGCGCGAGCTCGAATAATTG